CTCCATGAAAAGGCTCCGGTGTCAGTGGGGGATTCACTACGACATTAGCAGGCGTAACAAGAGTTGTCATGTCGCTGACGTTTTCGTTCACAGCCGTTGAACTCTGATAGACTCAGTCAAAGGTGAAAATTCGGGGGCCTCATTGCGCAAATGTCAGGTGCAGCGCTAGCAAACTGGAGTGAGCTCGTTGTATTCAAGTCGCCATGACTCTGGGCTGCGTTCCGGGAGTTGAGAAGGGCTTCGAATTGTAGCTTGAACTCCACCAGTTTGTAACGCACAATAAAAGGGTACACTTTAACGAAACCAAGTGGTTGGGGTGAACTTGTACCCAAGAAACAAACAACTCAAAACCTATGTGGCCACTCCAGCCAACAGTCCATTCAAAAGCATCCACCTCGTCGTCTTTTCCCTTCTCTCGGGTCTCTGGTGTGGCTGCTGTTGTATGGCTCAAGCTAACATGTGCACTTGCTGAATTGGCGATCTGTTTTCCCAGTAAGCCGTCCTCTATCGGGCGAGCGTAAGGATCGGAGAGCCCGTGTAGTTTAATGTGGCTTGTGCCAATATAATATTCCAGATGTTATCAAGCAGCGACTTTTCAGTTGGACAAATTGTTTGCCTTCAGCGAGCCTTCACTGAGTGCGATGTGGTACATTAACACAGACTGACCACCTCCACAGAGTGCGATCACCTCGAGCTCATTTAGGACTCATTTCTCAACAGTGGTCCAAGCGATGCTCAAATCACTTGTGCGCATGCAGACTGAACAGCTAAGCCACTACTACAGAAGCCCTCATGCGTGTCAACATGCTTCCATATGTGCACATAAATATGAACATGCCCACAACTACTAATAGCTCCAGTGCTGTTTCATGCAAAAAGGAAAAAAAGACCCCCTTTTTTTTTGGTAATCATAGCCAGTTTATTTTGTATACTGAACAAACAGAAAAAAAAAGGCTGCTTCGTGTACAGCCAAGAAACCACAAGAGCACCACTATTTTTCACTGCAATAAAGCTATTTCACAGAAGTCGGGAGGAAGATACGGTGTACAGCTTTGTGAAAACTCAAAATAAAACTACAATGTCCAAGCAAAAAGAGGGGAGAGGGTTGTGCGAAAGGGTAGAAAGATTGCGCTTCTTTTTGAAAGAGAAAACTAATCAACGTCAAAATGAATGAAAACAAGTAGTAGGAACTGGACACGCCGCACTGATAGGGTACAGGCGAGCAAGAAAAAAGCATGACAGTAAGCATATTTTCAAAATCAATAAACTTGCCCAATTAAGCAATGCTGTGGCAGCAGCATGCAGTAAGGCTGAACACGTGGGCCTCAAAAAGTTGAAGGCAAAAACAACAATATCTTTATATTATGAGCGCCAATGCTCAAGGCTTTTGTAAATACCTGCAGTATTATATGCTCTTTTTGAACATATGCTCCATTTTCACATAGCTCAAATGAGCAAGGTCTAAATGAACATTATGTTTAAAACGATTGCATTTGCAATATTCAACAACATATATATTCAACTGAAAGCCCTCAATAGCAAATATACAAGAATAGCTTCTTTTTTCTTTCTGAAAGCCTCTCTAAGCATGTACAAAATAAATGTAACAGAAACCCTTAATTAAGAAGCAGTGTCAACAGCAAGAATGATATTGCAAAAGGTGAAGGGATCAGTTTTCTGGTGAGGCATCAGCTGGAGAATAACACGCCGCCGTCTCTTCGCAGCAGCAGAGGCAAGCAGCAGGGGAAGCACACACGGGGCGGGGGAAGGACAGGGGAAGCGCACGAAATTGTGTTCCCACTCTTGTGCACAACAAAAATGCTGCCGCAGCTTATGTTGACGGTTCATCTTGTACGGGGCTCCCATTCTCTAAACAGTTGACACTGCCGCCCCCCGTACTCATCATTCGGGGTGCTGAAAATTGGGGGCCGGGGGAAGGGGAGCAAAGTCAAAAAATGAGGAGGGAGTGCAGAATAAACTGAACGAAAAAATAAAGGACCTCAAATAGACTAGAGAAACGAACAAAAAAAAAACTACCCCACCCAAGATCAAACTGGCAAGCCATACAATCTGTTTCGAAACAAAGCATGGGGCTTGAAAGGGTGGAACGGGCCTCAGGCACAGGATGCACGCTTCAGCAAAACGACTAAGCAGTCTATGAGCCAGAGACAGAACAGGTGAAGTGCTCATGTACTCAAGGATGAAGATTAAGTTAGCCATTGCTTACTTCGTTACAAAGAATTTCGGCCATTGTAATACAATACTGAGTGCTCGTTTCAAGCACAGCGAGCTCAGGCACTTGAAACTGGACACGTGCTTGCAAGGCTATGCGTTCTGGTGTTGCTTTCACATGTGGAAACCTTGAATGAATAGGGCCAATTGCCAGTACATTCTTGAAACCGACCGTAGCAATCCAAGTCAGCCTGGCACTGGCGAGCTGTGCATTCGTAAGCATGCTGTGCATTACGCATTTTGCGATTTCCACTTCCCAGCAAAAAACGATAAATGGCAAAAGACGGTCTCAAGCAACCCGTTACTTTAAAGAGCTTTTTTTGTTTCGAAGCATCTCTAGCCAGCTCAACACATATGATGCGTGTGTTGGCACCGGCCACGACAAAAGAGCCACAACGAAGTTTTGGAACCCACAATTGCTTGGCTTGAAAAGCAATAAACCTCACCAGATTGCCAAGCAATAGCATTTCAATGCAAGCTCTGCCCGTACTTTACTGTGCAGCGATATACGACAATGTTCAAAACAGGACAGTGAAAGGATATGTATATCTTTCGAGCCACTTGTGAAAACAACACCATTTTTTGGCCATAGTAAATTGCTTTTCCCAGAATTACGATCACTGGTACTTTGGGTGTTCCCATCACATCGATTTAATCAGTGCGCATACCTAACTTCCTTTCATTGGGCACCTCAACTGCAACCTCGCCTTGTGCGTTACTGAATTGCTATGGTAAAGCACAGGTAAACAGCTACTAAATCTTGAGCAGGAAAGAGGACTAAGACAAAAGGGAACAAGTGTAGCAATGTTGGACACAAGCAAGACACGTGGTTGCGCACAGGCACGCAAAGCACTACTGCACTGAAGCAGTGCTACGTGCGAGTGTTTCAAGGGGCACTAAAGAGAAGCCATGACTTGGTTTAGATTAATAAACTCTGCTTTGAGAACACTGATGCTACAAGTTTCATTACCGTAAGTTCGTTATTATCGGAAAAAAATCAAGGTTGAAGTTTCATTTCTAAATTTTATGCCAAAAAGTCCGCACGTGACACCACGAATTTCAAAATGTACTTTGCGTATTTTCGCGACGTTAGCTCCATGAAATTTGCTGAAAGTTCGTATGCTAGGTCTACGGCACCCACAGATGACAATTTACTTTATTTTCATCGACTAGAAGCTACACACAACCCAGAAGACACCTTCAGAACCTCTTACATCAGGGTTTTGGGTGTGGCATTTTCTATTTCGAGTGTTTTCTCGCGCTTACCAAGCCTCATCTTGCGATAATGTATCAATATGCGAAACATTGTTTTGCTCTTTTTAGTGCCCCTTAAAAGTGCTTTGCTTGTGTACCTGTTCACTTTCACTACTTCATTATTTAAACAGTCAGAAAGGCACACAGAGAGATGCAGAAGGTGTTGCTGATGCCTACCTGAAACACAGTTTGCCAGAGTGAACCGACACCGAGGTAAGCGAGACAGCAGACTGGTGAGTGCATGCTATTGCAGGACAAAGCTCAATTAGATGGACAACATAGAAACAAGCCTGTTGATGTACAAGGGTGACGGTTGAGGGTGCTAGTGAAGCATACCTGTCTATTTGTGGCCAGAGTGAACCGATACCGTGGTACGCGGGACAGCAGTCGGGATAGCAGTGCATGCTATTGTGGAACAAAACTGGACATGAATTTGCCATCAAAGCATGAGGTGTGCGTGACGCGAGTGCAGAGAGTGCATGCAGTAGCTGTAGCAGCCTCATGTTCTCTATGTAAACAGCTCTTGGTAAGGGGTGTCTTGAGTGGAGTGTACGACGAGTGTATTACAAATGTCAAATGTCTCCAGTTCTAGAGGAATCCCAAGCCTTGTATTCTGTGCCAAGTGCACATTAAGTACACTTCAATACGAGCCGAACATTTCATAGCGAGTATGTTGAACACTCCGTCAATTCTCTTTTTGTGACAAATGTCAACACACACCGAGCGTTCATAGGCTGCCGTGTAGCCCCACAATAGGCTTTTAGGCTTTTGCGTTATTTAAACTTATAAAACAAAGCTGTACATTACGAGAATGAAGTGCTTTTAGAGTGTCCCTCAAAGAATTAATGTGTTATGTGTTATATTTAGCAAGTCTTACAAGAGGAAGATGAGTGAGAACAAACACTAATAGAACACATAAACGCACAAAACGCACAATACGCAATAAGCACACAGACTGTAGAAAGTGGTACACTAGGGAATTGTGTTGGGTAACAGAGCAATGCTGCACACAGCTCAACACAGTCTTGGAAGCACCACGTTGACAACAACACCAGTCGGAACGAATAGGCTCGTCCGTTCCGTAGCTAGCTTTTGGGTTCGTGTAAACGCTATCTCGCAAAGTTAAGTGCCGAGGCAAGTTCCGTTAATCACCCATAAGGTGTCATAGTCGTGGCTAACCAACCGCAGCTAAGCACGCGTTAAATACCGTTTGGTCGACTAGAGTCAACACAACTTCCGACTTGACTCTTCCAGATCAAGTTCGTGCAAGCGTTGCCTTTAGAGGACGAAGGTTCACAGCTGCATGTCATACACAGTGCGCAAGCTTCCACGAAACCTTGCAATGAGACCTTTGTGGGGGGCGTGATTAAAAACAGGGGGGAAGGACACATGAGCAAGCACAGTGATAGAGAATAAACACCAGAGAGCCGCGGCAATAGCGTTGCATAGATGAAAAATGCAAGAGACAGCGGCTACAATGAGGCAAAAGCTGCAAAAACTACCGGAGCGCTCACCCTTCTCTCGTCCTGCTCGCAGTCCCTGGAGATGTGTCCCTGCTTGTGGCAGATGTAGCAGGTCTTTTCCTGCTCCTTGCACTCGCGTGCAATGTGGCCCATCTTGCCGCAGTTGTAGCACGACACTGGCAAGGGGTAGAGAAAAAGAAGAGGCCCCGAAGGTTCGTCATTGAGTGACTGCCCTTGTGTACAAGGGGATCCCCACGCATAACGTGCGGCTGATACGTGCATGGAATACAGCTTGAACCAAACATTACTTAGCTCACTTATATGCCACTTATGACTTATGAGAAATAGCCTGCCAGTGAGTCAATTTTACACTTTACTTTGAGGCACTGAATTATGTGTTTCACAGCAATTAATTGCAAGGAAATCATAAAAGACCAATTACTGCACAGTCATATTTCTTCATAAACCGAATTCAAAGCCCCACTTAAATTACATGTGACAGTTATCTGTCGGGAGCCGGCATTCCTGAAAAGCTAAAATGTACTGAAATTCGTGCAGAAACACTCCATATCAAATATCCCGCTAAACACGATACTGCCTTCACCGCATCGAACTGACAAAAACGAACATTGGGCAGTAAAAATGCTTAACTTAGCAGTGGCTTAGTGTTTGCGGTCTGTTCTTTAACACTGTAACACTGGTACGCAGAAGTGAGAGACGTAGGCCATGTCTCCTAATGAGGAGGTTGTGTCGCCAAGGACTGAAGCACTTTAATGGCAAAATAATGTTGATTTGATTAATATGTGGGGTTTAACGTCCCAAAACCACCATATGATTATGAGAGACGCCGTAGTGGAGGGCTCCGGAAATTTCGACCACCTGGGATTCTTTAACGTGCACCCAAATCTGAGCACACGGGCCTACAACATTTCCGCCTATGGCAAAATAATGTCACCATGTTTGGAGGTCTCAGGTTTTGCACCTTGTTGACAGATACTGCTGTAAAGGAAAATGATTGTAACAACAAAATGACGGATGTAGAATTATAGGATGACAAAACCTTGCCATTTTTTCGCTTTCGTCGCAACTAGGTTTGAATGTAATGTTCATGAACATCAGTGGGGAGAAATCAGCCAAGATGCTCTCACCTTAAAAAAAAGCGAAAGACAGAGAGAGAGAGAAAAGGCAGGGGCTGCACTCACTTTCATCTGGGCCATGCTGGCAGTCCTTGGAGATGTGTCCAGTGCCGTTGCAGCGATAACACCGGTCCTCAGCCTCCTTGCAGTCCCTGGCGAAGTGGCCTATCCGATTGCACTTGTAGCACTTTTCTGTTGGCCACATGAGAAAAGAGAGAGACCTAACAGTTACCAATGACTTGATAGTTTGGGAGAGTCAGTTCGTCTCTTGTCCAACTTGAAGCAATGCGAAACAGAAAGAAGACCAGAATACTAATTTGCGTCACTTCCATATTTCTTTTTTTTTTTTTGCGTAGCTTCAAGACCTGTAGTAAAAGAGGGCAAAGCTAGTTGGTAGGTATTCATGCTAAAAAGATGGATATGTGGGGTTTAACGTCCCAAAACCACCATATGATTATGAGAGACGCCGTAGTGGAGAACTACGGAAATTTCGACCACCTGGGGTTCTTCAACGTGTGCCCAAATTTGAGCACATGGGCCTACAGCATTTACACCTCCATTGAAAATGCAGCTGCTGCAGCCGGGATTCAATCCCGCAACCTGCAGGTCAGCAGCCGAGTACCTTAGCCACTAGACCACCGTGGCAGGGCTCGTGTTAAAGAGAGGGCATGCAAACACGGACACAAAATAGAAGCCAAGACACCACAAACACTTTAAGTCAGACACAAAACAGTTGTAGCGGATGCTTGCCACTCAAAGCAGCATGATACCACCAGAAAAGCAGCACTGGCTTGCATGAAGAGAAGAGCACACCCTTATTTCTTGGCCTGCCCCACTGCTAGTCCAACTCAGTAGGACGAAGGGGAGCTCACCTCTGATGGGAGGCTTGTAATCCATGCGGCCACGGGAGGCGCCGCGGCCTCCTCCCCGTGGTCCCCCACCGCCGCCCATGCCACCCCGGCCCCCGCCCCCACTGCCGCCATCCTGGAAGCACTCGCGAGCAAAGTGTCCCAGCTTGTGGCACTTGTAGCACTCCGTGGTGGCACTCATTCTTCTCCCCTGGCCGCCTCCTCGACACTCGACTCACTCCTCGCTCCACCCGCCCCTCGGCGCCCACCTGCTGCGGCTCCTCCTGCATCAACAAACAAACAGTAGTGGTGGTGTTCAGCTCTATACTAACTCAGTGGGTCCATGGGTCTTGAGGGTAAAGTGCCAAGGAGCAAACAACATGGGTGAGAGTGGACAAAAGACAGGCGCCTACCCGAGGCGCCAGAACAGAAATATAACTCAAGCACGGTGGCATATTGTCACATTTCAGTGTCTTGTTTGCAGTCGCCCACATCCATCGCTATCTGCTCAAGCATCATAGAGTACCTGCAAGTCTAAACAACCACCCTGGCATGTCCTAACCACACCAATACTAGACTCCCACAGTAAAGCATTCAAAAGTAAGGTGGCACCAATTCTCGAATGTTACGGTGCCTGTTGTTCAAGACCGCGCACCTAAATTAGAGAAGTTGCTTCCATCCCACCGAGACCCAACCCAAGTGGCACTTGGAGCTTTGTACTAGTATAGCCACAGATAAATGAGGTTCTGCATTAAATTGTGTCACCACATAAATTGGGTTCTAAAATTCAGCATGTATTCACTGACAAAGTATGCTGGATCATCTTATTTTTGTTACTGCTCAATGCTCAGCTGTGCTTCACCATGTATTATGAGGTACGCCGTAGTATAGTAGAGAGCTCCAGAATGTTTTTTACTATCGGGTGTTCTTTAACGTGCACTGAAATCGCACAGTACATAGGCCTCAAGCATTTCACCTCCAGTTGTGCCATACTCTAGCGTTATATTACTTTAAAGAGGTTATTAAAATGAAAAAATTATTTTTTTGTTGTCTTTCTGCCACTTTACAAGTTTTTAGACGATATCTTCGAGGACAGCCAGTGCATAATCACTTCGGACATGTCAAATAACTATATTGGCACAATGACCCACAAGCCATGAAATGGGCAAAAATGAGACTAATACCTCTGTCACACGGCCACCACCAAACTCCGTTGAACACCGTGAGCGTAAACCTCCCCTAGGGGGTTCGACGGAGAAGGAGTTGTGGCAGTGTCACACGGCAATGACAAGGTTGTAACAGTTGCAGCGAGGGGGCTCAGCTGGCGCTGTTTGATTTTCGGAAATGTATTCGAATTTGATCCCTATTGATTTTTTTGTGAATCCTCGTTATGCGGTTTTTACAAAAAAGCACTATAAAGTAGGTATGCGACTAACAAACCATTAAAAATAATTTCAAATAAAAACGCATTTGCTAATTGTAGCAATGCTGCTAGTGACGCTGGCCACATTGTGCTTTTAGTTGTTTTGTTGCCTGTGTACATGCCCAGTACGAAAGTTCTTATGCTTCCTTGCCTCGTGAGCGCACATTTTGTGTTCTTCAGACATGAGTGACACAGCGGACGACATGAAGAAGTGGTGCGATATTGCGCTGGTAATGACGTTGATCAACTGGCACCGGCCGGCCCGACTCGCGAGGCACGGTGTGTAGGGCATCGGTGTTGAGAGTAAGCGAACTCTGGCGGGCGTAAATATTGTAAACAAACGCGCGTTGTGAATGAGTACTACATTGAAAGAACGTTTAATATTGCTAAAATATATTATTCTTTCACTGCGGCCATTTAGTGCTCAAAATTTTTTTCTGACCTCTAGACTGCTGAGGACGAAAGTACCTCATTTCGCTGCGAAGGGAGATCGTTGAACGTCCTTTGCCAAATGCTCCGTTCACCTTCGTTTGCGTAAGGGTGGCCGTGCGACACCATTCGCATCTTCGTTGTCGTAAAGACGAGGGAGTTAAACGGTCTTCACGGGTGCCCGTGTGACAGGGGTATTACAATTGTGCTTAAAGTGAAGATGACGTGGAAGATGAGCTTTACAAAAACAAGCCTGAGGACCATTGCAGCTGCCTTAAGTAACCACGACAAAATTTTAAGCAAATAAATGTAGCTAGTGAATGTTATTCTCACACAAGCTAGAAGGCCGTGCCTATGTTGAATACAGATACTAAAGGTGATTCATGCCACCACTAGAATCCCAACATTGAGAGAATGATTATACCTGTCCAAACTGATAGCATTTTTCATTATTGCTGTTCTAACCAATAAGGATGTCAAATACAGCAAATTTCTTAAAGGGGCCCTGAAACACTTTTTTCAGTAACTAGGAAAATAATTCACTGGAAAAGCGTATTACCTCACAAATTGAAAGCCGCTAAAATTGTAAGAATCCGTTCAGTACGAGCGGAGTTACACAACAGTGCGCCATGTTCAAAGCAGCCAATGGCTGATAGATGGGCTTCCTGGGCTTATTTTTCGTGGTTTGTCGAGAGAAGAGAAAGCTAATTTTAGCTGACTGATAATTTATTGTGAATTCCAGGCCGTGTGCTGCGCATAATATTTGGCTAGTGTGTTGTCGGGAGCCTCTACTACCGATCGGCAGTATTTTCTGACCATGCTCAAAAAGTGTTGCAAAGCCTCTTTAAGTGGCTTATTCTCTGAAAACTCCTTGCCGATTGTTCACACAAAACTTAGCATCAAGAAATCAGTAAATGTATTCTTGAGAGGAAAGGTAGAGGCTATACACAAAAGATGTTTATTCAGGGTCAGCATTGCTGCATAGCAGGAAGCTCGTAAATATACGAAGTTTTATGAAAAATGCCTTCCAAATGAATCAAACAGGATACTTCAATTTCACTGCTGTTCCCCAGCATGTTCTATGCACAAGTCAGCAATTTATTTAGCTTCTCCCCCCCCCCCTTTTTTTACATGAAACTGTGTATGTTTACACATATTGTTGACATCTCGAGATACAAGTCAATATATTTCTAGTAGAGACTACAGCGTTGCCACAAAATGTGCTATGCCGTGTTCATGGGGAATAAAAATGTCATGAGAGTAAAAAAACATACGTGAATAGGCGACCTGACTTACCCACGTATTCAGAAACGCTGCTCGACTTGACTTGCCACTGACCTCAAAGCAGCACAAATGCACTTTGAACGCGCTGTCTTAAGGCGGTGCGAAGGCAGCACATACGCACAGACACATTTCAAATGCGCTGCATTGAAGGCGGTTTCAAGTCAAGGAGCGTTTCTGAATACAAGGGTTAGTTGTGCTACAGTTTTGTAGCCATTTCCTGTGACACCTTTTTTTATCCTTCCCAGTATAGACCAAGAGCCGATTTACTGCATTAACCTGATTTCATGAGTTATTCTTGTTACTGTGTAAAAGCGAAGCAACAAGCATTTGTGGGATGTGCTTAGCTAACGTGACCGAAAAGACCGTGTGCGATAACTAATCCTCTTTAGCCGGTAGCCAAATGAAATACACTCTTGCCTTCAGCGCGCAGATTAAAATGAGCACACTGACAGCAGACTGTGCAAAGAGAGAAAGTTGCGAACCAGTTGATGCTGCCTGCTGCCTCAGTGCACTTAACGTATGCCAAACCGGGCCAAAATTCGAGAATGAGAAAAATAAGGAATGCCTAAAAATGCTCACTTGTAAAAAGCAAACCTATCCGAGCCATCCACATTTTTAAACAAGTTAGCCAAACTCCCTGTGTGATCAAGTGCAGAAGAAAGGTCCAACTTACGTGGATGCCCTCCAGATTTCTTATATCAACATGTGGCAGGGCTATTGTGTCTCGCTGGACGGTACTTTGCTCTTTATGGGTTCATCAATCACCCTCGGAGCTTACAACACGACAACAGCAGCTGCAAGGCAGCGCTTATGGCAGTAAGGTCTGCAGCTTTTGCACAGCTTGAAATACCTTTCCTCTAGCCTTGCCACAACAGACTCGTTTTAAAAAATTTTGCATACACTCTCTGAAAACACCTGGCCATGAATGCTGTCACACACTAAGCACGCTGCTTCGAGTCCTCAGCAAAAGGTCAAGCTAAAGCAGGGACTTTGGACATGAAAATACCTTGAGCTGCTCCCAACTAAGGAAAAAAAAGGCACTCTCTTTTCTTCAGTTTCCATTATCCTCACGCAGGTCTCAGACCCAATACCTACCCAATCCACACGAACAACTCTGTGCAAAACCTCTTTATCTAAGATGTCTGTCGCGCGTCAGTTGTGAACGCATCTGAAGTTTATGGTCGGCAATGCTATGATTCTGAGAATTGTGCTCCCAGAAAAACCAAATTTTTTTCATTCTTGAATTACTGTTCCTTCACCAACAATAGCGAGACCACGCATCTTTTCCCGTTACATTTACTCTCATGTCCGACTGCCTTGCCATTTCCAGGATATGTATTGCTGGCGGTTAATAAGGACCCGAGATGTCAAGTTGACCGCTGCAGGGAAGCCAAGTATAACTCAAGCCTTCACTCATGCTTCCAGGACGCCACACCTTTCAATCCACTTTGAACACCTTCAATGCCCCCGAAGGCAAACAGTTAAGGAAACATTGATTGATATGTGGGGTTTAACGTCCCAAAACCACTATATGATTATGAGAGACGCCGTAGTGGAGGGCTCCGGAAATTTAGACCACCTAGGGTTCTTTAACGTGCACCCAAATCTGAACACACGGGCCTACAACATTTCCGCCTCCATCGGAAATGCAGCCGCCGCAGCCGGGATTCGAACCCGCGCCCTGCGGGTCAGCAGCCGAGTACCTTAGCCACTAGACCACCGCGGCAGGACGAGTTAAGAAAACAACATGCAACACAAAGCAAGACAGAAGTTACCTAGCATTACCGAACAATTTTATATTTTTCTTAAGCCAAGTCACTTTCACAGCACTCCGCAAAGCAGACGAACTTCCAGAACAATAATTAATGACATCAACAGCAGCGACATGCTACCAAAGAACGTTTGAAGAGAATTGGTCTTGAATTGAACCTGGGACCACCTCATCTTTCATTGCACTTTACCATTTGGAAAGCCAGCAAATCCCATAGCAAGGTCAAATTAATCGACTACTTAAAGTACAAGGACACAATATAAGCTTTGATTGGTGGCCTCGTTCCACTGAAGGCTTGATTACAATTTCTGTGTCCTCTTTTTCGAGGCATCTGGGACAAGAATGTATTACTAAAGCTTAGCTAAAAAGGCACAGCTACTACAAATCTCACTTGGAATCACAACCACACTAAACCACGGTGGCGGCTCCACTTGAAAGTCTAGTAGTTCTGTAATAAATATCCGGTCTTTTTTAAATATTACATTGCTAGAATGTACTTTCGATAAAGATCCTAATGACCACTTGTGGCAGACATGGCTCTGCTTGCACCACCAAACGTCAGAAGCTTTGTTAAATGAGCTGTTCATTAGTGCAACGTTCCTTCCTTTTTGTCTTTTGATGGTGGTTATACTGCAGTGTAGGCATTGACAAAATGTTAAATATGACTAAACTGACCGCGAAACATTGCATAAAGGCAGCAACCATTATGTGAGTGAAGAGAAGAAAAAGACGATGCGCGCACACACGAACTCCGCGGCACTCAATGAGGTTAATTACACAATCTCGCCAGGAACGACCACTGCCCGTATTACAGCCGGGGCGATTAGGCGACGCTGCACAGCCAGCTGGGACCGTCCGCGGCGGCTTTACAATGCTAGGAACTACGGAGTAAACGAGGTTTTCTTGCTTCTGGCTCAAATCGATCGATACAACGCGATTGCTTCCAGCTTTCGCAAGAATAAACGGGAGCCCGGTCAATGAGGTCCCCGGGACGCAGCGAGAAACGCCCGCGTTTGGAGGAAACGAACGAACCGATCAGGTAGACGCAAAACAAAACGCTCCACGAAACACGCGCGAAGCGGCCGCGTCGCTCGGCTGTTACGACACGTCGCGTTCCCACTTTCGACCGAAAAATATGGAGGGCGTAGGAGAAAGACGCTAGAATGAAACCGCTTTCGCGTTCTGGAAGCCGTGGTCAAACACGCACGGCTTCAAGAGGATGCGCAGGGGCGGCCATTACTCCGGGTATTTACTACGAGTTGGGGGGGGGGGGGGGGGAAGGGGGTTTGGCTCGACCACAAAATCCCGCCGCGCTTCCGCGATGGCAGCGCACGCGTTTCGCAGAGGAAAGGGAAGCCGACCTTCGAATCACCGCAAGAGGCGAAGAGGAGAGAGCACGGGCGCCCCTACGGACGCGGCGAAGTGAAGCGGCTGCTGTGCCGTAACCATTTGTAAAGACGAGGGCTCCCCATCTTGTTGTTTTGGAATGCTCGAGGTGGCAACACAGTTCAAGGTCAGCTGAGCAGCCCTCACAAACTAGGTCATCAGAGCTACAGCCAGGAAGAGCCGTACTCTGTTTCAAGTCTATCTCTCCTTCTCGCGCAACACCAGCTGAGCGAAGCTATCACGGCGTGAATTAAAAGCACAGATGTATGAGAGAGACGACGGGCGGATTTCCACGAGAAATACCGCGTCTCCCGAGTATTTTTTTCTTTTTGTCGCACCAACGCGTTCTTCCGCGTCGCAGGAGAAGCTAAACGAGAGCGCGACGAAAGAAAAATATTGCGAAAGAAAGGTGAGGAGAGAACAGCAAGACGGGGAGTGGGGCACGACAGACCGGGAAGTGGTTATTTACTCGCTTGGAGAATCGGCGCGTTTCGTGTATTAGCAATCGAGGTACGGCACGGCGACCCGACCAAGTAACCGCGGGCGAAAAGGTAATACACAAAATAACAACGGAGCAACAGCTGAGAGCGCCACGGACTCGCTCTAAAGAGAAACACACGCTCCCGGAAAAGCGGGGGAGACCCAACTGCTAACCTTCGGAACGAAACACAACATTAGGCTTACTTTTATTTGTTTTCTCCCCTCGCAGCAGCGCTGACAGTCACGGCGTTGGGAGAAATTACGAAGGCAGCGTCCCGGCTGGAATCGGTGAGCAGCCGCCGGTGAGCGCTTGAAACCAGCTGTGATTCGACCAGTTAGACGGATAGGCTTAAAGGTCCCTCTTTTTTTTCTTTCACTCCCTCTTGTTCCTTCCTCGCCTCGCGCCACGGAGTCGTCGGGGGTGAACGCGGATCCTAGATCGCCTGGGTTTTACTGCAGATCCTAGGCCGCTGAGAGCGGTCCGCGCTGGGGAGAACGGGGTTCGAAGAAAATCGAACCGTGAGCGCTTACCTGGTTTGGCGGCCTGATCTTCGGTCAGATGTGCGCCGTGTTTATTTTACAATATGGAATAAAATGTAACTACGGAGAGAAAGCGCGCGTCACACGTGGGATTTGCGCACGGCCCGCCACTTTACAGAGGAGGCGGAGTAGCACTAGCACGTTTTTTTTTTTTTGCGCACGACCGACGCCACTCTGGCGAATGCTCGGAGAACTATGCAAGATTTCTCATTTTTGAATGCTCTCCGGTAAATTTTGCGCTGAAAAGACGTACCGACAAAACATCTAGCGATCGCTTGTAAAGAAACGTTAAATGAACCGCTCACAACTTGTGAAACTACGATTGCACAAGTTTGCGCTTCTCCTCGCCTCCGCTAGGAAGAGCCACTGCATTAGACGCAAACACGTGATTGTGCCTAACCAATGGGAGCGAGTGTCACTTTTTTGGCGCGCATACGATTGGTATTTGACTGCTGTGGAAAGCTCGCTCGCGTCGCTTACTAACGCTTAGAAAACTTAAACAAGTTTATTATTATTTTTTTTTTTGCAAATTCGAGTTTGCAATGCACACGTTGTAAGCCGCCATGGCAGAGCACATAAATTAAAAGCCGTTCACAAATCGGTGGACGGCAGTTTCTTTCACTGCATAAATCGAACGCATGGCACATTTCTTTATAGATACCAAGGTTTATTGCACTGGAAGACAATTCAAGAAACAAATCCTGTCCATGAAATAAGACAGTATTTCTTGGGTACAATCACAGTAATTGTGCTATGATTAATGCATACAGTCATGGGATGACTTCCTTCTTGCTAATCATACACCTACTATGTAGGGGGCTGTTCTAAAATTCAACACAGTAGTGATACAGAGCTATGTGCTTAAGCCCAAAATGCACACAGAGAAAAGCTACTTGCATGAACCTAAGTAGCTGGAGTTGGCGAATATCCGAAGTTTCTAAGTGTGTGCTATTGAATTTGCACTGAAATTTTACTATTCGAATTTCCCAAATACAAGTACAGTCAACGTTCGATTAACAGTGGCCCCTTCAAATTTTTATTATGCTTCACCCAACTACAATCTCGTATTGCGGCAAAGCTGCCTTTCAAGCTCTGCTACGGTTGCAAATGTGTAACTCAAGAAAATGGTGGTTTCAATGAGGAGATGGTAGTTGCAGCAGAGGTGGGGGCTCAATTATGCTGTTTTGAACCTGGAAATCAGGCAGGATCCTATTAATCGGACGCCGCAGAGTTTCTAGCATCAAACATTCCGCATGTTTTTATATATTGACTTGTATGAGGCAGATTTGGAACTCTAAACTCGTATTGAGTATGCCCTTGTTCGCCACTTCAGTTAGGCTTCTAGAGAAGTTGAAAAATAAGTAGAGGCTGAGAAAATAACATGTTTGCCTTTCGCATGTGATGTGTTGTCGACAACACTTTGGTTGCAACAAATCATCTACCTGAATACAGTTCAGTTTCTGCATTGCCTCATTCTTGATAAGGCAACTCTGAAACACCACCCCTACAGCACTTCACCAACCTATCTTATAATACAACACTTTGGAATCATCTTCAACTTTTTTTCTGCAATTTCACTTCAAAGTATTTGAAAAAGTTTTGAAAAATATTTAATTGAACTTGCACTCAAACTTCAATATTCGAATTCGCCTTGCACACAAAATTTTGCTATTGCACAGCTCTACTAAATAGCTTACAACAGTATATCAAAAATAAAAGTAGCAAGAAGCACTTTACTCAACAAAGCAAATGTAAATGAAATATTTCTTCGCATTCACAAATATATATAAGAAAAGGCAGATATAAATAATTAGACATATACATTTCTACATAACAAATTTGTCGATTCATTTTCATAGTATATATCAGCAGTAATCTACGATGGAACGTTTAACAGTAGACCACACCGCAAAATGTAACCGTGCTGGCATGCCAGCACTTGAGCCTCACTGACTTCAGCCGGGATCCCCATATTATTTCTCTTTAGTGTCTCAGTCCATTCATGGGATTCATACATGACCGAATCAATTACAAACATGTAGCACAACCCCTGACCCAAAGAGCAACAATACTAGCCATTCGGACAAATACAGGGAGAGCATGCTTCTCAACACCCTATACTCTCAAAGTAACGGAAGTTCATACATGGTCCCCATGCTACAAAGGTGATACTAGAGCAGCTTTTGACACATTCACTCTAATCCGCCAAAACATATGTATTTTATCTGTGTGAACTCGTCGAGTCCATAGCGCGACCCTTCACGGCCGAGTCCAGATTCCTTGACCCCTCCAAACGCTGCCTCAGCGCATGATATTATGCCTTCGTTCACGCCAACCATGCCCACTTCGAGTGCTTTGGCAACGCGCCAGCCCTGTGCGATGTTCTCTGTGTAGAAGTAGCCTGAGAGAAAAAAAGAACAAAAAACACATTGTTCCAGCTTTAACATTTACATGCAGTGCAGGCTTGTTTAGTGATCACCTATTTCTTTGGTACGACTGCGCAACGAAAAAGACACGGAAACCACAGAAGAGATTAAACACACTCAGCGCTATGCCTGATACTCAACAACGCTTGTAGCTGTGACGGTGAATGTGGAACACTTTTTTCTTTGCCTTCTAACATCACATAGCATGTGATCTTATTTTATGAGCTGGCAGCTGACCAATGGTCGCTCGCATACTACCTGAAGGCATCAAGCCTGCCAGGGTGAGACCGTTGCTATGAACGAACGAATGAAGGGGAACTTAAAGGTTCACTTAAAAGCCAAGAAAAGTATAAGGGGTATTAATTGTAGTCAAAGATATACCCAATAAAGAGGACAGTGAGGTGACCGCCGTAGCTCAGTTTGTAGAACATCAAACACGTTATTTGAAGTTTGCAAGTTCAATCCCTGCCCGGGAGAAGTTGGCTTTTTGCTAACTATAGTAACTTTTCCAGATTTGTGCTGTAATTGCTACAATTATTATCCTTCACACTTTCTTCGGCTAGAGTGTCGCATGAAATTCATAGGTGGATACATCTGTTAGAAGACTATACCACACCATCTGCCAAAACTATCATGCATGTCATATATGACACACATGACCCGACACGAAATTGTAGTGAAATTCGACATGTGCAACTTGCGTGCAACACCTGACACACGTGACCCGCACTAGCATGCGTGTCGCAAGGTGAGAATACGGATTGCAATTGCAGGACACACACAGGGTAGCTCCCCGGTGGAAATCTCAAGTTTCTCGTGATAGACTTCAGTGAACGAGAAATTTCATTGAGCCAGTGTCACCAAAATACAAAAAACACATTCCGAAATCGATTTTGTCACACATGGAGATTTGGCCATGGAATTTACAAATGAAATGTTGACAAACTTTTTTCCTCTATCAATAAAGTTACGATAGTGAAATTAACAATATTACAGTTCTCAGAGTACACAACCCAATCTATTGTTTAACTTTAGTGTCCCTTTGCACAAACTAATGAATTTATTCATGTGCAGTGTTCATTCTTGCATGTTATGGGCCTTATTTTGTCTAAAAAGCTAAGCACCACTCTTTCAAGATTTCTCTTAGATTGCAGTATTAATAAACAAGTTAACAATTGCAGAAAGAAGCAAGACGAAGTGATATTCTGAAGTCAAATACTGTGGAGCATGTCACTGGGCGCATAATGCAGATGGCAATGCCACTTTAAGCTGTGGTTTCGGAGTATCCATTACCTGCCAGTCCTACTCTGGTAGAGTTTGCAAGCTCCACGGCCTCCTCCTCCGTCTTGAACCTAATTGGTTAAAAAAAAATGAACAAGAGAAAAAATCAAGCAGGGTTATGCACTCATGGAACTTTACATTGCAGCCGACACCCTATTTTACCAAACGCAATCGAAGGAAACTTCTTAACCATCACAAGCAAATTTCAATGGCCTGATGATAAGCAGCTGGGCACGACGTATTCTCAAGCTCGATTCTATGAAGTAAATTTAGCATGGTTTGCAGCATAGCGCTATCTTGTACAGGTGTAGCATAGCATTGTATTAAACTGCTCGTAGCATAGCATTATAATCACAGAATAAATTGTAGAATAGTGCTGCTTGAAACGAAAACACCGGAACAAATGACAAGTGAATAAAAGCGCTTATCGCGTCCTTGTTTTTCAATGCGTTATGCTGCAAGCCATTCAATGATGACAAATTAGTAAGCCCACGATCGTATTGTATTCTCAACTAAGTTCAATGGCCCTGGGTCGACACTTGTAGAACTAGACTTGCAAAGCCACCGCTACATTCTATGCCAGGCTAAAGCTTGTATGCAATTTTAATGTCACTAAATTATTTATATTACAAAGCAATTGACATCGCAAGACTCGATGTCGGTAAAATGTCATGCATTTTAAACCTCAGTATAAGGAAGGGAGCTTATTCAAGATTTCCTTATGATCAAGCTTTAGTGCTGTCCCAGATTGAGGAAATAAATTGAAAGTTCTGCAGGGGCCTATGCTCATATGCAGTTCTCACAAACACAATCTGTTGGACTTTTATTTCTGATAGGTTGATCCTTCATTATTATTATTACTTAATATTCCTCATTATTATGCCTTAATATTCAAACATTGTTCCAGCACTTACTCTGCAAAAGGCAAGCCCTTGGCAACTATACTTTGTTCAAGAGCTTGAATTTCAATTTAATGAGGCTTAGGTTTAACCAAGTAAATTGACGAACCTTGGCCACGATAATCTTCTTACATTGGCATGTCCAAGAAACTCGCGTAAACAAATTTGGAGCCTCTCGCTGCGCCATCCTTTATTGCTAGTTCAAGACATCAGCCCGGCCTCAGCCATTATAAAAATCAAATACGAAAAGTCAGCACACAAACTGTAAGAAACTCGAAACAGCATTCTCACTTCAACACTGACGCCACAGGACCAAATGTCTCCTCTTCGCAGACAAGCATGTTCCTGTTAACGTTGGTGACAAGTGTGGGTTCGAAGAAGTTCCCTCCAAGTGCGTGTCGCTTGCCTCCGACGACCACTTTGCCCCCTTTTTTGATGGCATCTGCCACATGATGCTCGACCTGCAAATTTCGAAGAGGAATGCTTGAGCATTACTCCCTGAGAACGTAGGAATTCGTTTGTAGATACCTTCAGTGAGAGGGCATATCCCAGACAAGAGCATCTTAAAGGGGCCCTGAAACCTTTTTTTAGGTAACCACGGAATGAATTAACTGGAAAAGCTTATTGCCTCACGAATTCAACGCCGCAAAAATTTCAAGAATCCGTACAGTGCGAGTGGAGTTACAAAGGTTTGTCGCATTATGCAATTGCATTCTCTCTTCTCTCGTCCCAACAAAAGCGCTGGAAGCTAAGCAGGGAAAGATGGCAGGGCCACAGAAAAACGTCACACGCGCCGCATGGCCTTGAGCACTTTTTTACTTCGAATGTGCCCCTTTTTCGGTGTGATCGCGCGCGTAGCGGCCTCCTGCAGCGATCTTTGTAACAAAGCAAGCGCGCCATGTTCAAATCAGCCAATGGCTGATAGATGGGTAATTCACGTGTGATTTTTGGGCACATTCCGCCATTTGTCAAGAGAAGGGAAAGCAATTTTTAGCTGACTTCGATATTTCATTGTGAATTCCAGGCCGCGTGCTGTGCTATAATATTCGGCCCGCGTGTTGTCGGGAGCCTCTACTACCGATCGGCAGCGTTTTCTGACCATGCTCAAAAAGTGTTGCAGAGCTCTTTTAAAGGAGTGCAGGTGCAAAATTATGAAGGAGAGAAAACATCTGGGATAAACTTGTGTGGATACATATGCATATACTAAATATGAACAACCAATATGGACTAGACTGTATTTAAAATCAATTTTAAAATGCGTACCATGCGACCGCACTTGAAACGCCCAACCTCCCCACATTGCCATCTAGTTGTTTTTATTGTAAACAACCGACAACCACCTGCATGACGAGCTTACGTTGGCTGCCATGCTCCTTCCGAGTGCTCTCTCATGGCAGACTTTTTGAATTGAAAGAGAGAGTACCTTCTTTATGGACTTACATGGAAGTACGAGGGCTGACGCCCTTGCCTCGGCAGTGCGTTCTCGTACAGTCACGCACATTCACAGTGTCCCAGAATCGATAACAGTGGCACTCAGGGAGTCTTCGTTGAAAGGAGTTGGCAATGCAGAGCTCATGTTTTATGTACTCCAGCTATGTCAACGTGAAAACCACTCTGGTCCAGTCTCTCGTGGTGTTCTCTTAAATGGGCACTATAGAACCGTCCCCAAAAAAGTAACTATCACACTATCGAGAAAACGAGTTTTTCAGCTGTGATAAGTTGGTTGTTACCTACTTACTGAAACAGAAGAAACAAAATGTAAGATAGTCATGTCAATACGTATTTTACATACTCATTTTGGTGCTGTGTTTATAAAAGAAACAACAGATTTCTATAACTTTTCTTGTTTGAGAATTGCAGAAACTGAAGTACAATAATCTGCACTTCAAACACTGCAACTACACAGCTGAGACAGACTACTGAACCGATGCTTCGTTACTCCTACATTAATATGCTTATCCCGAATCGCCACATACACATAAAATCAATCCCACTTTTACTACGACCGTAGCAAGAGCGGAAAGTGAAGTTTGTCCTGTGTGTTCATTAAATGCCTGCCCACTTAACTGCGTCGACATCAACTGCCATCGTTGATGGCACACAATGATGGTTCTTGTCATAAACAGGCCACACAATACTCATAGCCTTGAGCATTGACACAATTGGAATATGTCTATCATAGCCACAATGTATCTATTTGGGCAACCTTGAGCCTGAACAACGAAAGGACAAATTGACCACGAAAGTTTGCTGCCAGCATAGTTAGCAAAATATACATTGAATAGTATAGGGCAGGTCTATAGCTAAACATTCAGCTTAATTCAAATAGCGGTTGTTACGACTCGAAAACTTGGACAAGTATAGCAACAAATTATTTATACACCTCTCCTTTTGTGGCATAAAATTTGATTCTATTACATCAAATGATGCAATTTTCTTAGTTTTCAAAGCTATCTTAGGATGAATCTCAAAGCTTCTAAAGGTGAATATTTTTTTTTCTTTAGCAAGAGTGCAAACTCTCACTTTTTCAACTGCCTTGGAGTTGATGAGTGGGCCAAGGGTAGTGTCTGGATTGAATCCATCGCCAATCTTTATCTTTTGTTGGATGGCCTCCGTAAGGGCAGCAACAAATTTGTCGTGGACGCCCTCTTGGACCAAGATCCTGTTGGCACTCACGCACGTCTGAAAAAGCACAATTTAGGAGGTTAGCGCAAGCCCAACAACAAGTGCACAGAAATGGGTGAATAAGCTTGAGTTCATGTGCACAAGTGAATGTGCCACGTCAATGCCAATAATGAAGCCTCGAACATGGAAATTTATAGTGCTACAGAAAGCATGGTCAGACATGTAGTTTGAATGGGTGACTTGCCGCAAATAGTCTTCTTAGCTCGACATGCACACACACACACACTAAAGAAAAGCAAACTACTAGCAGAATAACTAAAGCCCCAACAGAATAACTCGCATATACATTTTGAAAACCTCACACTTGCGATAGATGGCAGTTTAACTTGATTAGCTGAGTGGTAATTGACTCTCAAGAACATTGTCCTAGTGTTGTCCTTAGACAAATTTTTTTATATATATAATGAATACATCGTTTTGATGGGGCACAGCCCAGATAAGCTTTCCATATTATTATTTATAAAAACAGACATTGAATGTGTAGCGACTCTCAGGCATGCAATAAGCCTCATTTCCCTTGTACATATCCATATTGTACATTTTCCTTGTATAAACATCCTTGTAAAATAATTAATCAATGCCCAAAAACTTAACATAATAAATTGTCAGCAAGTATACTTACAAATATAATTATTTTGAGTTACCACTTGCATATCAGTATCACGTGATGAAACCTAGTTATTACTATAGAAGACTCCCAATAAAGGGAAAATGAAATAACTTCCTTGAATTTTTCCACAACGTTCATCTCCCACAACACAGACTTCCAACACAGAATTCCCACAACACAGAATTCCAACACGCAAAATTATTCCCTAGTCACTTCAGGTTCACTTTATTAAAAATAATTAATTTAACTTCATGTACTGTGTGCATTAAAAAATCCGCGTGTTGATGGAACTGCATTAAGAGGCCTGGGGTGCGGCCTCACCGGTAACCACCGCCGGGAACGCACTCCCTCACCAGAGAAGGATTGGCCACCCTGGTGCAGTATCTGGCCACTACCTCCCACATGCATACGTCAAATAACTCACGGCCCTCAGTCCCCAGCAGCTACGAAGCAACTGACCACGGCGGCGGTCAGATCTGCAACGCAGCAGAGGGTGCTAAGAATCTCTGGATCCGGACAGGCCGCCATTGGAACCTGAACTTGGCAACATTTAACGCTAGAACCTTATCTAGTGAGGGAAGTCTAGCTGTACTATTCGAGGAGCTAGAGGGTGTTAAATGGGATATAATAGGGCTCAGTGAGGTTAGGAGGACAGATGAGGCTTATACTGTGCTACAGAATGGGCACGTCCTTTGCTATCGGGGCTTGGCAGACAGAAGAGAACTGGGAATGGGGTTCCTAATTCACAGAAATATAGCTGGCAACATAGAGGAATACTATAGCATTTATGAAAGGGTGGTAGGTATTGTAATTAAACTGAATAAAAGATACAAGATAAAGGTAGTACAGGCTTACGCGCCTACATCCAGCCATGATGACGCTTCAGTTGAAAGCTTCTATGAAGACGTGGAATCGGCAATGAGTAAGGTAAAAACACAGTATACTATAGTGATGGGCGACTTTAATGCAAAGGTAGGGAAGAAGCAGGCTGGAGACCAGGCAGTAGGAGATTATGGCATCGGCACTAGAAACACCAGAGGAGAGCTACTAGTAGAATTCGCAGAACGCAATAATTTGCGGATTTTGAGTACCTTCTACCGAAAACGAGAAAACCACAAGTGGACATGGAGGAGCCCTAATGGCGAAAATAAGAACGAAATAGACTTTATAATGACTGCACACCCAGGAATCGTACAGGATGTGGAAGTGGTTGGCAAGGTACGATGCAGTGACCATAGAATGGTACGGTCTCGAATTCGCCTAGACTTGAAGAAGGAACGACAGAAACTGATACGCAAGAAGCCAATCAATGAGCTAGCACTGAGAGGGAAAGTACAGGACTTCAGAGTGTCGCTGCAGAACAGGTTCTCGGCTCTTAGTGAGGAAACCAACCTTAGCGTAGATACAATGAATGATAATCTGACGAGTATCATTACAGAGTGTGCAGTGGAAGTTGGAGGCAGGGTAGTGAGACAGGACACTGGCCAGCTTTCCCAGGAAACAAAGAACCTAATCAAGAAGCGTCAAATCATGAAAGTGTCAAGTACAACAGACAAAATAGAACTGGCAGAGCTTTCGAAGTTGATTAATAGGCGTAAGGTATCTGATGTAAGAAGGTATAACATGGAGAGAATTGAAAACGCCCTGAAAAACGAAGGAAGCGTCAAAGCAGTGAAGAGGAAACTTGGGATAGGCAAAAGTCGGATGTATGCACTAAGGGACAAAGAAGGCAAAATAACTACCAATATGGATAGGATAGTTAAAATAGCGGAGGAGTTTTACAGAGATCTGTACAGTAGCCGAGACAACCACGACCTTAATACTATAAGAACTAGCAGTAACCCAGATGACACCCCACCAGTAAAGATAGAAGAAGTCAGAAAAGCTTTGGAGAGCATGCAAAGAGGCAAAGCTGCTGGTGAGGATCAGATAACATCAGATCTGCTGAAAGATGGCGCACAGATTGTGTTAGAAAACATTCCGCCATATCCACGAAATGAATGATGATGAGTGGGCGAAGCTCCGGAGGTAAACCTGGTAAACCATGAATCCTCTGTACATTTTGCCCACTCGATTTTATTACATCGCTCCCCCTAGCATACGTCGCCGCACTAAATCGAACGATTGCCTTCAACCAATGACACGCGCCATATGTGACATCATTCCTATTTTATAAGATCTCGCGTCTTTCATCAACTACAAGTACCGCTTTCTAGTTTATAACATCTTGCATCTTTTCATCATCAGCTACAAGTACCACCATCTAGTAAACACTACAAGAACTAAACGAGAGGTGGCTACATACAGGAGACGGTACCGCCATCTAGTGAACACTGCAAGAACTAAACTAGAGGTGGCTACATACAGGGGACCGTACCGCCATCTAGTGAACACTGTAAGAACTAAACTAGAGGTGGCTACATACAGGCTACAGGGGACGCACAGCCCACGCCCTAAGGAGCTTCGCCCCTAAAAACTAGCCACCCTGTTTACGAGGTGTCTCCTGACGGGAAGGGTACCAGAGTCTTGGAAGAACGCTAACATCACCTTAATACATAAGAAAGGAGATGACAAGGACTTGAAGAATTACAGGCCGATCAGCTTGCTCTTTGTAGTAAACAAGTTATTTAGAAAGGTAATTGCTAACAGAGTAAAGAAAACATTAGAATTCAATCAGCCAAAGGAACAAGCAGGATTTCGAACAGGCTACTCAACAATTGACCACATTCATACTATCAATCAGGTAATAGAGAAACGCTCAGAATATAATCAGCCACTATACATAGCCTTCATAGATTACGAGAAGGCGTTTGATTCAGCATAAATATCAGCCGTCATGCAGACACTGCGGAATCAGGGCGTCGATGAAGTATATATAAACATTCTGGAAGAAATCTACAGGGGATCAACTGCTACCATAGTGCTTCATAAAGAAAGCAACAGAATATCAATCAAGAAGGGTGTAAGGCAGGGGGACACAATCTCCCCAATGCTATTTACCGCGTGCTTACAGGAGGTTTTCAGAAGCCTACAATGGGAACAGTTAGGGATAAGAGTTAATGGAGAGTACCTTAGTAACGTGCGCTTCGCCAATGACTTTGCATTGCTGAGTAACTCAGGGGACGAATTGCAACTCATGATTACGGAGTTAGACAAGGAGAGCAGAAAGGCGGGTCTTAAAATTAATCAGGAGAAAACGAAAGTAATGTACAATCTGGGAAGAGAGCAGCGCTTCGAGATTGGTAATAGTGCACTTCAAGTTGTAAAACACTATGTCTACTTAGGGCAGGTAATAACCGCGGAGCCGAACCACGAGATTGAAGTAACTAAAAGAATAAGAATGGGGTGGAGCACATTTGGCAAGCACTCTCAAATTATGACAGGTAGATTGCCACTATCCCTCAAGAGAAAGGTATATAACAGCTGTATCTTGCCGGTACTTAGCTACGGAGCAGAAACCTGGAGACTTACAAAGAGGATTCAGCTTAAATTGAGGACGGCGCATCGAGCAATGGAAAGAAAAATGGTAGGTGTAATCTTAAGAGACAGGAAGAGAGCAGAGTGGATTAGGGAACAAACGGGGGTTAAGGATATCATAGTTGAAATAAAGAAGAGGAAATGGACATGGGCCGGGCATGTAGCACGTAGACAGGTTAACCGCTGGTCATTAAGGGTAACTAACTGGATTCCCAGAGAAGGGAAGCGGGTTAGGGGGAGACAGAAGGTTAGGTGGGCAGATGAGATTAAGAAGTTTGCGGGTATAAATTGGCAGCGGCAAGCACAGGACCGGGTTAACTGGCGGAACATCGGAGAGGCCTTTGTCCTGCAGTGGACGTAGTCAGGCTGCTGCTGCTGCTGATGATGATGACTGTGTGCATTCTCAGAGGTTACACTTTAGATTTCTGATAAAGTTCATCGGCAGAATTTTTTCGTACACATACCACTGCATAAAGAGGTACTCAGGTTGACAGCATGAAACAGTAGAAATGTGCTATCCTCTGCTTTTCACTGTTTGTAGTGTAGTGCCTGGCGTGCCACATTTCTTTTTGCCGTGAGGTCGATAGAAAATAAAAATGAATATTACAATAGAAAACAAGTGTGCCACCGCTCTCGCGAGCTTGTTTTCTACTGGGGTCCTGTTTAACACTTTCACCCCTCTATTTACAAATGCACCTCGACTCAAACTTCATTCTTCACTTGACATGACAAAGTTGAGCACTGCACCGCTGTTCCACTGAATATGACGCTGCGCTTCTCAAGAATTGCTGCAGACTATCGCTGATATGCAGTGACTTTCTCTTCCAAAAGACAGCGTTTCCGTTGACTTTCTCAAGTCAAGGTAAAGCGTTGAGTGAAGGGGCGTTCTAGAATACGAGGATTAGTGACTAGTGGCTATCTTGCCTACGCGCTACATGCCCCGCCCATGTCCTTTTCTTCCTGATTTGGACTAAGATGTCCTTAACACTCGTTTGTTCCCTGACCCACTTGGCTTTTTTCATGTCCCTTAAGGTTACACTTATCATTTTCTTTTCCATGGCTCCCTGAGTCATCCTCAGTTGAACCCTCTTTGCAAGCCTCGAGCTGTTCAGCACTATGAAATTTGAATTTTGAGCCCTGCGAAATGGTGGAACCCTGGCTGACCTGTCCAGTGTTTCTGAACTTGCAAGCCAGGGCTCCGTTGACGGCCTTCTCCAGGTTGGCTGTGTCGAAAACAATGAAGGGTGCATTCCCGCCGAGTTCCAGTGACACTTTTTTCACGCTGTCGGCACACTGAGCAAGTAGAAGCTGTGGGAAAAAGAAAAAAAAAATTAGTCACTCTGTAAAAAAAAAACATGCTCCGCTATTTTCACTGAAACCCCCCAAAAATATATATATTTCTTTGCTCCGGATATGCACAGTTACTAGGCCTTGAGAATACATGCTACATACGTCATTATTGTGGCATCGATAGCACGCAGCTTTACAAAAGTGATTATATTCAGGAATGTGCATATGTGGACCAAAACGTGGAATTAAAAAAAAGGGGGGGAAGCTAACTAAGAAAAAAAATGGAGGTATATCAGCTATTGTAGTCGATATGAAGAGGAAGAAATAGAGTCTGTTAGCACATACTTCAAAGTATATTGTAGATAAGTAATCTATTTGAGTAACAGAACGTGTGCTGAAGGAAAGAAAGAAAATTTAGTGATAGTTGACAGTTAGTCGATGTGGTTCAATTTAAAGGCAGTGGTAGTTACAGATTGCTGGGATGGGCCTCAGTCCTAGCAGTGGACGTAATTAAGACAATAACGACAATCGCCACAGAAACTCAATCGATCAGTTAATCACAACAGATGATGTCGACATGAAAAACCACTCGGGACCACTGCGTGCCTCGTTAACAACAGTCTGCATCACCTTGCCGACGGCAGATGACCCGGTGAAGGAGAGAGCGTGGATCTGGTGGTGCTCGCACAGGGCCCGGCCGACTGCTGGGGTGGTCTTCGCCGAGCTGGGCAGCACGTTCACCGTGCCTGGCGGGAAGCCGGCTTCGTGTGCCAGCTGCGCCAGGGCCAACGCCGAGAGTGGGGTCTCCGGTGCAGGCTTGATGATGCACGTGCACCCTGCCGCCAGAGCGGCGCCAATCTTGCGGGTGATCATGGCGTTGGGGAAGTTCCACTGCAGCGAGCGTTCTATAATTGCATTGCATTTTTGGCGTCGTAGAAGGCAGGTTTTTCTCATGCGAGGAATGGGGCTGGGGGCAAAACTTCAAAGGTGCAGCTGACCCTTGTGGGAGAGGTAAATCGCTAAACCAGCTCAAATCGCTGTTACCTTTAAAACAGGGATCTCATGCGCACCTCGGCTAACGGGCTGTAGATAGGAGCTGAGACAACAGTCGAGCTACCATGTCTCGTATATGGGTCATTTCCGAAGGGGAATTGTGAGAACTGTGAGGATTTGTGAGAGCAGCGTCATAGAAAACGTGTCTTAAAAAAGAAATGGAATATACACATCAAACTATTATCACATACATAGTAAAAACCTTAGCAAGCTTTTGCATCCTCTCATGGTATGCGTATACATGCACATGCATCTGTATTTTCTTACTGCTATGCTGATTGCACAATCCTTCCACTAGCCTTAACAGTTAACAACACTGTAATAACAATAGTAATTATTCATATTCCTACAACAGTAGTTTACACATCTTGATTCTCTGGTATTTGAGAGTAATTTAGCAGTGCTCATAGGTTAGCCGCTGATCAAACCTAATCATGAGCTGTCTTTTTTTTTACAAGAAAAGATCATAAATAGAAAAGCAAAATACCAAGAAAAGTCTGACCACAGGAATTAAGTACACAGGGGAGTGCGAATATTGAAATTTTCAAAATACGAGTAAGGAAATGTAAGGCAATAAACTGTCCTGAAGATTGAATATGTGTACATCCTCGAAAATCTGCCAAACAAGAAGAATGGATAACTTTCATTACGCTTAAAAAAATAATGTATTAGCATATGAATATAATTAACATATTGGTAACGTTTTACTTTAAAGATAAGAATGTGTAAGATAGGTTATTTGTTATTTGTTCAAGTATTCAAAACTCTCAAATATTTTCTCCTGTAACCGAACATTCAGTTGACGCCAGATATTCTACAATGATCACGTGAGAATATGCATTTTTCAAACTGAATGCGCTTAGAGTGAAGAAAATATGTTATTTTTATTTGAAATTTCGAATATTCGCGGACCTCTAGAAATAAGCAAAGCGAGACATACTGGAGTGATGATGCCCGTGACGCCCACAGGCTGCTTCATGAAAACCATCTCCCTTCCTTTGACGGGAGCGGGAACATAATCGCCGTACATCCGCCGAGCCTCTGCAGCAAACCACTCGAGGAATGAGGCCCCGTACACAACTTCAGATCGGGATTCTACCATTGGCTTGCCCTAAAGAAGGCAGGGGAGACGGGAAAGAATTGGCGTTGCTATTTCATCACATGTTGTTAAGCCGCTGTAGTCTCCTGCTTAGTGACACATCAAGAGTGGGAATATCAATGATATTCATGAGAAGGAGCAGTGGAAAGATATTTTCCACTCTTCGTTTTTATTTGTCCTTTCGTCTGCATAACATGAGTGTTTTAATCCTTGTAACTTTGTACACATTCCACTTGTCTAAATCTCTATTCAAGGGTTGCCACCTCAACTTCGTGTATTTTGATAAAATATATTGAATTTAAGTCGTACTTATTTGAGTTCACAGCCCATGCTAAGTGTCGAGAGAAGCTGCCTTCTGAAACTTTAGCTTGACCCCCCCCACCCCCAACATCCTGGATCTAGGCTACTTCCCTCAGAGGCACCCCCGCCCCTATCGTAGGTCAATTTATCTAAGCTGCACCCCTAATCTTAAATTTCACATATTCAGTTCCTTCAGTCACTTATAATTTACCGATGAAAACAGCTGAAGTCTACACCTGGGCTTATGAAAAAATACCTTAAAACAGGGCAAAGCCTGGCTGCAAATGTAAAAAAAAATGTTGCATTCTATGAACGCACTTAAATGCTAGCATAGAAGCGTTTTTACATTCCATTTACATCAATACATAACTGCTTCAGTAAAGGGTCCCTGCAACACCTTTAAAGTAGCCATAGAATGAATTCACGAAATAACCACTGCAACAAATAGTTTTAGAATCCGTCCAGTACTAGCAGAGTCTTAAAGATTTGTCCCATGCTGCAACTGCATTCTCTCTTCTCTCGTCCCAACGAAAGCACTGGAAGCTAAGCAGGGAGGGATGGCACAGGGAAAGAAAATACATCGCGCGTGCTTCGTGACCTCGATCACCTTTTCTTTTTTTTTCCTTTAATACACGGCTTTTCAGTGCGATCCCGTGCCCATGCATGGGCAAGCTACGGCCGCGCGCGGCTGCCCCTGTAACAACCGAGCCTGCAATGCCCTAGTCAGCCAATGGCTGATACAACGGCTGTGATGGGTGATTTTTGAGCCTGTTTCGCCATTTGTTGAGAGAAGAGAGAACAATTTTTCGCTGACTTTGGGAATTTATTGAGAATCCAGGCTGCGTGCTGTGCTATAAAATTTGGCTTGCGTGTTATCGGGAGCCTCGAGTACCGATCGGCAGAGTTTTCTGACTACGCACAAAAAGTGTTGTAGGGCCCCTTTCAGTAAGAAATTGAACACCCAATCTATTTTTCGTTGACAGAGTACGCCATAGCTTCTAGAAAACTGAAATGACTGAGCAGGAGAGAAGCCCCCAAAACTGAAAATTCAAGACATGCGTCGTACGTTTTCAGCAGTCATGAGCTTGGCGAGGTCCTCGGCATGCTTGTTTTGTAGCTGATAAAACTTGAGCAGCATTGCCGACCGCTCCTGTAAAAAATTCAAGAATGAAGCAATATCATTAAGGTTGCTACCGTGAAATTTTAGATTGAAAGGTGCACCAGGCAAAAAGTCTTTGAGCATGGTTCAAGAGGGAAGGCTGACACAACCTGGGAAGCAATGAATTCACAAGTGACTTCAATGGCGACAGCATGCAAAGATATTCAAGAATCAGCGGCAATGCACAACAGAGAAAGACCTCAGCACCGACATCAAACTTATTAGACCAAGTAAAAATAACAGAGAGAAAGTCTAGTCAAACCTCAAGCAGCATTTGCATTATAGTAGATAAAAACTTCAGGCATATCAGACTATTTTAGCAACACTGCTGACTTATTTCTGCTCCAATTTCACACATAGGTAGCGAGCATTTCTTAGCGCGATCAGTTAAATTTTACATTTACAAGCATTTGACCTGTTTCATTTACAACAATGCGAACTTTATTGCAGTTTGTGACAACGCCTTTCGAGGGTTTATTTTGCTGCAATGAAATGGTGGCACCGCCTGCCAGCGCCACTGTGAAATACTAGTTTTGGTATAATGAAATGTGCGGTGCTACGCTCAAGGATGCAGTTTTGATTCCCAGCCACAACAGGCATATTAGAAAGGCGGCAAAATGAATAAACACCTATGCACATTCATTTTGGTGCGTGTTGAAAATCTGCACATGGTCAAAATTAATTTAGAGTCCCCCACTATGGTAGGCCTTGGAATCATACTCATACTGTGGCATAGCTAATTAAAAACCCGCAATCTGATTTTCTTTTTATCCGAGTGAAAAACAGCGCCACCATGCTGTTGCAGCAAAACTGAAAGTTTTTAGTGGTGCTTCCATGGGCTACAAAGTAGTAAGCACAAGGTGAAGTGGAGACCCATGAGCAAAAAACAGACTATAGAGTACAGAATATCTCCTGCCAGTTATGCGAATTTGCCCCTTATGCTCCGCGTGCTACAGTGTTAACTAAGACGCGATAGACAGCCGATAAATCAATCTTCAAGAGCGTGTAGTGCACAGGCTCAATCTAACTGAAAAGTTAATGCAAACTAAACTAGCAAATTGGGCTAGTTGGAACATACTCATCACAATCAGTGCACAAAAACACGAGAACATGCATGACTTTGTTTTTTTTTTGTTCCAAATAAGTGCAACCAAAAATCAAACTGGGCATGCATTATGGGCCTAATATTGATTTTTTTTTATTTTATGCAAAGCTAAAAGGCAACGAATTGCAGAATAATTAGATATTTAATTACATGTTAGTTAACAGTATTTACTCAAACTCACAGAAAACAACACATTACTTCATTTTCTTTCTTGAAATGTAATATTGAGCGCCTTGGCATCACGCCATGCAAATTTGACGCATTTCAAGACAGTGCATCATAATTCGCGCCCAAAGAGATTATGGAAAATACCTTGTTTGTTTCGCATCCTTATTCACTTGAAACAGCCTTCCTATTAACAATAAGCAGTCTTCATTGCTACCTCTTCTTCAGGAATCATTATTCACATTTCTTCTTGATAACATGAAACTCTGATATCTATGATACTATCTTCACTTGTTCTCATTTTCTGTACTGTTCTTGTTTCTATATTTGCTTATCTTTTTCTTTCATAGATCGACCATTACTTGTTTAGCCAGCAATCAGTTTTTTATGTTTGCAAACCGTTAAAAGCAGTGTTCTTGATGAACTTATAACTGGTTTCTTTTTTTCAACTATTTTCAGTTTGTACTAGGACATTTTCTTTGTATATATTCTTCCTCGTTGTTGACATTTCTGCATTCTAATGGTACATAATACACATATTTTCTGACAAGATATTCCCCTTCAGCTAAATGCTCTGGGACCTCCTTTTGTATTTTTGTATACTTAAGTAAGCTTGTATGTTTCATATAAAAGTAAAAGAACTGATACTGGTGCTCCATGAGGTAGCATTTCGAGGATGTGACAATCATACAAAAGCGAATGACATTTATCCTGGAGCAGTAAGCAAAAGGAGTTTTATTTATCGTGGCTCTTGCAATCAAACCTAGAAGAGGTGCAGCAAGTTTATTACTGTGCAATAGGCAAGCATCTTTAGTTTTTAGGGATCGCGGTTTGGGCCCTAGTCGGTGTTTAATAGTAGAGGAGCAATGAGTGGGACAATATGAACGATATCTGACAGCTACAGGTGATGACAAATACTACCAGTTAGATATATCACAAAAATCTCTCCGACGAGCTTGATCTCATTGTCCCTCACATGTCTTCCACCCCATATGCTGTACTTCCACACTCTTCAAGAAACGAATAATCCCTGAGCACGGGGTGCTGCTGGAGCCAACGTTTCAAGTAGTGGCCTTGTCTTCTTCGAGGCAGCAAACACTTGTTTTAGCATGTGTGTAGCCTTGAAGATGGCAAGAGCGCTTATAGTTAGCTCCTGTGACACCCCATTTTCATCTCGTCGTGCTTCTATTTTCCCCTGAACTTCTGCCTTTTTAGATTAACAATCTTCAAGCATATTGAAGGTGCATTATGTGGCATGGCATATTTGAAAGTTTGTAGAATATACATACACTCTAACCTCAAAATAACAAACCCAAATAAAATGAAACATTGGTTGCAACAAAGTGAACGAAGAATAGTTTTGCAACACACACAGTGTTAAAAATTATCTTTGTAATGAATTTCCAGATATAACGAACTTAATTTCGTGTAAGATGCAACTTTGTTATAATGAGGTTTCAGTAGTACATATTTTAAAACCCTGTCTGCAATACAATCTTTCGGGGCAGGCAGTGTATACTCAGTTGTGTAACAACAATTTAATTATGGTAACTTAGCCAGAATATGTCAGCACACATGAAAGATATATTAACAGAAATTTTCCGACTATACAAATATGCATGCTGTGGTAGTGTACCTTTGCCGTTGTCTCCTTGAATGTCTTGAAGGCGACGATGGCAGCCTGGACTGCATCCTCGACGTCCTCCGAGGAGCAGTCAGAGACGTTGCAAATCACTTCCCCATTCGCAGGGTTAAACACCTGAAAAAAAATTGATCCCCGATTGGGGGTGAAAACCTCAGGTGGTATATTCATATGCACATAGAAGGAAGGCCGCATGTGTATATAAATGTCTCACAGAATTAGATTTCCGTTAATTAGCTGTCTTGTGAACTCATACGTGCAGCTTATAACCGACCTTTAATGTAGTGTAATACATGTGTCACATAGCGCGTCCTTCCCGGAGTATAAAATGTTGTCGGCTAAGGTTACACGGCGCCCCGCCGCGGTGGTGTAGTGGCTAAGGTACTCGGCTGCTGACCCGCAGGTCGCGGGATCGAATCCCGACTTCGGCGGCTGCATTTCCGATGGAGGCGGAAATGTTGTAGGCTCAGATTTGGGTGCTCAGATTTGGGTGCACGTTAAAGAACCCCAGGTGGTCGAAATTTCCGGAGCCCTCCACTACGACGTCTCTCATAATCATGTGGTGGTTTTGGGACGTTAAACCCCACGAATCAATCAATCAATAAGATTGCACGGCGGGATTGTTGGTCATCCAAAGTTCGCGCTGTGTTTGTGTCATGTGTCCTCTGCTGTGTCCTGTCCTGGAGGCGCTATTCATCGGACACTTAAAATGCCGTCAATGAACGAAAACATCGGGTATCTCTACAAGCACGAGTGTTCACGAACAGCACTCGCGCATATACTCACCGGGAATGTGGCACCGCTTTTGGACTGCCTCCAGCTACCATTGATGAAGGCTTTTTCGTGGGCCAGAGCATAGTTATGCTGTAGCCGCACCACCAAGGTCCCGCTCGCGCGTGACACCATGGTGGGCACCTGGAAACGTAAACAAGAGCTGAAACGTCACCGTGCGAGGCAGAGAAACTTCGTTACAGGAGCCACAATCCGCTATCGCATTCGAGTTCTATCACAGCGCGATGCGACCGTACTGCGGTACCCGAAACTGACGAGATCCACGAGAAAAATGTTTTCTCGTTTAGTTCGTTGCCCTTCGCGGACCTGCGGACAGACATCGCAGCACGATAAGCCGTCGGCGATAAAGAAAACCCGCGTAAAACGTAGCAGGGTCGCGCAAAAGCGTCTGCTACGACCGCGGACTCGGATAGTTTCGCCGACAGTTTACTCAGATAGCGAAGATCGTGTACCAGAAACGCGGTGCTTCGAATAAGCGGCAGCATCTTTGCTCTCTCTGTGAGCCCTACGCGCCCTGTTCGGGGTACCTAATCGAGACTAAACGACAGATAATAAAAACTTATTCCCGAGGTCTCGCCGCTCTGCGAAAGCCATGGCGCCAAACAAGACGTGGCCGAGACCACCAAGCCGCTTAGCCGTATTACTCCATAGTAAAAATCTGGTTTAACTTTTTATTAAAAAACTAAAATTGTAAACTTATACATGACTTCAAACGTTTTTTGTGCTGCATATTTGAACTTGTTTAGTATAAAAAGTGATGTACTCTTTTAATTTCGCTTAGTTTCGGTTTGCAGCCGGCAAGGGAGTGAGGGTAAATCGCGACCCAGCCCACTTGCACCTTCGTGAAATGATAAGCGGGTGAACAGATATCTGATTTCCCACATTCCGCAATCACAGTCGTTAGCATCTTATTAGCGAAGGCTTAACGAAAGTGTTGCACGCGCGATCTGTGAACCTGTACGTGTCAACAGTCGCTGAGCATTTTCGTGCACTCCTAGGACGTAAAGAAACTCAAAGATGCCCGACAAGAGGAAAGTCAGCCCCGTCAAAGATTTCTTCGCTGGTGGTTTCGGCGGCATTTGTCTCATATTCGCCGGCCACCCACTGGACACTATTAAGGTGAGTGGAACCAAGCGCTGGGATCATTCCTTTCACTTTATTTCGGTAGAAATACGACCGCGTCACGCGATGCCGACCTATTGGATGTAAGTGCCCGTTTAAAAGGGTGTTACTCACGAGCGGTGCAGTTTTCTCGTGGCGAGCGCGCTTATTCACTACTCGCTGATTAAGTTCGGCGCGCGCGATGGCACCCCGAAACACGTGGAATAGAAACACTTGTTGCGGCAACAAACGGTGGCGCTCCCCCGCCGCACAGAGCCGAAAGGGGGGCTGCAATCAATCGATCGATGAAGCCACGGGAACGTTGGACATGCACTGCATATCCCTTCTAGCTTGCACACCTTATCGCTGCTCTGCTGGTGCGGTTATAAACCGAAAGGTGGTTGCCGCTTTCCTTCGCTCTCTCTTAGCGTTACAACTTCGATAAGACGTACACTATCGTTTTTTGCCCACTCTCTGAGAAGAGGAAGACGAACAAAAACGGCTGACCGTTTCATTCGATGGCAGCGCGTCTTGATTCGTGCGATCAAGTCGCGCTAGCTAATTCTCCCGCGAACTACCGTGTGAATAGAAGTTTGAGTCGGTTTCTACGTAGCTGCGCCTGTGAAATTTCATTCCGAAGGCACTCGGGAGAAAGACTGATTTGCGCTCGGTAGCACCATGGGTACGAGAAATAAAGTGAGCCCGATCAAGGACTTCATAGCCGGCGGTTTCGGTGGCATCTGCACGGTGGTCTCTGGACACCCTCTAGATACCATCAAGGTAATTTTGGCTGTGACCGTGCATAATGCATTTGTCACATCATGGACCTTCTGAACGTGTTTTATATAGTGGAATGTGTGATCAATGGAAATGGTCATGCACAGCATTGACAGTGCATGGTTGCATGATTCGTTTGCGTGTTCTCCATCCACTTGATCATTGTCATTCAAGCACATGTAATGTGTTGAAAGCCACACAAAAGGCTGCTCTATATCTGATCATGCAGTGGTTGGCAAACGTAGAAGAAACACTAGTAGAAAATACAATAAAACGGCTTGTCTAGCCCTTTTCCTCTGAACTTTATGGTGCTACGTCCTATATCTTAGTTTAGCTGTGTCTTGCTTTATCTGCACCTAACATTACAGATTTCTGAAAGCAGTGAACTCGCTGTGCTGAAAGCTCATTAATACTTTTGTGTTGGCAAGAGCTAGCAGGCAGTGGTTGTATGCAGTAAAGTGCTACATTGTACTTAAGACATTCCTTTGTTATGATGCTCAAAGTCTGCTTAGGAACTCTGAAATCTACACATTGTTGCAAGCAAAAAGTTTCTGACTATGGTGTGGGGCATTCTTTCAAATATTTGTCATCTGAAGTCATATGATAGCAAGGAGACATAGTACACTTGGTGAAGGCCGCTTAAGTGCTGTATTGCTCCGTTTTTTCCAAAGATATTGTCACTTATAATTTAGAAGTGTGTTTAGAAACTGTGTTTTGGGAATATCACTTTCAATGACAGTGTCGTTTTGCATGCCATCTAGTCTGTTGTGACCTCTGATTGATCCCTTTGAGTGACGTATAATTTCATTCTTGTGATGACTGAAATGGCTACTCGCACACTTTTCCACAATCAAGTGATCAGCGTGCACCGAAAATGTTACTGTCTACAAAAGTAACTCTCACGATGTGCTCTTAGATGGTGTGTTGCAAGAAAGAAAAAAAAAAGTGGTCTAGTGACAAATCGGCTAAAAACTCAATGCAATAGTCCAGTAATTATGATTGGTCGAATACAGACCAAAAGCTTGCAGGCTTGGTTCCAGTCCCAGTGGTTTCATTATGACGAAAATTGGATTTATCAATGTGCATTCACTATGCTAGGTGCATATTAAAAAACCAAGGTCTTTAAAATTGATACGCAGCTCTGTACCAATGTGGCACTTTGAAACCACTGTGCAGAATTTTTTCATTACTAGAACTTAAAAGCGGGGCTGATTGATTGTTTTTGAAATTGATATTCCTCCACAATTACCAAGATCAGAAATACCACTATCATAGTGTCGCGATGATCTGGCAGTATGTATATGATCGAACCATTGACCATTCCTTGTCCTTGAAGACAGGAACATATTTGAAAATGGGCACGCAGGAAGGGTTCTCTGTTACCACTGTCGATTGAAAATGGTTTTGCACAAATGCAGATTTACGGACACAGCAGCACTTAACCCGGAGGGTGCAAATGTGTAAGTGGTGGATATACATGACGCGCGAAATAAGGCACTTAATGTGACAACCAAGATTCTCCCTCCTATTGTTTCAGCACTAGTGCTGATTGCCCATCAGGATGCAAGTTTGTGCAAAAAAGTAACTCTCACAACCTTTGCTCTTAGCCCTGATTCTGGTGCCTTACTGCGTGTGCAGTGTGGTGGTATCATTGGGACAGGTGCAGGAGAGTGTGCATGCATCACCATGTAATGTTCTGAGAAATCATGTTCTTTTTCATTGGAGTGAACAGACCGACCTAAATGTCAAAAGTCTTCGCACTTTAAACATCAGTATGAATAAACATTCAGCTTAGTCTTTTTATTAATAATTTTGAAATTAGCTATCACAGCAAGAAAATTAAATCAGACTACTAATGCTCTTACAGAAGCAAATTAAGTACACGAGAAAATTGAAATATTGTTGCACAGTATGTTGATTTATTCTACCATTTTTGTCTGGTTGTGCGACTGGGCTGTGCAAACTGCGTAGCGAAAGACTGTCTCTATACAAGACAGCGTAAACTTGGTCATAAATTGTTGCCATTATACCCTGCTGCAGAAATTGGGTGGAAGGCTACATTGTCTAAAATATAAGTATTCACTACATAGTTGGCCAATCAAAATTTTAATATTTGTTTGAACTATTTGAGTTCTTATTTTGCGACTTTCTTGTATTTGGATGCATTGAAAAACACATTTATCTCCTTCAAAGGCCTCATTCACATTAAGTCGGATGCTTTTGATAGGTATCCATTTGTATTTCTCATCATACTTTAAATCTTCGAATAAAACATTCTAAAGATGTGTAGTGGCTGATTAGAGACATTGTAGTTTTAACAGAGGACTTAAGGATAATTGTGATCACCTGGTTTTCTTTCTGCACCAGTAAACTCGGCTGTCATGTTGTTACTTGTGAAGTAGTTATGCGTCGGTAGTAAACAGAAAATAGAATCTTCCAATAAAGCCCTTAGAAAAATTGGTGGTGGTGCTGAGCTTGCTTATAGTTGTAATAGTTATATAGTATGGATCAAAGATTGGACATATAAACATAGATGATGGAGCTGCAGACCACATGGCAATGTTCGTGAGAGTGTATTGATATTAAACTCCAGTCCGCTCTTGTTAATTCAAACGCAAAGGAACCTCTGAGTTTAGTTTGAATTGTCAAGAATTTTGAAATATCAGAAGTTTTCAGATAGATGACACTGGATGAGGTGACACCCACATTATGATTGGACATTGGTTTTATCACATTTAAACATTTTTTTAAGTGTTTTTATTCCATAACTGCATGCAGTAAACAGAAAGCAGAGGTTTAAAGTCTGCATCTTATTGGCCATTTACTGCTGATCAGACCTTTTTTAATAAATTCTGAATTTCCAACTGTTTTATTGCTATAGGTATGTGCCTTCATCATAAAGCTCTCTAAACTAGTTCGGAAGCATAACAGTTTACCATGTGTGTGCTTCATTTAAAATGTTTGTTTACTTGCAAAGCCTTTTTCGTTGAAGGCCTCAGGTGTTTATTTTAAATTTTTTAGAGTGTTAGGGTTATATAAGCACAAAAGTATTTGAATAGTAGTGGGAAAGCAGCAGCAGCAGGTGAGAACCTGCAAAAAGTATGAATTAACCAAATGATGGAGCTTGAATTAAGAGGCCTTTAAATGCGTTGTAAGAATAGAGGGCCAACCAAAAAAATTAATTTTGTTTCAATTAATCAAAAGTATGAATTATCAGAGTTTTAATTATTAAGAGTCTACTGTACTTCTCTGCTGTACACACATACATAAATGGGAGAAAATGTCTAGAAGTGCTGCAAAGCATACTCCTCTAGCATATGGCTTTATCTTCACCTTCCGCAAAAATGTTAGAAATGAATTCGGTAAGTGGATCGTTTGACCTTCTATTGTTTGGCTGAGAGATGGGACATATCTTTTTTTTTTTTTCTCCTGCGCGGAAACGGTCTACGAAAATGTACATTTAAAGTCTATCAGTATTGTGTCCCAGCTCCAAGTAGACCTCAGTATGGCCGAGTCAAATTTTTAGTGGTAGAAGGGGGAACAAAATTTTCCTGCACTTGTTCAGTCTTATCATTTACTCAGCTTTATTACATGTGTGATCACGAATGCATGCAAGGAAATTTTACCGAGGTAGATGTCGTTGAAAGAATGAGTTTGGTCCCTTTTTTCATTTTTTTTTTCTTCGACTGCAGTTAGGTTGCAGTGATGCAGCATTGAAGCTGTAAATCTGACATAGAAGTTCTTATTTATCATTGGAAAGAAGTGTAGCATATTAAAGAGCAGCTGAAACAAACTCTGTCTCAACATTGTGTGTTCTGTGGCTCCCTTGAGCATTTTAAATGTGACTCAACACTGATTAAATGCAGCACAGCCTGTTCAGTAAGGCCTCTTTTAGGCTGCAACTTTGCACAGCAACTTTGCACAGAATTTTGTGCTTTCTATTTTCGACGATACTTGGTCGTTTCTTCACAGCCATACAAGGTTCAAGATGCCTTGCGTAAATTGTGAGCGGTGAGTGACCCGACAGATGTTGAGATAAATGTAACCGAAGGACTGTTGGTCTAGATATGGTCCAAAGCAGAGATAATATGTGGTGTACGTATGAGATTTGGTGCCGTGCTCTATCGCTTGTACAATAAAACCCGGGATTTGGTTTCATATGCGTTCCAGGTGATGCAATGTCATGTTGTGTGCGCGCGTACATTGCATGAATTTCTTTTCAAGCAATTAAATGCACATTGTTCTGTACTTAGAAGAGCATTGCCTTTGTTTTAATTATATGGATGGCCATTACTGATGCCGTTGCTGGTAATTTGTTTTTTATTTGTCTGCATCTCTGTGCATGTTCAACAAGTATAACATTTGGAGATGTGCCAATATTGCTAACTTAACGATCACTAATGATGTTATGTTCTATTTGATTTGGTCTTTGAGTCAAATCGTTTCTCTTTCTCAATAGATTAAAAAAACTTCAAAATGTTAGTTTCGCACACTCAGGCACAAGATTTAAGTAAGAGCATGATAAATTTGTTCCTGTGCACTCAGTAAAGACATTAAAAAAATGAAGACGTTTGTGGCCGAGTGGACTATGTCAGTCAGTGTGACATACTTTGCCAGTTATAAAACAATCGCACCCATCATCAGAAGAGTGCTGTCTACACATGGGTTCCTAGTGTGCCATATGTACTTTTCAGGAACATTTCAAGACATGCACTATTGTGTCAGGAACTTGGTAGTGTTAAATGCTAGCATCTGAAAAGTCATTCTCGAATTATTACGAAAACAATAAGAAGGGTATTCTATATGGGGCAAAATTGAATCCTCTTATTGTTTGGTTCTCATTCAATTCATCTAAAAAAAAAAAGCTACTGCCCTTGCACTCATAAGTGTTCTCTTATCCACATGCCAGGAAGCCTCCCTGTAAAAGAGGCCCGCCAGAAACACCAACAATCGTCCATGTACTTGACCCACAGCTAAATGAAGAACTAGTTATCCAAGCCATGAAATGGTTCTGGCATTAGAAAGTTCTCACCATTTCTTGTAGCTGCTACAACACCAACTTCCTAAATAGTGTACGTGTTGTTTGAGGAAACCAAATGTAAAAGTGGGAAAAAGTCATGTAAGAAAGGGAAACTGCAGGGAATGCAGTAAACAGTTTATGGTAGTACATCTGTTGACAGCGTAAATACGCTATTTTGATGCATGGCAGACTAAAAAAAACTGGAGTGCATGGTAGGCATACTGTGGTGGGGTGATCTGGCTCTACCAGCATATTGTACAACTGAAAAGAAAAAAAAAAGATTGTAGAAAATAGACGAGATAGTAGGGATCACAGTGGGAATGGAAAAATAGGTGTAATAAGGGATTTAGAGTTTAGAATGTGTAATATCAGCCCAGAAAAAATGGCACAAGTGCGTGGTAAAATCTTCCTACTGACCAGCTACCAATACTCTGAAGAATGTCCGTGCAAATATACTGGCAGTAAGAAAAATGTAGTGACATTACAAATTAGCCAAAAGCAGCAAAATGATATAAGGAAACAGCAAAGTAACATAATCATGCGTATATAAACCCATGTTAGGAAGCAGAGAATGCCCTGCAGAAGTGGCAAGATTGGGGAATAGACTGGGATAAAAGGAGGCGAGCCTTTATAAAGCCTTCTAAAAGTGTAGCTCAGATGATGACTATCATGGCTGTTATATAATGGTTGTGTAGTGCAGTTAGGATCCATGCACACTTATTCGGAGACAGATGGTAGCATGTATGAGCTCATATCTAGTCTCCTTGCTGCACAAATGACTAAACCGTTTTTGTCATTCTCATCATACTTTTCTCACAGAGGCTCAACTCTATTAACTTACACCATTGTCGAGGTAGGGAACACAATATCCTCACTTGGTATGTATTTACACAACATTGAGCAGCGTGGTTCCACTTGCTTGCTGGTGAAGAGTGTGACGAAACGTTCATTTAGTGTTTGGGCAATTTGGCTCAGTGATTTCGTGTGTCGAGCCTGTGGTTCAGTGATTTGGTGCGTGTGGTTCGACGATGAATCATATGAGTGGGTGCTTGCAGAGTGGAGGTCGTGGAATGCATAAATTGCACATCAGTAAGCTGTAAATTTCTTCTGTACAGCTGCTTTTAGGATTGTTGCGAGATTTGTGTTCACAATGCTTTGAACAGTGTCGACACTTCACTGACAATATCGCCCCACACATACACACCATTCTCATATGCCCTATAAAAGAAATGATCAGTGCATACTTTAATTTCTCATTGTATTGGTGGCTATCAATTTGTTATGAATAAGTTGACAGGACAGCAATGAAACTGTTCACTGAAGGCACATGTCTGCCGATAAATGCGGCCAGATGCTGCCGAATAACTTAAATCACATCATTTAAATTAGTGGTAAGTTTTTGTTCTCTAGCAAAACAGTTGCATCTCTTTGCAACAGGTACGACTGCAGACTATGCCGAAACCCGGTCCCGGCGAAAGTCCGCGCTACACGGGCACCTTTGACTGTGCAAAGAAAACCATAGTGAGAGAGGTAAGTAAGGAACGTTTGCACAGCTGTCATTTAAATGGGAATGTCACTGCAGCCAACATATTGACAAGAGAATGAGTCCTCATTTGGAGGTCCTCTTCAATTCCTTAATGTTCCCTGTTCAATGACTTTTTACCATTCGAGCCTCCATCTGCCCCTGGACGTCTGCATTGTTTGAATTTATACAAGTGTGTCACACTCAAAGCTTGCTTGTGTCAGTGGAACCAACTCTACAGCACCTTCAGGATCTGCTTGAATGTATTTCACTAATGAGAACGGTCAATAAGTTAACTCCAGTTTTTCCTGTGCTAAAAACTTCGACTCCATCTTCGTGTGAATAGCTGTATGAAGCCAACAAACAAGGAAGCCAAGCAAGGCGTGGGTCTTCGTAATTTGTTAGACAGAAAACAGGATGCATGATCCATTTCCATTCTTTTGAACATCTGCGTAGTTCAAAGAGCTTTTCAGGTCGTCATTCACTTCAAGAGCATGTCTGCTGTTACGGTTTGTGTCATAAACATGTATAGCTAAACTTCAGGCATGCTGTTTTTCTATATTTTTTAATGATAAAGGTGATATGTAGCGCTCACATGGTTTCGTGAACCCTTGCATGGCTGTGCTAATGACAATAGCTTGAACTTTATTCATACTGCGCATAAAAAGAGAAGAGTCTTTTCCTGATGTGTCTTGCCAAGCTAACTTGCACAATGCATGTATGCATAAAAGCATAAAACAGCACATTCAAGGAATACTTTTTTTTGTGGCTAGAGTATCTATGAAGCGAAGTGAACACTCATGCATATTATCATTAAATTTCACTCGCCACTCGGTAGGCATTTGGTCCATAAAACTTGCAAAATACCTTTCATGAGTAGTAGAGGCTTGTGGTCTCCTGCCCTGTTGCGGTTCCTGGGTGACTTCCTCTCTGAGATCAAAAGTGAAAAGTTCTTCTAATAAAAAGTGCTTGGTGAGATCTTTTGCTCAGCATTCACCTATTTCTGTACACTTTGATGCAATGGTATGCCTGTGGTAATTGTATTTTCGTGCCCTGTAGGGTGTCCTTGGTCTCTACAAAGGCATGGCTGCACCTCTCACTGGAGTGACGCCCATGTTTGCAGTCTGCTTCTTTGGCTTTGGCATCGGCAAGAAGATTCAGCAGAAGCACCCCGAGGAAGAACTCACGTAAGCTGGAAAACAGCATGGGCGCTTTGCACTGAAATGCATGATTGTTCTTCTTCTGGCTGCTGGCTAATCAGTAACATGCACCATGGCCAACGCAAACCGCCCATCGATGTGTCGCAACCTCCTTGAATGTTCTTGCCGATTCTGATCACATTGCGATCACAACACAGATAGTGAGGTGCAGTAAAGAATGAGTGCGAGCGATAACACTAAAATGTACAATCAATCATCAATAAATAGCCAAGACATTAGATGCAATGATCTGATTTTTGACAATCCGGAACTATGCCTGCTGCTATCATTGTACTGGTGCTGTCATTTGCTTTGCTGGGCACAAGTTTGCCCAACAAAGGGCTTGTTCTTGAAAATACGTTTTGGTTTGGCAAATTATTGATTGTCACAAATGCATAGTAATGCTTGATGGTGGTAGTGACACTTACATATGGTTTATGCAATGTGATAACAAATTTCAAGGATATTGATTTATTTTTGGCCCCCTGGTCTTCTTCATCTCTTCCTCTGCTGCTGATAGGTATAGTCATTGGAAGAAAAATTGCACAAAACACTTGCTCAGCCACTAAAAATGCAGCTGCCGAGACCAGGATTGGATCCCGCAACCTACCGGTCAGCAGCTGAGTGGTGCCTTAGCCACTAGACGACTGTGGCGGGTCGTCATCATCATCATCACTACTACTACTACTACTACTACTACTACTACTACTACTACTACTACTACTACTACTACTACTACAACCATTATTATTATTATTATTATTAATATTATTATTTTATTTTAGTGTGGCGATGGCGTAGTGGCTAGAGCATCCGCCTCGCATGCAAGAGGTTTGTGGTTCAAATCCCGGTGCCGCGCACTTCCCAACCGGATTTAAAAAAAAATCCGCGTGTTGATGGAACTGCATTAAGAGGCCTGGGGTGCGGCCTCACCGGCAACCACCGCCGGTAACGCACTCCCTCACCAGAGAAGGATTGGCCACCCTGGTGCAGTATCTGGCCACTACCTCCCACATGCATACGTCAAATAACTCACGGCCCTCAGTCCCCAGCAGCTGCGAAGCAACTGACCACTGCGGCGGTCAGATCTGCAACGCAGCAGAAGGTGCTAAGAATCTCTGGATCCGGACAGGCCGCCATTGGAACCTGAACTTGGCAACGTTTAACGCTAGAACCTTATCTAGTGAGGGAAGTCTAGCTGTACTATTGGAGGAGATAGAGGGTGTTAAATGGGATATAATAGGCCTCAGTGAGGTTAGGAGGACGGATGAGGCCTATACGGTGCTACAGAATGGGCACGTCCTTTGCTATCGGGGCTTGGCAGACAGAAGAGAACTGGGAGTGGGGTTCATAATTCACAGGAACCTAGCTGGCAACATAGAGGAATACTATAGCATTGATGAAAGGGTGGTAGGTATCTTAATTAAACTGAATAAAATATACAAGATTAAGGTAGTACAGGCTTACACGCCTACATCCAGCCATGATGACGCTTCAGTTGAAAGCTTCTATGAAGACGTGGAATCGGCAATGAGTAAAGTAAAAACACAGTATACTATAGTGATGGGCGACTTTAATGCAAAGGTAGGGAAGAAGCAGGCCGGAGACCAGGCAGTAGGAGATTATGGCATCGGTACTAGAAACGCCAGAGGAGAGCTACTAGTAGAATTCGCAGAACGCAATAATTTACGGATCTTGAATACCTTCTACCGAAAACGAGAAAACCGCAAGTTGACATGGAGGAGCCCTAATGGCTAAAATAAGAACGAAATAGACTTTATAATGAGTGCACACCCAGGAATCGTGCAGGATGTGGAAGTGGTTGGCAAGGTACGATGTAGTGACCATAGATTGGTACGGTCTCGAATTCGCCTGGACTTGAAGAAGGAACGACAGAAACTGATACGCAAGAAGCCAATCAATGAGCTAGCACTGAGAGGGAAAGTACAGGAATTCAGAGTCTCGCTTCAGAACAGGTACTCGGCTCTTAGTGAGGAAACCAACCTTAGCGAAGATACAATGAATGATAATCTGACGAGTATCATTAAGTGTGTAGTGAAAGTTGGAGGCTGGGTAGTTAGACAGGACACTGGCAAGCTTTCCCAGGAAATGAAGAACCTAATTAAGAAGCGTCAAATCATGAAAGTGTCAAGTACAACAGACAAAATAGAACTGGCAGAGTTTTCGAAGTTGATTAGTAGACGTAAGGTATGCGATGTAAGAAGGTATAACATGGAGAGAATTGAACACGCTCTGAAAAACGGAGGAAGCATGAAAGCAGTGAAGAGGAAACTTGGGATAGGCAAAAGTCGGACGTATGCACTAAGGGACAAAGAAGGTAAAATAAGTACCAATATGGATAGGATAGTTAAAATAGCGGAGGAGTTTTACAGAGATCTGGTAGTAGCCGAGACAACCACGACCTTAATACTATAAGAACTAGCAGTAACCCAGATGACACCCCACCACTAATGATAGAAGAAGTCAGAAAAGCTTTGGAGAGCATGCAAAGAGGCAAAGATGCTGGTGAGGGTCAGGTAACATCAGATCTGCTGAAAGATGGAGGACAGATTGTGTTAGAAGAACTAGCCACCCTGTTTACAAGGTGTCTCCTGACAGGAAGAGTACCAGAGTCTTGGAAGAACGCTAACATCACCTTAATACATAAGAAAGGAAATGACAAGGACTTGAAGAATTACTGGCCGATCAACTTGCTCTCTGTAGTATACAAGCTATTTACAAAGGTAATTGCTAACAGATTAAAGAAAACATTAGAATTCAATCAACCAAAGGAACAAGCAGGATTTCGAACAGGCTACTCAACAATTGACCACATTCATACTATCAATCAGGTAATAGAGAAATGCTCAGAGTATAACCAACCACTATACATAGCCTTCATAGATTATGAGAAGGCGTTTGATTCAGTAGAAATATCAGCCGTCATGGAGACACTGCGGAATCAGGGCGTAGATGAAGTATATATAAACAGTCTGGAAGAAATCTACAGGGGATCAACTGCTACCATAGTGCTTCATAAAGAAAGCAACAGAATACCAATCAAGAAGGGTGTAAGGCAGGGGGACACAATCTCCCCAATGCTATTTACCGCGTGCTTACAGGAGGTTTTCAGAAGCCTAGAATGGGAACAGTTAAGGATAAGAGTTAATGGAGAATACCTTAGTAACCTGCGCTTCGCCGATGACATTGCATTGCTGAGTAACTCAGGGGACGAATTGCAACTCACAATTACGGAGTTAGACAAGGAGAGCAGAAAGGTGGGTCTTAAAATTAATCTGCAGAAAATTAAAGTAATGTACAACAACCTCGGAAAGGAGCAGCGCTTCGAGATTGGTAATAGTGCACTTCAAGTTGTAAAAGACTGTGTCTACTTAGGGCAGGTAGTAAACGCGAAGCCTAACCACGAGATTGAAGTAACTAGAAGAATAAGAATGGGGTGGAGCACATTCGGCAAGCACTCTCAAATTATGACAGGTAGATTGCCACTATCCCTCAAGAGGAAGGTATATAACAGCTCTATCTTGCCGGTACTTAGCTACGGAGCAGAAACCTGGAGGTTTACAAAGAGGGTTCAGCTTAAATTGAGGACGACGCAGCGAGCGATGGAAAGAAAAATGGTAGGTGTAACCTTAAGAGACAAGAAGAGAGCAGAGTGGATTAGGGGACAAACGGGGGTTAAGGATATCAAATTGAAATAAAGAAAAGGAAATGGACATGGGCCGGGCATGTAGCACGTAGACAGGATAACCGCTGGTCATTAAGGGGAGATACTACTCGAAAAACGACTTTCTTTAATAAGAGTCTGAATTTAACACAAATTGGCATGCTAATAGAGTTTTTTCTCCTCTTTTCAAATATGTCATTTATTTTCATGTAGATTGCTTGGTTTTCTTTCTGCAGGTCAGATACTGCAAAATTATGGCCATTGTTATGCACCAATTCTGACCTATAAAAATTTGAGATAAAGCATGCAGATATAGCTGACTATGATCCTTTGGAACTGTAGAGTGCAAAAAACTATATAAATTTTGTGTGTAAAAAGGTGAAATACAATAATAAAATAGAAAAATTTACTATGGCTCTAGTTGCCGAGGGCTTTCAATGTTATGTAATTTTTGAAAAACATAATCAAGCAGCACTGACAATCTGAATAGATACTTGCACTCTATGGGCCTTCATCATGCTATGTGCAAAAGTTCATAGAGGTATGACAATTCTAAGTATACGAACTAGCGTGTATAAGAAGCACAGATCACACAAAACTGCAAAGGGAGAAAAACGCATTTGAAAGTTTGAAACCTTTTTTTTTTATCACAGAGTTGTTAGAAATGCATAATCTTTGGCCATAATGTTCAACGGAACTTTGAAAAGCACTGCAAGTTACTAGAACTGTCCTGCAGCATAGGTTGTGCCCTCACGGTCCTTGCGAGCACTCTCTTCTAGCCGTGCCCTTTTCACTCCACGACGACGGTGGGCCCTTGCTTCTGCTGTCAGACGCTCGGACATTCTCTTGATGCACCTCGCATCGCGGGAATCACTGAAAGTAGTAACTAGATCTCTAGATGGCAGTATGTTGAGCTCTTCCAGGATGTGCTCGAAAGTAGCATGACCCTTGTTGAACCACAGAATTGCCATAGCTGCGTCAGTCTCGACAACCGTTCGGGAGACAAACTTAGTCTTGGGGCAAAGTAGCGAAATTTTGCTGTTCAGGGATTCCGATGCGTTCTGGGTTTTCCCTTTGATGCATTGAGCAAGGAGCTTCTCATCCGTTAGCCGCTTATAAATGGGCAAAACAGCCAATCTCTGTGCTTTTGTCAGGAGAGGTGTGTGGCGTGGTGCAGGCTCACCAAGTGCTTCAGCGCGCTGATGTTTGCACCACGACTCTGTTCCTGCAGGGCAAAACTTGTGGCCGCCAGCATTGTCAGTAGAGCATGAGTGGAAGTACGAAGCCCATACTGCAGTGTACATATCCCGTACACTCCCCCTGTTGCTTGTTATGGCAATCTGATAGTATGTTTGCAGCTTCTGAATGGCTGGCTCTTTCATTTTCTGCCCTTGCGGTAATGGCACATGCAGCTTCCGTAGCGCGGTGCCAAGTCTCTTGGCCACATGATTAGTGCAGTCTTCTTTTTCTATATTGACAGCACCATAGACTTTTGACTCTGCAACTGCACTATATGCTTTGCTGTCACCGTCACTCAAGAATGTCATGAAATGCAGTGGGGTGTCATAAGTCAATGTTCTCTGCCAAATGCGCATTGCAGCCTCCGTTTCCATGGCATGGGAGGAACAGCCTGCATTTTTTTCACAGACTGGGCCATGGAATGCCTGCCACACTTCCTCGTCTGGGCCCATATGCCTACTGCATGTCAGGCAGTAATTTGATATGACCTCGAAGTCTAAGCAGAGGCCAGTATCTAAGGAGATAACTGCGCCAATCCCGTTGTGGCTTTTGTGGCCCCTCTTCTGCCAAGTGCCGTCGAACATAACAGCCACATCAGTTTCGCCTGCTACTTATTTCGTCAACTCTCTGGATCGGCGCAAGTTTTCACTCACAGCTGCCATGGCAGCGGTGTGCACCGTCTTTGCTATCGAAAAAAATCCTTGGTGGTGCATTGGCTTTGGGAGTCCAATAATGGAGCAAAATCTCGACAATTGCTCATGCCCAATGCCGACAGCGCGTGCAGCCACCACCACCTTCACATTTACAGCGAAACTATCTCGGGAGCTCCCACTGTCGTACCGTTGACTCACTCGTCTGCTGCCGTCCGCCGTAACACGCAGTGACGTATAGGAGCACGAAAGAACAGTCGCTGGGCATTCGCTGTTTTCGCAATGAAGTTCGAGGAGCGACGAAAGTCCCTTGCGCTTTTCTGCCGGCACCCGAACGGCAAGTTTTTGAATACCGCAAGCAGGGCATGCCGCACCTGCCACAAGTGCCGTCAGCAAGAGGGTGTTGCACAAAACTGTCGTTGCACAAACCTCACCGCGCTGTCTTTCGTCTTTTTCGAAGAAGCCGAGCTTCTTTTCCGAAGCACTGACGAAAGAAAGCGCAGCGTCAATCTCTTCATCGCAGCCACTGTTGCTCACGCACTCGTCGATGCTGCCGTCAGGCTTGGCACGCGTAAGCGCGTTCTCATTCGTCGCCGTCATTCGGGGCGCTTTACGCCGCCTTCCCTTGAACTTGTGCTTCGTTCGAAACTTCTGCGGTCTCACGTTGCACTTTTTCGGGCTTGTCATCGCAGAAATATGCGTAGACGCGCAGAAAAGCAGACGGACCAAATGCCGAGGGCCGCCACCAACACAGCTGACAATGACTCGGTAGCCAATGGCGATGCGGCTTAGGGTGCCGCACGTTTCAAACCGCTCAAACCACATGATAAAAAGGCCTCGTTTTTGTATTTTTTTTGCCCACGTACGAAACTGGCAGTCGTCGGAGCTATAAGAAGAAGGCCGGACGCAACTTTTCCAACCGATCGCGATGGCGGGCGGCACTGCGACGGGGAGCAGCGCGCAGTCAAAGATGGCCAATATCGGCGCAAATTCACGAAATTTGGAGCCACCGCGATGCCTTCATACACATTTTTTTGCATTTTGCGGTTCGAATTTAGTTTTGAAATTTTCACAGATGAAAGAAGGTTTGAAGATTACAATGCAATAAAAATCAGAAATACGAGAAATTTCGCTAAAAACGCGATTTTTCGACTCGCATCTCCCCTTAAGGGTAACTAACTGGATTCCCAGAGAAGGGAAGCGGGTTAGGGGGAGACAGAAGGTTAGGTGGGCAGATGAGATTAAGAAGTTTGCTGGTATAAATTGGCAGCAGCAAGCAGAAGACCGGGTTAACTGGCGGAACATGGGAGAGGCCTTTGTCCTGCAGTGGACGTAGTCAGGCTGATGATGATGATGATGATTACTATTTTGCCCCTGTTAGAATTTGGCTGCTGTGGCGTGATGCTCAAGATATGATATTTAGCTTGGCAGTTGATTAGCATAATTAAATATATTTTGCCTGCAATCAAGATTCGTTTATGCATGTTGGCTTTGCATCTAAAGCTGAACCTGTGGCATTATGTGACCGTAAGCTGCGAACGAGTTTTAGCGACACATACCTAATTTTGCCTGAAACTGCACTGTGCTTGGTGCCCATTTTGAACGGGCCATGTGATAGGGTGGTGTAATTAATCAATTTTTGCACATTTGGTTAATTCAAGCACCATATCATGATTACTGGATTAAGAGCCACTATGTTTTTTGTGCCTATTGTGTTGAGAAGATGGATTCAATCTGTTGCTATTTAATACATGTCGTGCAGGTTACCACAGCTTTTTTTAGCTGGCATGCTGTCGGGTGTTTTCACAACAGCAATCATGGCCCCGGGTGAACGGATCAAGTGCCTTCTTCAGGCAAGTTGTCGTGTTGTAGTTTTGTCATTTACGTAAAAAAAATAACGTATTCAAATAGAAGTTTAGAGGCATGTGCAATCCTGAAGCAATGGAAAAATTTTGAAATCTTTGTTACGAAGATTTTTAATGTATTCAGGGCACATGAAGAAGAAAAAAGGCAAATGGAATTCAGGTATATGATATGAAATGCAAGTTGCTCTGTGCCTGTTATTTGGAGATAACGGCCAGGTATATTAGCAGCATTTCCAGAGCACAAACAACACCAAGTCGTGCAAACACTGATAGGCTTGTGGCCAATGTGTAGGCATACCTTCAGCTCATAAGTACATACGTATAAAACAGTTAAGTTGGTAACTGGTTAAGCACAGGTATTCAGGAAATAAAGGCATAATAAATATTTTATTACTTTCTCACATGCAGAAAAGACAAAGATGTAAAGCAAGACTGCCGGTAAAGCGAAATCTTTCTGCATTCATCGATTCTTCTCGGTGCCATATAACAGCTTAGCATCGCACAGTTCACTTCATATTTTTTCTATCTCTCTATCTTACCACCGTCATCCATTAATACTTCTTTTCCCCTTTCCCTTCCCCCAGTGTAGAGTAGCAGACCAGAGCAAGCTATGGTTCAGGCCGACCTCTCTGTCTTTTTGTAAATAAACCTATCTCTCTCTTTTTTCGCAACTTCTGCAGTGCAAAGGCATTATTATACAAATGGGGAGAAAGCATGACAAGGGCTGTAGTTTTCCTTATAGTGTATTTGCTCTTTGTAACATGAAGTGTTTCATAAGTTCAATAATCTAGATTGTCAGCAAATCTCTATGATATCCATGGCCAAATTTACTGAGAATGATGGTGCAGAGTCAATGTTCATATCCTTCGTATCCTTGAAAGATAAAAAGTTCATCAGGGCCATGCATGCTTCTATAATAGGAAAGAGGAAGGAGGGTTAGAGCTTCCTTTTTGCGCTCGATCAATATTTACTGTAAACTTTTGGACCTGTAGGTCTCAAGGGCCCTTCCTGTAGATCGGTCAGCACGTGCAGTCGAACCGCCTCATCGTATCAAGGTTGATTGTCCGTGGTTTTCGCTAAGTTCCTTGGTGTACTCTTTCTGAAAGTCGGGGACGATAGTGAGGAGCTGAACGAAAACGACCATTAGATGGAAACCCTAGGTGCATGTGTTTTTATAAGAGTATGCAGTGTCACTAAAATGCTTCTCCCTCAAAGATTTGAATGTCTACCATGCAAAGTGATTTCCTTTCAAGTTTGACTGTGAGTATCTACAACTGATGTTGAATAGGTCACTCAATTCTTGTGAAAGACATGGCAAGAATTTTTCACCATCTAACTTTATTCTTGTTCTTGGTCTCGCAAATTTTGTCATGCTTCATTGTCTTGAACGTGTAAAATGCTCATCAATTTTTTTTCAATTCACCTTGCTTCTCTTTGCTAGAAAATCACGTGCCTGAAATTTTGCAAATTTTCATTTTCATTGGAAGATCTACAGTTCAAAGGTTGTTTTTCTCACACTGACTTCTTTAAATTAAGCTTTTATCTTTTAACCTTTGAAGCTTGGGATTCTTTTACTAGTAACATGTGTTAATTAAGATTCGGAAAATTCTTGCAGGCCTGCTCGTAAATGTTTTTATGTTTGTTTTCTTTGCTTCTTTGTATTGCTTGCCACTCCTGCACTGCCAATACATAAATAGGAAATTAAATACATAAAGAAAAATGACACGATGTGAACAAATGCCTCTTTTGCCGCCTGACTCTGGGGATGACAGGTTCAGCAGGCCCACTCAGACCATGGAGGCAAAGCCCGGTTTGCTGGACCTGTGGACTGTGCCAAGCAGCTATATCGCGAGGGAGGAATCCGCAGCATCTACAAGGGCACGGCGGCAACTCTTCTGCGCGGTGAGTTGCAGCAAATTCTCCAGCACTTCTTACGATATAGTGTGTAGCTTCTCTAACCATGTTGGGCCTAGTACTTACTAATTCTGCCACTGAGTGCGACAAGATTGCTGGTAAAATGCCCAATTTTGCTGCATAGAAGCCGCAGTAAAGTGGCAATAACCATAAACAAATAATGTTCGCCTGTGGAACTTTCGCTGCAGTGACCCTCATGGTCGAGTTGATAATTGAAGCTTTCAGATGTTAAAATCGGCAATGGTTGTGTTGAGAAGATGGATTCAATCTGTCGCTATTTAATGCATGTCGTGCAGGTTACCGCTGCTTTTTTTATGCATCATCAAAATCGGTGAAGTTTGTGAATGAATCGCATCGTTGGTTTGTAAATGTCTTCTAATCTCATTAATAGCGACATTCCTGGCCAGGAGGGCTGCTTTTCCCTGATATTGTTCAGTAGTGGTTGTGGATGTTCTTTGTGAAACCTCTGTCAAGCCTCGCATTTTTTTCTTTGATACTGACTGCGTGCTGCTTCTTTAGCTTTTCCCACAGTAAACTTTGGATGTTAAAGGGCCCCTCAACCACTTCCGGTATTTTTTCATAGATTCCAAGTGAGGGCACACATCATGTGCAGAATGCCGGAACGACCAATGATGACAGACTTGGCATCGTTACAAGCCGTGAGGCACTACGATCGAATTATAAGAAACAATCCCGTCTCCTCTCTGAACCCTTCTGGCCTCCCTAGTGACGTGTGTGATGTTGCGAAATTGAATCTGTGATGCAGAGCGTAAGTCTCACTGCGATTGGTTGAAGAAGAACCTACAACTTCCGGGTGATCTGCAAGCAGCTGCCCTCGCTCGTTGTTTTTGTTAGTCATGTTGCTGTGGCGGTGGCTCCTCATCTCACGTAGAGGTGCTCTGGCATGGCATGTCACCGTACCGATCTATCATGTTGGCAATCTTTTGAAGGCATGCGTGCTAGACAGGGCTTATAATACTGGTACGATTTGTAGAAGCACGAGCCGGTACGGCAACAGTGGTTAACCAACAAGCATGCAGCAATCAGAAGCAGATGTGTTTCAAGCAGCCCGTCAGCAAGGACGTACGCCACAGGAGATTCGGAGCTGTGAATTTAAAGGGCTAGTTTTTGGTTTTTGTTTGTGGTATAACGCATCTGAGAGCATCAGACGTGTTATACGAAGGTCGCAGGTTCAGATCATGCCGGTGGCAAGTCATTGTTTAGTCCACTTTTCTTTCTTCACATTTACATTACAATTACTTACAATAACAGCCCCTATACTTTCCCTGGCATTATTGTTTGTTTGTTCTCATTAATACAGAAATTGAGAGGGGCACTAAGAGAGGAGGGCAAGTGGCTTTGGGAGAGGACCCCCCTGGAGGGTAGCGAAGGAAAGAGCGAAAGAAGTTATCACTGTGTTTCGATCATCCAACGTGTATAACTCTGCTATTGCGGCACCATTTCGAAACATTCTCATGACTACGTGTTCATTGGGGACTCTGGCACAACTTACGCACAACTACATTTCAACGTCTTGGTAGTTTAGGGACCTTTTAAAGGGGTTCTGCAACATTCATGCTTGTGATGCGCTACAACTCACAAAGAAACGAAAGATAACATAGGGTAATACTAGTCACCCTGTGTTGTCTCTAATTTTTTCATACCTTGCAGCTACATCACGAGCATAAACACGTACCCAACTGGCCCCCATCGCCACCTTATTTGCTCTGCAACACTTTTTCAGCACGGTCAGAAAAATTTGCCAATTCGAGGCTCCTGAGAACACGCGAGCAAAACATTATAGTGCGGCAGGTGGCCGGAAATTTGCAATTTATTCTCAAAGTGAGCTAGAAATTGTCTCCTCTTCTCTCGACAAATGATGCCATAAACCCAAATGATCGCACCATAAACCCCAAGGCCATGGCCATAAGCTGACTGGAATATCATGAGTTGCATAGTCACGAGCCCTTGTGGATGCTGCTCACACTTATGCCGCACGTTCGAAGGTCATCACATGTGCTAACGAATGGGATGCATCTTCTTGCCCCTTTGTCATCCTTTCGTAACAAGAGGAAAGAGAAAGCGCTTAAAGCTTGCGAAAAGTCGCTGTAACTCCGTTCGTACCAGACACATTCCAAAACTTTTTGAGGTGGAAGGTTCGTTAGGCAATCAGCCCTCTTAATGAAGTTGTTCGATTATATTACTGAAAAATTTTTGCGGGTCTCCTTTAATGAGAGGGTGACAGCAGTGATAATAGAAGAAAAAGTGGACATCTTATTCACTTGTGACATTGCCACATCTCTTCATGCCAAGAAGCTTGGAGCTTGGATTTCCTTCGTGCTTTTCCTTTCCGGAGTAGCTGCATAGCTTGTCCTTGTCTGCTTGTCGTCCTTGTTCTCCACCACGCAATATACATCGAACATGAATCACCAAGAGGCCCAACAGTCCATTTGGAATAGCAGTAAGGGTGTGATGTCCTCTCAGAATAACCGCCGTTAATACATGAGCCTTTTTTCAATAAAACGCTGCTCGTGTATCTGCTCTTGGAAGTATAAGCACAATCATCCTCGCTCAGAATGTGTAACATACTGAGTATTGCATTTTGTTGTGTCCAGATGTGCCAGCCAGTGGCATGTACTTTGCGAGCTACGAGTGGCTACAACGAGTGCTCACACCAAAAGGTGGCAGGTATGCGTTTTCAAACCTAACTTTTGTCTCTGTGAAATGTAACTGCCAAATTATTTAATCTTTTATCCCCATTTCTTTTTGCTACAGGTCATAATGGTGGAGGAAAAATTATTGGGAAACACATAGACAATGGCATACTGTCAAACTTTGATTTAATGAAATCTGAAATGTTAATGAACTAGTACTTTCATATGCCAATCTTAGTTCTATTGAAAGCCATGTTGGTCAGGCCACAATGACTGAACTATAATGTCACTTTTTGCACTATGTCTTTTCTTATCGTATTGTGCTATAATTTTTACTTTTTACTTCTTAATTTTGAATTAACCCCGAAAATATGTTTTGATTATCCACTGGACAGTTTGCCGCAGCCCTTTGTAACAGGAGCAATGAAGTTTCTGATTATACATCAGTCCGTGCTCTCGTGGCTTAAACAATTACCTGATAGTATGCATTTCTCCACTATCCAGTCGCTCCGACCTGAGCGTCAAGGTGACCCTTTTTGCTGGCGGCATGGCAGGTATCTTCAACTGGATGGTAGCCATACCGCCCGACGTGCTGAAGTCGCGGTTACAGACAGGTAAGCTTGCGTAGTTGTGAACTGGAAAGTGATGGTTGTGGTTTGAATTCCTGCAAGTGTCGCCCATCTGTATAGTGTATCAGTGGGCTGTAGGGGAAGCAGGTGGCGGTTTAGTCCTACAACAGTGTGGTTTTCGGTGCACTGGTTTGGCAGAAGGGGCAACTAAGCAACACTTTGAAAATTGACTGTACTATTATGGGCTCTCACTCAACAAAAGTTGATGATCCCGTTTCACATTGTTACTGAATGCTGTGTCACACTCACCGTGAATACATAGGAGTTCAGGCTCCCCAGAACTACCTGTTCTTGTTCCTTTAAAGTGCATATAGTATGCATCCCAGTGCATGAGCAGAAACACGTGCACTCGTGAGGTTTTGAAAGCGCTCTTCATCAACATGAAAAGTTATAGCTGTGTAAGCAAGGCCTCAATATCGCTGTACGGCAAAGAAGTGTCCATTTTGAGCAATAAAGTGCGTTAGCACGTGATGTTCTTCGGCGCATCTTCGCAGCTATGTTCAGTTTCCCTATTTAACAGAAGCTCTACACTAAAAAAAAAAAAACAGTTTATAGTTTGCACTTGGCCTGTTTAAGTGTTCCTTCTTTGTGGTGTCGTTTCTTTTTTAGCGCAATTTTTTCCTGCATAGAATGAACCAACCAGCCTCTCAAGACTTCCTGATCGCCTACAAGAATACTGCCTTGTTGTTTGCTCTAAAAAAAATGGCTGGTGATGCTGTCTTTTATGAACGTGCTGTTCAGCCTTTGCGACTTCATTTTACTCTTGTGTGCAGCACCTGAAGGAACTTATCCCAACGGCATCAGGGATGTGTTCCGCGAGCTTATGAAGAACGAAGGTGTCCGTGCCTTGTACAAAGGTGCAGCACCGGTCATGCTCAGAGCTTTCCCTGCAAATGCTGTAAGTACTACATACGACCTGTTTCAAAGGCCTCGGGTAAAAAAAAAGTGGCAGATGTGCTTGCCGACTTAAACTTCAGCCACTGCATTCATGTTTCGCATTGGTGCTTTGTTTCATTCATAACAAGGGTCTAGTTCTGGCAGACTTCATGCCTTCAAGTAGTATGCAAGAGATTATTGGTTAGCTGCCAGCTGTTTGAATGTACACATATGCCCTATAAAGTGCACAGAGGGAAGACCGCCACCTTAGCTCAGTGGTATAGCATCGGAGCTTTAATCGAAGGTCGCAGGTTGAGTTCCTGCCGGTGGCAGTTTTCATCCTCTTTCCTCCCTTCACATTTAGATTACTATGCTTCCAATAACATCCCGTATACTTTCCTTGGCATCATTGTCTGTTAGTTTTCATTAATAAAGTGTGCATATAGTTTCTCTAGCTACCTTCGGCTGTTTTAGCACGATTGGCTTATTATCCTGCCTCGAGTGAAGCCGGAGCCACACATTGCAATGCAGGATACTATTATACTTGTGTCACATGGACACGTTTGAAAGGCCATTGAGTCGATGGCCATCGAAACGCTACAACTCTGTCAAGCTCAACAGAGTTGTCGCACTGCCACACGGCAGTTTTCAACGGCCGTTGAGTGATTGAGGCGTTTCCCGCAAAAAACTTCGGCGCTGCAAGTTTTTATTTTCGTTTTCATGCCATCGTAAATAAAATCATATAAATCTTATGCTGGGCTTGTTGTCACGTCCTCTCATAGCCTGCCTGTCACAAGGCCTCGATGATATCATCGTAAACGCTAGCATTCCACTTCTGCCGGCGTAAATCCATCAGGCGGTCTTTCCGCAAATCTGTCGCAAGCGTCCTTTCTTGCTCTCGCCAGAGCTGGCGCGGTGCTCAAAACACTTGCTCGGCCAAAAAGAAAAAGTGTCTTCGCCACACACGCAACACACACACACACACACACACACACACACACACACACACACACACACACACACGCGCGCACACACGCGCACACACACACACACACACACACACACAAATAAAGTGCTACACAGCCCTTCGAGAGTCGAAAATAAACACGAGGAAATCAAAAATATAAAAAAGAACACACGAACGTAGAGAGCAAAAAAAAAGGAAGCGACCGATATGGCGGCATGGACACACTAGCGCTAGGGCAATGATTGGCCACCTTATGGTGGCACCCTAACGGCGATAACGACCATGGATTCGGGCGAGTGTTAAGCTAGAGCAATTTGTACACTCCAAATGACACAAATACTATAATAAATAACTTTTAATGTCCATACACACTACTTTCAATGCATCCTCGTTAATTATTTCTTTTTATAATCATAAGAACGATCACACTGGGAACGAGAGGGCGCGATTACGCTGTTTCCGCTTCCGCCGCTCGATGTCCGTTGAAGTTTCAATGGAGTTGTGAGGTGCTCCATCGACTCGATGGGCCATTGCTACATAAGTACATAAAGTTGTTGAAAAAAAAAAACGTTCAGACGGTTTGATTTAAACTCTGGGCTTAGAGTACCTAGTCAAACTCGTTGCATTAGGCAGAGCACACGCCTTATAGGTTAGAAGACAACACACCTTCAAAAACATCCTATGTGCAAGCATATAGTATGTTAAAATACGACATGCATTTTTTTTTTGTCAGCGGTTTACCGGAAAATTTCCTTCCTGTAGGCCAGCTTGTTGAGAAACTGGGTGCAATTTCACAATGCTGATGGCGTGTTGTTGAGTTGCTGTTAAGTTGAATGCAGGCGCTGTAAAGTACTCGCAGAAATACTAGGCCAACGAGTTTGGAGCGTTACGTGATTTGTCCTTGTTCATGTCAGAAGATGGGTATCCCGAAATGTGCCCCAATGCTGCATGGATTGACTGTGATGAACATTGGCACGTGGTCAGTGCTGTAATTTTCTTCGCTTTCTTCGTGCAGGCTTGCTTCATGGGGTACGAAGTCGCCATGAAGTTTTTGAACTGGGCGGCACCCAACCTATGAAGGGAACAGCTGTGTGTGAGAAAAATCTTAGTCCGAATGCTCCCTTGTGCAGTGAAACCGGTGGGCTTTTCCCTCGTGAGGCCATGAGTTACTGTACCTAAGTCCATCCAGTGCTGTACATATAAGCTCAAAGAACGCATTTTAGACATGTTACTGTTGTTTGTTAGCGCACGAATCAATGTATGCCGAGCATATTGATGACCGCAAAAGTTGCGCGTTTTGTGTGAAGCTAGTGCTCTGGTTTTTGTGGATATTTATTGCTGCATTGCCGATTTGGAAGACTGCATGAATGCCTATGAAGAAGGTAATGGTAAAGTTCTTGGTTTTAATGCAGGTGCAGTTTTTCTGCGTGCAACAAACATTTCAGGAAAAAAGCATTATTTTTGGTTCTGGTGGCAGTATGCAAGATGGTTCAGTCAATTACATAGAGAAAGAACAAAGGCTAGCTAGCTGCATAGAACTCTTGGTTGTACTACAACACTCAAAGTACTCTCAAGTGCCCAGACTCTCTGTCATGTCTTGGCAACTTTTTTTTTTTAGATGGTCCATCACACTGGAACATGTCGTTCTGCAAGTCCAATAGTCGACGGCATTTAGCAGCTATTTCTTAGCGAGCACCACCGCGCCGAACCGGTGCATTTTTACGTATTTGAATTTTATGCCGTTGCGTTCTAAGACGTGTACTTCGTATATTTTCGAGGTTATTTGCTCAAATGCAGTTTTTATAGAGTGCTAGTGTACACTGGGACCACACTTATTTTTGTTCCAGGAATTGAGTGCTCATGGCAAAAAGATGTTTTTCGTACTTCTTTATGAGAAAAAGAGTGCTTAGCTAATTGCCTATCTACATTGTTGCATTCCAGCATGTCAATAAGCCTCCTGCCTTCGAACGCCAAGTGCAATAATACGTGTCTTTCGAGAACTGCTTAAGCCTGTCAATATTCCTACTGCTATGAAAGAGATTATGTATACTCTATTCGAAATGTATGCAATTTTATAACTGCACTGCAAATTGGTTGTCTTTTCGTTGTGTGGATCTCTTCTCAACCCCAGGGGATAAGTCTGTGCATTGTCAAAACAATTCTCCAACGTGGAAACTCGGCACACACCTGAGCTTCGCCTTTAAGAGTAGGACGCAATAGCGCAGAGCACCCCGTTCACATTGCCTTCTTATTCGCTGGTCTTTCTTCGCCTCTCGTTGGACACCTTAAAGGGGCCCTGCAACACTTTTCGAGCATGGTCAGAAAACGCTGCCGATCGGTAGTAGAGGCTCTCAACACGCAATCCAAATATTATATTGCAGCACGTGGCCTGGAATTCACAATAAATTATCAAAGTCAGCTAAAAATTGCTTTCTTCCTTGCCCCTGCCATCCCTCCCTGCTTACCTTCTAGCGCTTTTGTGGAGATGAGAGAAGTATGCGACAAATCTTTGTCATTTCGCTCATACTGGATGGATTCTTAAAATGTTTGCAGCATTGCATTCGTAAGGCAATAAGCTCTTCCAGTGAATTCATTCCATGATTACTTGAAAAAGTGTTTCAGGGCCTCTTTAAAAGCACTTATGTGCATGCACTCTCAATAACAGGCCCAGCTTCGAAATAAAAAAGCACCAAGGCTCAATATTATTAAAGAAAAATGTTTTATTACAATAACATGATTCATATAGAATATTTATATAAATGTTCTTGTGTGTGTGGGAGAAAAACCATTGCCAGCAGCAGCAGCAGTTGATGACCTTGTCAAAACTGCAACGAGAAAAGGCACTTTTCAAGTCGACAATACTAGCCACAAGTGTGCTCACAGGCATACAATGGGCACTCAGTACTTCCACCTAGCATTGCAAGCTTCCTTCAATCTCGATAAGCAGTGCCAAATCACCGAATGTACATTGCAGCGAGTGGATGTAGTGCAGTAACTTATTGGTTCTCTCACGATGAACGGTGTTCAGCTAAACAATGCAGTAGAACCTTGCTGGCTGATAGAAATTTCGGCCTGATACATGGTGTGTTTCAAGTGAGATGGGACTTGTCCACACCGGCCAGCATTGCAACATCAGCAGATTTATTCCAACGACACGCGCAGCACCACCAGACAAATTGTGCCCAGTGCATGCTAGCACTGCTATTTCAATAAAAGCACTGTGTCGAATCACCCCACAGTGCTAACAATGTTGAAGTCCACTTTAGGGTTTGCCTCGACCTTCGGGAGATTCCCAAAGTGGGAGCGAGTGGGGGTGACTAAAGAAGAGAACTGGCATACGTCTTTGTTTATTACTTACCAGGCAGCTACGCATCATTGCCAGTAATATTTTTGGATGTCAGTGGTCATACTCGTAATTACAAGGCACGCGCACTCGTGACCACCAATACGAGCACAGCTGCTGTACCAATGATTACATATGTTGCACTTTTGACACAGTGAGCCTAGTCTCAAACTGGCGATGTTGCTGTGCGTGCGCAAGGAAACAAGTGCACTGTGCAGAATGACGTGCGATTGCAATGCGCAATGCGAACTCACCCGCTTAAGAAATTCCTCGGCGCAGATGCGTGCCCTTGCGTTGAGCGCCAGCTTCATTTCGCTGATCTCCTTGTCAATTTCCTCCATGAAGTGGATCACAAAGTCGACGAGCTTGTGCTTGTACATTTGCTCCGTGTGGAAGTTCGTGATGAGAAATGAGATGTCGTAGCCCTGCCAACAGTGAGGAGTATGTCATGTAAGTGGTGGTAGTGACCATACTGAGACTAAACTCTTGAAATAAATGGAAAAAGGGCGAGTTGTAGCAGGGCGTCTTTCTGCCACATAACAGCAACCTTTTTCCATCTTGTGAATCTTCTTTGCATTATCGTAGTGCAACCAGTAATGTTTGGTCACGTATGATGCCCACGCTATCAACGTTACGTGGAATTCTTTACTGAAAAGAATGTAGCGACCGCACAGTTTCAAGAAGGGGAAAATGCAAGCAAGCTCGATTATTCGTTGCGTGGCAGAAAAGTGCCCCTAATACATCTCCTTTGCCTAATGACTGTTACAGAAAAAAAAATTGTGACACCGGTCTGTGATAAGCAAGCCACTGAATGGAAGTTCACTTTTACCACTGCAACATTCCGGCTGAGCTACCTGTAGTTGTACCCACGAGCAGTCGACAGAACAACGAGTGCACTAAAAGGGTCAATGCAACAGCTCAGTGTTACGGATCGAGTGCTGGCTTAAAGGTGCGAGCTCGATCCCGACCGCGGTGGTTTAATTTCGATGAAAGGGAAATGTTAAGGGGTGCACCGTGCGATGTCGGCGCATGTTAAACAGCTCCAGCTGATCAAAGTTTTCCAAAGCTTTCCAGTACGGCATCTCCCTAGTCTATAAACCAATCAACGCAGCATACAAAAAAACTCCCGAAGTAAGGCTTTATAGCCAACACTAAGAGAAAGAAACTATGTTTCTATTATTAGAAAATTAGTCTTTCACAGTTCTAAAACCACCACGGTTGCTGTGAGAAGAAGCTTGGCAAGCGGAATAACTCCCCAAAGGAAAATGTGGGTGGCAATACCACCCTGAAATTCCTTCGCCAATGATATGAGACAGCATAGATATTAAAGCTGTCTGCGAGGCCCCACGTAGTTCTTAATCAGTAAAATGGAAGAACATTGATCTCCGAGGAGCCCATAGCCTTAAGAAAAAATGTTTCTGAAAATTCCACTGAGCCCATGTCGCCGAAATACAACACACTCTGAAATTCTTGACGTCACGCAGATAGTTCAGCGCAAAACTTGAAAATAGAACTTCGATCTTGATTTTCTTATCTATTAATAAAGTTATGGTGAAACTAACGACAAAGTTCAACTTCATCAATCTAAAGCATTTCATTATTTCACTGTAGTGTTTTTTTAATCCGAATGCATTTGAGCCATCCACGTTGACAAAAAAGCCCTCACCTCAACGGGCTTGCGCCGCAGCACTATGAAGTTCTCGGCACGCATCATCATGAACCGCATGAACTTGTGGCAGAGGATGTGCTCGATGTCGTCGGCCTGCTTGATAGCAATGCTTATGCGAAGCGAGTTGATGGAGCCCTCAATTAGGACCTTCTCCTTCTCGTTGCGGCTTATCACTACGGGGGTCAGCAAGAGTTCCTTGCTGCTCCTGCGTGTTTGACAAACAACGTTGCGAGACTCAACAGACATCACTGAGCCTTCTAAGCCTTAACAGGCCTACACCTGGCCCTTCTGTTACACATAATCAAATGAATTAACAGACATTAGGCTAGGAAAAACATCGGGGGCCATTAATTTTCTTGTTGTCTCCTACTGTAGTATAGTCATAATGACGTAGATTGAAATCAATTAAAGGGGCTCAGCTTCACTTTTCCAAGTAATCATCGAATGGCCCTATTAAAAATGTTTATAGTCTCACGCAAAGACGGCCACAAACACTTTTCAATTCCATCATGTACAAGCAGAGTTACAGATTTGCACAACACTACAATTGCGTGCTTTCTCCTCTCATCCCGATGAGCACGCTGGAAGCTATACAGGAAGGGATGGCACAGAGGAAAGTTGCCTCACGTATGCGTCATTACCTCGTGCATTGCTTTATTCTTTTTCACCGGACTTAATTTCAGTGTGACCGAGTTAACAAGCGGCGACTTTTTAATGAGGTGGCTGTAACCATGCAGCGCTCAATGCTTGAGTCGGCCAGTGGCCATGAATGTGAGTACATTGCAAAATCATTTTAATATATCTCATTATCTGGCAAAGACAGCATATCACCATATGTCAGCAGTCTTTGGAAGCCCCTCTTTTGCCAAAGGTGTTTGAACAGTTGCCAGTGGCACTAAGGTATCTGTGACGGGCGTTGCTGAACTGCAGTGTTATTTGTGCAGTGCAGTAACGCCTATCTTCTGCACTAATTATCTAAAATATATCTTACATCATGTTTATTGTTATCATAAGTTATATTGTTCACATATGTTATAAGAACGAAATGGATTTATAAATTTTCTTACTGTTTTGAGACAAGCAGAAGTGGTCAGGCTAATAAAGCAATTCCGTGCATTGAGGTAATTTGACTGGATCACTTGGAAGGGAAAAGACTACAAGGCCCTCTAACTGACCTTCACAAGAAACTGTCAATCGGTAATTATTCTGCAGTTCAACCTAGGTATGAATAAATTGTATCGCAAGAATGTCTATGCGGACGGAAAAAGAAGCGAACACCCCAAAGCGCCTTTCCCAGCTCTGGTACTGTGCCACAAGAAAGAATCAGCCAAGCCAGCCAACAAATGGTGATGACCAACAACCCTTTTATTAAAGGAGTACTGACACGAATTGGAAATATTCTTGGATTGTTGCTCTTAATAAAAACACTATTGTTGGGAATGCTAAAGAAGAATAATGTGGTGCCTGGAAATGCATCTAATATGTTTCGAATATCGCTACCTTAAAAAAGTTTATTGTTATCAGTTTCAATATTGAGGGTACAAAATTGAAGTGATGTGCCTCTGCACCGTGATATGACGGGAGACAAAAAGTCGCGATGTACTAGTAGCAGATATGTCACCTGCTCATGGTGCACATAAACAATAAAAAATGAATCGTCGTCCAGCGATCCCGACAGTGATTTCTGCGATTTAGGTTGCATGCAAAATGCAGAGTTTGTGAACTCAGTGGCAATGTGCTGTTGCGTAAAGATGATGTCCATTGTGGTGGGGCTGGCTTGCAGATGCTCGGCAATGAAAATTTTAAAGCCAAAGTAAAATATTTCGTACAAGTTGTCCAACTCCAGCAAGTGGGGTGCGTTAAAACTGCACACCAGGGAAATGAGAAATGTCACTTTTGCAATGCCTAAAAAATGTGTTGGTGCTCCTTTAACTTCCCATAGAGAGGTCCGTTGCTTTTTTTTTGGGTGGCTGCAGCACCATTGTACCAGTTCGAGAATTCTAGGCCACAGCACCCAGTCGCAAACACTAGCAAGCTTTACCTGACTTCGACTTCAGGCTTGTTGTGCCTCTCCACTACTTGGGAGGAAAAGTTCTCTAGACACATGGCCGCATTCAGGGTGTGCCTCACGGCTGTGAGGTACGGCCGCAGAGTTGCCGACTGGAATGCAGAAAGAGAAATGAACAGAAACTGAGATGTATTCCTACATTGACCGATCACCGCATTCTTCACATAGAAGTCTGCACATAGAAGTGTAGCATGAAGTGCAAGATAACCGACTCACTCAAAAGCAGATGCACACACATGGCTTCCCATTGGGGGTGGGATGTTTACCACAGCCCTCCCAACTCTGATGGTACGAGTGCACCTTAGAATGAGTATGTTCAAAAAAACACTGGTGTGCTTCCTTGAAGGCGAATCACTTCTACGCATGTCTCTAGGTTTTGTGATAAGATGGACTACGTGATTAACTACGAGCGCACTTGAATTACTACCGTGCTCTAAGGATAAATAATGATGGCCGGTCTTGTGATGACGCAAACTCATTTTTGAACCCTTTTTGTATGAAACTATTAGTTCCACTGCTTTTACACAAGCAAGCTGATCTCGGGTATGCAAGCTTAGTGAAGTGCTGATACGTTACAATAGAAAGACCCAGTTTTAAACTTTTAACTGAATACTGCGCCCGTCGCATCCCATTAAGCTTGTTAAGCGTATTCATACCCGCGCATCACAAAGTTGACAGAAACGTCGCTATCGTTTCCGGGTGCAGCGGTGTGTCCTCTAAAAAAAGTGTTTCGCACTTTAAAGAAATGACCCCACTAAGAGACGAGGAAATCGCTCACACTGCCACAAAATGTAACAGGCCTCGCGGAGCATTCCTTGCCGAAATTCGGTAATCACTTGACCGTTCTAAACAGGCGAAGCTAAAGCGGAAACCAGCTACACTTAAGTACCGTACCACACGACCACCGTACACAGGTAGTCGCGCTGTTGCGGAAGTATTTGCGGCAAGTTCAGCCCCGAGACATACGATAAGATCAACGGTAACACAACGCCGGACGCTACGTTTACAACACATTTGACTCAACGTACCGGGGCCGATTGCATATCCCGTTCAAAAGCGCCTTTGAAGGGTCTCCTCGAAACGACCGCTCTTCCCGATATGCCCGCTACATCTGTCTTTCAAAGTGCGGAGTCACTTCGACAGCCAGTTTCAATCGACTTATTGTTCACACATGAGCGATCAGCTAGCACTCCGAAAGCGAAGGAAGGCTCTTTACGGGTCGGTTGCCTCGGCGAGCCAACTTCACATCTAAACGAAGCTCTCAAACAAGGTGGATGCAACGAACCCGTTAGTACTACGTACGATACGCCGTATACACATGGCCCCTCTTGTACTACTGCAGAGAGAGAGAGGAAATAAAAAAAAATGTTAAGGTTATTTTTTCGGAAGTGACAACGCCTATCCATTTCTCATAGGGGCCATTGGATTGCGTATACAAGCGAGGGTATCGATAACTGCTTGTGAAGTGCCTTATGCGATCAAAGAACGCGAAGCTTGTCGACTGGGATTACGTCACTTGAGGTTTGAAATTCGGGCTCACCATGATTTCTTCTTTTACACAAGGGAATCGCTATCAATAACATCGGCCGGACATGACAAATGCAGCGGCCCACCCACGACCGGCGTAAAGGGGGCAAATGCTGCTCAGGCTTTGCCTTTGCACACACAAAAACATAGGGCTGTTGTTTTGATTATAGGGTGAAGCACTGTATAGTCAATTAAATTAGTTGTTTAAAATTGAGATTCAACGTAAAAGTTATTAACAAAACGTTCGTCTATAAGCAAATATGTAAATGTGCAATATTTTTGTCCGCAAATTTTGAAGGCACAATAAAAAAATAATTTTCATTGTACTTTGTTTAACTGTACAATTTTAATGAACAGCTTACTTAGAAATGCTTATAACCTACATAAATTTATGTTGAGTAAAATTTTCTTGCAAAAGTTGTATACTGCGCTTTATTCACAAAACAAACAACAATGACGTCACAACATTCTACGTTTACGTCTACAATAGTGTTGCTGTTACGTTTAAAAAAGTCACGTGGCTTACGAGTTCACGCGGGCACGTCGGCGCGAGCTGACCGCGAGAACGGTGACGTCATATCGGCCCCGGGTTCTTCTTCGAAAATGGCGGACGGTGGTGGTTCCGCTCCCGATTTGGAGACTCAGCGCACGGAGATCGCAAATTTATTCAAGAAAGCGCTGAAGAAAGACGACCTGTGGTAAGCACGCATTGATCCTGACCGCCGTCAAGTGCATTCCATGGTCGATGGCACCACGGTAAATGCGCTTTAAAGTGCGCCGTCGCCTCGTTCTGCCTTTAAGTGCCGGTGAATGAGCGTCGCTGAGGGACACTGAAGGGCTACACGCCTCTCACTACACGCAAAAACGGTAACCCCCGTTCGAGATGTACCAGTTCCGTGTCTCTGTGAAAGGCCCGCTCGAGCTGTCTGCGCCAGTTTTCGGGGCACGAGGTTACCGCCCAAGGTCGCCGCCAGCTGAAAAAGAGAAATCCTGTGGCTTCTACTTGGCACTTGCCAATTGTTACGCAGTGCTGACTTCGCACTGGTGCCGATCCAAGTCCCTCCGTCTGTGGAAAACCCAAGTCACGCTAAAGAGACAAGGCGCGTGAATGGTGCAAATAGGGAGCACAAGAGACTAGTCAAGACACCACGTACGCTGACGTTTGCGGGGTCTTGTCTTATTAAATTGAAGACCCAACAACTAACTTAGCTCTGTTATTCCAAAGCGAAAGTTATTTCGCGTTGCGTCACCTAGGGGTTGTCGTTCTTCTCGGGAGCGAAGTACCGTGACCGCCGATTTCTTACTGGTACGTGCTGCATATGCAGTCCGCGAGGCAAGCTTGCGCGAACTCGCTGCAGATTAGATTTATTCAGCAGTTAATGCTGTTTCCCTTTAACAGTAGCGCGACGAACTGACCCGCGCCCGTGTTCATTAACCACATTCTGAAGCGAAGAATACTTTACTCGGTCCTTGTTCCATGATTCGCAGTTGCAATCGCGTCGGCGGTAACACGAACACAACGATTTTACCTCGTGTCCGTGCGTGAAAGCCTTCTATGTTGAATCGCTACTGGCTATTTCCTAGTTTTAATTACCTGGCTTTTGCATATCGCGCCTGCCAATGCCTGACGCTGTCGAATCCCACCTGTAACTGCGCGAGCTAACCGCCTCTGCTCCATTTCGCAGGTACATGGTTGACAAAAAATGGTTCAACCAGTGGAAAAGGTACGTCGGCTACGACTCGTGGGACACGTCCAACGAAATCGGCGAGCAGACCACGCACCCGGGGCCGATTGACAATTCGCCGCTGCTTAGAGGTCAGTGCCACATCTCCCCGTTTTTTTTGCGCGGCTGTTTGGTACGAGAGCTGCGCCGCGACAGCTGCACGGCTTCCATTAGACGTCGGCGTGGAATGCGCGCCGTGCGTGAGTCATTTTGCAACGACGGAGGAAGTTGCTCGGTCCCGGCGCTGATAATGGGGCGAGATTGTGCCATTCACGCGGAGTTGTGTAGCTAGCCACGCGTGGGCGCACGTCTTTCAGGTACGGGCGCTGCTTGATGCAGCGCGTGATGTTTTCTGTATGTACGAGCATCGAGCTTTGGGGGGCTCTGGTTTTCACCACAGGTCTAAGACAAAGCCAAGAACGTTCATAACCGGTGCGAAATGATCTATCAAGGTCTAAATAAAATAAGCTGCACAAATGAAGAATTCAGCATTATTATTTTTCTGCAATTGCGAAAAACTTTTCTGAAACATCAGGTCCAGTCCCGTGCAAGAGAACGTGCCACTGTCACGGCAAGCGTGCAATTGCCGAGGAAATAGCTGGGTTGCTCCTGTTACGGACTTTCTCAGGTTTCAGGGTATAGTGGAGCTACACACAATTTTTAACTACACCAAGGCCTGCACAAGATTTTATTTTTGGCACAGTATGCCGTGCATTGATTACATTGCTGTAGCCAGACATTGGGCCTGTGGTTAAAGATGCGAGCGCACAAGGATTGTCCATTAGACTGTATAGATAGATGCCTTTTCAGCATCAAACATAGCAGAAATCATGTTGGTACAGAGGCGCGGTAGAATTAGATGTTGCTTGTTCAAAAAAAGATGTTACTGGGAGATGACAAAAGACGAGTGTATTTACAGTATTTATACTCGAAATTCTCGGATCAACAGCAGCCAAGGTGGCGTAAACAGGAGACAACCCGTCCTTATCTTCTTCGACCTCTGGTCAGTGGCGCATAAGAATGTGAATGGCTCAGAAGCTGTGCAGTACGTCGTAGGCAGGCATTATCAGTAGGGAATGACAAAAAATGGGTTAATGTCCACCTTTCCATTTGCTGATTACTTGTGTCAGTCATTGCCATTATTATTATATTTTACGGGAGGAAAGAGTCGGCTAACTGGCCTGTTAACTTCGATTTCACCCTTGTTGATGCCCTCGCCTATTTGCCTGTCATTGGCTGTCAGCATGACAGTGCCTACTGCTTGAAATGAATATTTGGTGATCTGTTTGAGGGGTCTGTCTGTAGCTCTTGTAAATGGGTGCAGTGTTTCCACCTACAGCAATGAGGTCAGTGGCAGGTGCACGGCAACTTTTCCTTGCATTCGCCGTGTTGCGCATTTTCATTACCATGTATTTAGCGAAGCTTCCTTGAGCTACGTATTTAGGCGGCGGCATTGTTTGTGAAAAACCTGGCCTGCAGAAATGCTGGTGCACACAAATAGGTCCTCAAAGGGGTCTCAAGCACTCGTGTGGACATACCTGGCTTCATAGGCAGCCGTTGGCATTTTTTGAGTTAGCGCTAATGTGCAGTACATGAGTCCTTCATTAGCTAGCAGCTTGTCTTCTTTTGTAGTAAAATGTGTGGCTGTGAACTTTTGTTTACTCACGAAATTGCAATTCATTACTACTCATAATGCTGATGCTACTGGCATGACATAGCAGTTTTCTCATTTTGTATCTGAACATGACTGAAGGACGCTTGTCGCAGGCACGTATAGATAGGCAGCTTAGAGCAGCAACGCACTGTCGGTGTTCATTTTACAGGAAATTGATTGAATGTGACTCACACACGTACCTCTATCGACTGTGTAATGAGGGAGAATGTGGCATGCTATGCAGTGGCCAATTTTAGTTCTGTTGTTTTTCTTTTCAGACATTTGTATTAATGGGACCTAGACAGATAGGCTTCATTGCTAAGTACTTGGGGGGACAAGGAAAAAAAAAAACTGCTGTATGTTTGTACAACATGAGCGTGATATGGCTTTTAACTTCCTTTCATAAAATATAATTGGCTTGGGGTTTTTGTGCGCGCCACAGTCTTTGTTGCCGTCATATTGACATTTAAGGAAAATGTGCTGTAAACTGCGCCAACTCGTACAGCAACGAGTTCTTTTGGTGTGTCAGCATAGGAGATCGCAACTAAAGAGTGTTGTTCGTTTTTCTCAACTTCTCTAACGTGAAATGGGGTTCTTGTGCCTCTCATATGCAGTTGCTTTGCATGAAAACTGAGCGTAGGCTTGTACGTGCTTTTCAGAAACTGAGGCTTTAAGTGAATTAACATTGCCTAGCCGGGGTGTACTTTATTTTGCCAACTTGCAAGCCACTTCATTTTCAGTCCAGAGATGAGTTGTCCAGCCTGTATGATGTACTTAAATGGCACCTGTAAGCATATTTGGGTGCACAATTTGATTGCTTTAGTAGACTCTCAGAGTTCTTGAGGGTTTGCACACAGTTTGTTTTCTTGCTTTTAATTTGGTTTAGAGGGGTTGGAACATCTTGTGCTTAAAATTGCACTTTATTTTATGGTAAAGGAGGAGCAGTGAGCCTTAGTACAAATATTACCCATCATGGTGTAATAGTAGCAGCTAATGTGACTACGTTGCTTTCGGCAATCGTGTCGTGGCTTTGGATTGTAAAACATCTCAGCTTAACTTTCATTTTTAGTGTAGTTGTCGTGTATGTGTGCCTGCAGTATTGTAGGTACACTTGCAGTACTATGCTAAGCTTTGTAACTAATTTTGTGGCCAGATGCGATTGCAGGCATTTTGACCAGTCGTAACATTTCGGCAAAGCTGTGGTACAACTTGTTTATCCAAGAAACAGTGCATGTAAACATCACTTTCCATTGGTGAATAAAAGAAAAATCACAGCAGATCCCATGTATTATGGGAGTCGATTTTGTGCGAAGCAGTTAGGTGTGCAACTGCATGGGCTGTTTTTTTTTTTTTTTTAGCTTTGTGCCAAGGCGACGAGGTGAGTCGACATGCTTGCGTAAATTGAGTTGCGCACATATTGGTGGACTTGCCAGAATTATTAAGTCTTGCTGCCTGCTTGGTGAGCATACGCAGTTGTGAAGTCGCGTCCATCATAGCAACGTACTGGGAACAGTGTCCATTATTCCTGGCTGTGAGCGAGTTTGTTACCTTTTGTTTTTTGGTATCTTGCTTTAGCAACTGAAAACTTCGTTGGAAACAATAGGTAGGAACCTCACTGCTTTGTTTGATTATTTGATTATGGCAGGTCTTCGTTCTTGTTTTTCCTTCATGAAAACGGGCAACTTCAGTCATATCTGGGTTTCAGCGAGGAAACGGGACCATATGCTGAGATTAGATAATGTTTTCCCTTCGGGCTTGTTTGTTGATAGAGCACCTCGTGCTTGAGCGAGCTAATAACTAGGTGCTTTTGCTTTGCCGGTGTTGTTTTATTTGAATGTCTGTACCTGCTCCGGTAGCTCAGTACCACTCTGCCAAGTCCTTAGGTCTAAAGTACGGTAAAGTTGATGTGGTCTTGCACTTGCTTGCCATTGATTATGAAGCGAAAAGCTGGTACATAGTGGTTTGCTACAATGCTCCACTCCTTTTGAATTTTCTTCTGTAGCTTTAGGTAGCTGGCACGTTGAAAACAAAACAAGCCAGCCTGCATCCTGCGATTGGCTAGCATGCCTCTCAAGTGTTGTTCTGGACACTCAAGTTTGTCCATGTTGGTATCACCAGAGGGGGGGGGGGGACAAGAACAACAAGAGCGAAGGCAGGGAGGTTAACCAGGTGCATGCCCGGTTTGCTACCCTTTGCTGGGGGTATGGGAAGGGGGAGGGGGCATAAAAATGAGAGAGGAAAGAGAACACCCAAACTTGAAAAGTTGTAAATGGGCTCTTGGGTGATTAGAGCTGGCAATGTGACTCGGAATAACAATTAACCTCGGGCCAGTTCGTGGAGACGTGTACGTGGGGAGTTCCCAAAAGTACTAGTACTGTGCTGGGTGAAGCTGCTGTAGTATCAATTCCTCCTGTGGACTAGCATCAGGCCGCAACGTAAATACGCAACAAGTAAGTAACCACTGAATGCAAGTAAATTGCATTCAGTGGTTTTTCTTGGGAAGCATTTCTTCAAGTAAAAGGATTTTTTTTTTTTTTTGCCATGAAATCGATTTTAAATTCTGGGAATTTTTGAGTGATGGCCACTTCGAACTAAGCATGTGCATATTTCAAATTTTGTTTCGGGGTGGTAACAGAAAGACCCATGATTGTAAAAAGTGGCAACTTTGGAGCAAAAGTTTGGGTTGAGTTGAAGCTGTTCTTTCAAAGTACGGCCTACTTTCATTGAGCCATCTTCGTGCTTGTTTGTCAAAATATCCCTTTTCCTTATTCAAATTATCTATTACTTATTTGCTGAACAAAGTGTAAAGCTTTGCAAGATAACTCCTCAGACTCTTTGTCTATTGTCGTTTTTTAAAGGGCACAATTTTTTTTGTATTTTCATGAATCTGTGAAGTTTATGAACGTCCAGCACGAGACATGTCATAAACTAAAGTTTCCTGCTTTACTCAAACGGAAAAAAAGTCGTTTACACTTCTAGGTTTTTTTTTTTTTTCATATCGTCTTTGTAAACTCCGTGCATTGTTGCAATACCTTCAGAGTCATTGCACTGGAGCAAAAAACAGTTTCTTGCTGACCACTGTTCATTACAATTGGCCGTCACAAACAAAAAAATAGGTCAGTTTTGCCGCAAAGGCGAAGCAATGAATGGGATAGCCAGAAATTGAAATGTCACACGAAAGACGAGCAGCTCGAAACATGCAGTGTGCATTTCAGCACAGAGAGAGGCTCGAAAAGAATGTACAAGTATATATGTATATATATACACACACACTCACAGTATATACAGGACAAGTGCGAACTTACAACTGTCATTGTTTTCATGTCCTTAAATTCGAGAAGCACGCTGTAAGTGTCAACTATGCAGAATGAGACGCTCTTGGACATTTTTTTCTTTTAAACTGCAGCCCGTGGAGTAATAAAACCTCTGAGTGTCGTGTCGCAAGGTGGCATCAGGCATAAGTTGTGCCAGGCATTTTTGTTTTAATTATCATTTCTTTGAACATCACTAGTGGGTACACAAAGGGGTGACTTTCGTACGCGTCTCAAGGGCAGTTTTCAAATTGAAAACAAATGTAGAAGCGTTGCATAACTCAAGCTCCTTAGAGATATGTGTACTGCCATGCTGTATATAGCTAGCTTGCCGTCATTTTGGCGGCACATGCTTGCTGCGTGGTTGGGTTGTCTAAATGGTAGCATGCTGCGGATGGAGTGGCTGCTGGTTCGAACCCCCGGGCGAGTGCTTTTGAATTATTATATGTGACATATTTGGGACATGACCGATGGCGAATTTCTGCAGACTGTTCATATAATTGCTGCCGCATAAAAACATCAAATGTGTGCAACTTATTTCATGAAAAGAATTATTTTACCCAAAGAAAAACCTTCCTGAAAGAAGCGACCAGATACGAGTTACTCAAAAGGAGTTGTGCGCACTTAGTGCAAGATTTGGACACTACATTTGCTCCATCCAGCGTGGTGTTGTTTCGGCTATTTTTTGTGTACTCGTATTGGGCGGATGACGTTATACAATTTGCGAAAATGTTTTCAGCACAGCCTGTCCAGAAGGAACTCGCACCACCCTTTTGCCGCTTTTATACACTGACGACGTATTTGCCACCAGAACTCATGGCTCTGTATTTTTGCCAGAGAGGCCCTCTAGCTTACCGCATGGAAGTGGCCATGCATTCCCTTCCGTGCAATAAAACGAGGGCACATGAAAGTTCTCGGGCAGGCCTCATCCCAAGGCATTAACCTCGCATCTGGTGTGTCTTGCAGTAGGCTTGCGCCACAGTCTTACCAAGTAGTGGTCTTGCTCCCGAAAACTTAAATTGTGATTATTCATTGATGGCTGTGTGAGCATGGGTGCTTAGTACCATGTTTTAATCTACAATTTAGTTTTTTCAATGGCCCGTATCAACATGGGGAGTCTCATGCTTAATATCTTTGGGGTTCTTTGTGTAGACGTTCCTAACGCTTCATCAAGAAGTGGAATGTTCAGGCAACATTCCTTTCTTTACACTTTCTGCTCTTCCTCACATTTTGCCACCAGGTTCTACGGCAGCTAGTGCTGAACTGCTGTGTAACACTCTTTGTTGTTCAAATGAGTAAGCATTGTTTCTTGCACCTTCAACAGAGGACAACAGTGGGGAGATCAGGGACCACCTGATCGAGGACCTGGACTACCTGCTCGTTCCCCAGGAGGCGTGGGACAAGATGATCGCCTGGTATGGCCTCACCCAGGACCAATCACCTCTGCCGCGCAAGGTTATTGAGATCGGCCTGTTCGTCAAAAACTGCAAGGTGCGGCTTGCCAAAACTTACGCAACAACATTCATCGAGGTGCAGTTCTTTTTCAGTGTCGCTGCACTACGTACACTTGAAAATTGCGCATCTTTGAAGATAGCCACCCATGCCATGTGCCGTCTTCTGCCGGTTGCTAGCTTTCACAAATCGTGTAGCAGCACCTTCAAAGGGGCAGTGCAACTCTTCGAGTAATCATTAAATGACCTCACCATTGTAGTTAACTCCTTCACAAGTTGACTGCCTCACAAATGTTTAGAATCCGTGGAATACGAGCGGAGTTGAAGGATTTGTCGCATGGTTTAGAGAGCGAGCTGAAGGTCACGCAGGATTGGGGTGACAAGGGGACAAGAAGTTAAGTCCTTATGCTCAGGTAATTATTAATTGGGTGTCATTCTAGAACTGTAGAGCGCTTCACAGACAGTCTTGGTACCCCGCGGTGGCAGTGGCAGCTGTGCTGTTAGCTCACAATGTTCAGTTAGGACAGTGGCTATAAGCCAAATTTATGTCATAACCCAAATAGCGTTTACGGCATCATTTGTCCAGGAACGAGCGATTTCTGGCTGACCTCCATGCCGTGTGCTGCCCCGTAATGTTCGGCTCACGTTTTTTCCGGAACCTTGATGTTTGACTGGCAGCATTTTCTGACTATGTTCAAAAAGTGTACAGGCCCCCTTTAATGAAGTAATTTGACCTGAGTGCTCTGAATGCTGCGAAGAGAGCCATGCTCTCCGAGTGAACGGACACAGTAGACTTGGTCGGAACGAACCAAAACAACACACGTTTATTTAACTACCTTTAGAATGTCAGCCGAATCATTATAGGTACATCAGTTGTGATTGACATGCTAAATAACCTTACACGATATTACACAACACTCAAAAACATAAACACAATAAAGCACACAAGGGGGCTTTGCCAATGCTTGACTTACCATGAGGGCCCTTGGTGTGCAACCCTCGGTACCGCACACCATGGTCCCACCATTCGCACCAACCGTCACCCGCCAAAGAGAGACTCGCTTCTCTCTCGTGTCCGCCACCCAGGCTTGCTGCTGAGCTTCACTGCCCGCGCTACCTTTCTAACAACCATGATGAGGATGATGGTGGTAATAAACGCTCGCGAGCACAACGCCACCTGCCGCTTAGTAGCTGTGAGCCCGAAATGCAGCTTCTGCGCGAGGCGCAAACAACTTTACAGGGGGTGTTAGCACCCCCACTAGCTGCAGGTGGAATAGAGCCAAGTAATACAGTCAATTCCAGATATATTGAACTCAAGGGGATTGCAAAATAGTTTGATTTATGGATAATTTTAAATACAAGATATGCACATTTAAGGCCTATATTAAAGCGTTTCAGGCCTCAGAAATAGTTACAAGCACTAGCATAATGTTTCGCTTACCATATAATGAAGATTAAGGCGTCAACTACAAGTTACTGCACTTTACTTTGCATGAAAACACCTGCAGATCATGCATCAAATGTACCAGTGCACTTGCAAGCACTGTTCAGCGATCCAGATCAGCACGATGAAATGACACCGGCTTTTCATCACCTGTCGGAAAAGGGATCGAACTTGTTAGAACATAGCCGAAAATTGATCTACATTTGCTAGGAAAAATGTACTTTCTGGGCTTCGGCGCAGCACAGCGTTCAATATAGCAGATGTCCCACAGTGCGGGAGTTCGATGCACGGGTGCACCAGTCTCATACTTTTGCATGGAAAATTCAAGGGGATTTCTCAACTGTTTTATATAGCCAGTGATTCGATATATTCGGGATCGACTTAGTTTAGATAAGTATGTTAGTTGGTAAATGATTCTGATAAAAACAGAGTGCGCGGACTGGGGAAAATATGCAAGCGCTCCTGTCGCATGGTTCTACCTCTTCCACTGCTTCTATTCCTGCGCTTTTAGCTCCTCATACAGAACGGTGCATGTGCCCTCTGAGAACGGAATTTGGTGTGTCGCATTGATATCCTTGATTCGTTTGTGAATGCAGCATCGAGAAGTAAGTTGTGGAGCACTCGTTTTGTTTGATTTAAAATTTGATGGTATGCAACGTGATGCAGAGTATTTTGATGCTTCTCTCGTCGCAGGTGGAAGTGTATCCCATGGAGTTGAAACTTTGCACACACTCGAACTCTGATCAGTTTGTCATACGGAGGTTCAGCAAGGTCGACACCATAGGTGTGTGATCATTGTCTCCTTTATCCCAATTGGCGGCTCTTGATGTCGCTTATCACTAAGGCGTTGGGATGGCATGCGTAGTGAGCAAGTGTTGATTGGCCCATCTTCTGCTGCGTACACAGCCCAGGTGGAGAAGGACATGCGCGCCATCTTCAAGGTGGAAACCGAGAAGGAGACCAGGGTGTGGAGCCGCTGCAGCAGCAACACATACGAGCATTTGTCCGATCGGTCACGCACCATACAAGACATAGGGCTCTACCCCAGTCAGGTATGTTCTGAAGGGGAGGTTCTCGCATTCGTGGTTCGGGCTGCATTCTTTCAAATGTGCCAGGATTGTCTCAGGTATGGGTTATATTCAAAACAGAATGAAATGGGAGGGGGGGGGGGTGCCAGCACCTCGGAGGCGGGAGAAGCGTGGTACTACCTGAAAGGAGGCGGGGAGCGAGCAGTTAAGTTGGCGTGACTAGCCAGCCTGCAATGCGAATGACTAGGAACTTCGAAGAATCGAAGAAAGAATGTAAGACACACGCTGGAGACAAACTTGCCAAGGTAGCTAATGTTTTACGCTTTTCTTATTTTTCACCCTCTCTCTTGACATGTTCTTTTGAGCTGTTACATAGCTGATTGTCATGCTTGTCAGGAGGCGGTCATGCATGAAGGCAGGCGAGTTGAAGCATGTGTGCATTCTTCTTCACATAGGGGCAGATCGAGTGCACTCCACAACCTAGCCTTGTTAACCATTGATCACCAGTAACACTGCATTCTCTGTCATGGTGCCCTGTGGCCAAACGTGGCCCTTGTGCCATTAAAAGTAACATAGCGTTTGGGCACTGTCAAGGCAGCAGGGCAAGTGAGTGCTTATGGTGCCCTCATACACATGCTGTTATGAAGCCAGAACTCAGAAACTCCATGGTTGTTGTGCTATTTGCCGGTGCATTACAAGAAAGCCGAAAAATGCGATGCCAAGCTGGCTGCAGATAAAAAGATTGGGAGGGGAATGTGTTCTGCAGCTTATTGTATTGGCAACGGTTATGGAAAAATTTTTGTTCTGTGCTAGCCATTTGTGCCTCTGGATGTAAGGGTGCAGTCGCACTACAGAATGTCGCCCAAACCAAGAAGTTTCCGAGCGCTGGCTTCATAACGGTATGTGCTTTTCTGACAAGTTCTTTGCCATAAAATTTAAACAGGTGCAAGCACTGTGTGTAGTGTAAGCACCATGATTTAGCGACGTTTTTAATTGGTTTAATCATCTTGCTCTGGATGTGACTTGTACATAGCAGCCCTATCTTGTCATCCTAACTGCTCCCTAAATCTTCGAATGGTCGTCGTGTGTCACTGTGAATGTATGGCCTCCCGTTTCGCATGCGGGAATCCAAAGGCTCATCTTTGTCACTTCCTAGATTCTCCTTCTTGAGGAACGAAACGACGATGGATCATGGCCAAGGCAAGTGAAAAGGTAGGACTACTGTCCCAGTAACTTCCTCGGTTCCTTTGTCTTTCTTTATTGCTCTATTATTGTGCTCATCGATCAAGTCTTTAAGAAAGTGTCACTGTTTCTTTTTTTATATCTTGCAGCAGCAAGGCTCCTTACACAAACAGCAGAGGATCGGAACACAAGACATATGGGGCACCAGGCAACACAATGTATGTGACTGATGTGTTGGTGCATGTGACAAAATGGGTTGATACGTTGTGAAGCAATGGTCAAAGCTTTCCCAAGGCTGCTCATTATGGACTGTGTCATTAAAAAAAAAAAAGTTGACAAAATAGTTGCGTGCAAACACTGAGAGCAAAAGAAACGGGCTGAGCTAAGTGTAGGCTGGCAAATACGGCCATGGGCAGCCAATGACAGATGTGGCTGGTACGCTTTCCACTGTCTTCGTTTAGCCGTCCCTAGCTTGAACTTGGCGTTGAAAAATTTTAAGTATGTCATTAGACGACGGCATTTCAAAGATTTAACCTTAGTGTGCAGTGGAGTAATCTAGGTTCAGTCTGACGCCCAGAATATTAAAAAAAAAAATGCTTCAGTATCTAGATTGCGAAAAAATCGACTGGCAAGCGCTATTAGAAAAATATTCTAAATTTCGAATATTTGCCTGCCTCTTGGTTAATATGTATGCATACGCACAGAGTGCATCTTTATTAAAGAACGATATGAATTCAAAAAGTATCAACTTGGACATGCAGTACGAATCTACTTGTTCAAGTTAATTACTCTGCAAGTGCAAACACTGTTATACCGAAAACGAGTATATCTCGGGAAGTAGAATCGCACTGTAGGTAGCACGGGTGAATTTCAAGGTCCTGCCAGCGACAAAAAGGAACCACAAAGCAATGCCTGTAACAGTCTTGTAACTTCTGTAGTGTAATGTTGCTTAGATATGCGTCTTTCTTTCTTTTTTCTGTGTGTGTGTGTGTGTGAATAGTTGTGTGTGCCCCTAACTGAACTGTGGAGAGAGGTGTGGTTTGAATTAACGAGCCATTGAATTTTAGTGCACGGTTTTCATTGCAGGGAGGAGTAAGCATGCCAAAGATATGCACACACTGGCACAGTCGTTTTAGTATTGGGAAACTAACACCCATCTCTCCTTTTTCTCCTCCTTTTTCACCTGCGCAGAGCAACTAGGAGCTACAGCGCTGTGAGTAGCTCGTACAACAGCTACAGTGGCAACTACAACTACGATCTCCAAGGGGGCAACACGCCAGGCCTCTGTGGGCTTGGTAACATCGGCAACACCTGCTTCATGAACTCCGCCCTGCAGGTAAGTGGGAGCGGGGGATTGCTCTTGTTGTGAGCAAACATTACACAGACTCAAAGGTGTTGAAGGGAAAGTGCCACGAAATTTTTTACTTGCACATTCTTTGTTTCAATCTTTGTTGCAACCAAGTCAGCCCCATACATTGACATAATAGGGAAAGAAAAGCTGCGACGAAAGTTGACCCACCCTCACCTTCAGATAAGGAACACTGCTGCACATGCCTATGGCTGCTTGTCTCTTATGAAAAGGATCAGTTGTATTGATACTAAGGGGAATATTTGGCAGTCAGCAGCTCTTCCTGTCTGCTTCTTCCCTTGCATTTCAAGCTCGCTCTAGTTGTGTTTTCTCTAAAGTTTTCTTAGAAGGGCCTTTACCTGAGTCCTTGCCCCGACTCATGTTTTTCTTTTTTTTACGCCCACAACCAGTGCATGAGCAACACACCACCACTCACCGAGTACTTCATGACGGACCGATACCTGTCGGAGCTGAATGACAGCAACCCGCTGGGCATGCGGGGCGAGATCGCAAAGTCCTACGCCGACCTTGTCAAGGTCATGTGGTCCGGGAACTGCTCCAGTGTCATACCCAGACCATTCAAGGTGATGTGGCCAGTGCATGCTCAGTTTTGTGTGTGTGCATGTGTTTGTTGTTTTGCTTTCTCTCTCTCTTTTTTTATTGATTATCCCGCCTCCCTTCAAGGCTTAATGTTCAACGGGAGAGTTAATTCAATGGGGACTTAATGTTCGTCTTCGTTTTGGACCATTAGTTTTGGCCGCTGCTGATTGGTTAGAGCTGGGCAAGTGGGGCGCCCTCTGTTTCCGGTTTCTCTTCTGCAATGTCATTTTGGCATTGCAAAACTTTCAGAACACTCTGCACAAATGAAAAGAGCATACGGCACTTTAGCATAACAAACACAGCTACCAGAGACCCGCTTTTGGATGCGCATCTTGAAGACCTTAAAATTCACCCGTGCTACCTTCAGTGCAATTCTACTTCCCGAGATATACTCGTTTTTCGTATAACTTTGATTGCGTAAGCCATCGAAATTAGGTTTAATGCAGCCACCTGCCTAATACATCTGTGAAGGTTGGTATGCATTCCCTGCACCATTCTCAAAAATCTGACCATGTTCATCTGAAAGTTCAGATTTCAACTTTGTTAAAGTGTCCTGTTGTTGTACATTCCGTCCATTTTCCCCCTTTTTTTATGCTAGTAGTTTGCTGGTAGATTCTTTGTGTTTATGTGGTCATGAACCCGATGTCGTCATGACCCGCCACATCGTCGACGCGCCGACACATTGAGAATAGCTCCCTTGGTTGCATCGATGGCTGCAGTAAGACGTGTGTGCCCTCTTGGCAATGATGACATTGTGCTGCTGACCTCGTGGCCAGAAGTTCAGTCCTAGTTGTGGCAGCCACATTGAAATGGTGATCATGTGAAGAATGAGATCAGCTGGCTCGTGTGTTCTTAATAGTATAGGTGCACTTTTAACTCTTTCAGGCCCAGTGGTTTTAATTGAAATCATCAATTTGGTACGTCAGTGAGCAACCACATGGTAAAAGAAAAGGTTTTTTTTTTTTTTTTTTTTTTTTTTTTTTTTTTTTTTGCTGGAACTTGCATTGAGCGTGTGCTATATGTATCTTCCCGACCTGGAGCACACTGCAAAGTTGAGGTCTCGTGTGAACGAAGAAAATGCAAAAGTAGTCGTGCTGTTCCCATTTTCTGAGGCAGCTTCCTCTTTTCCTGTACGTGGTTAGTGCATTTATTTTAGGTCTGTACCGAAAATAGTGCATTAAACTTGACTCTGTATCTAAACTTGAATTTTGGCTCTCTGCACCTCTTTGTGCTATTGAATTAATTTTTAGGTAATTTATTAAAAAGTAAGCCATATATTTCTAAACGATAGCTAGTTTATTTTGCTCACTAATTACTCTTAACTGAAAAGGGGCCACAAATTTGTTCTTTCTTTTTTATTTCCATGATTATGTGTATCTTAAGGTGTAAAAACTAGTTGCTTAGGCTAAAAAATAATTATAAAAAATAAAAATAAAAAAAAATCTATCAAAGTTGAAGAACTCTGAGGGGGTTTAAGTTTGCCTAGCATGCCCCCATTTCTGTTTCGCTTGTAATCTGTTCATAGCTTTAGTTAGTAAGACTCGTAGTTAGGTTCTGTCATTGCTGTACCACTCTTTTTTTAGCTCTTGTGCTCTCCTATGAAACTGAAAATAATCTGTATGCTATCATTCTCGTATGGTAGTAGTGTGCAGCATTATCGGTTTTGATCTCATTTGTACGACAAGAATTTGGTAGTTATTATTTTTTTTTCAACTAGACTTGCAGGCTTGTGTGGTGAAATGTGAAAGTGAGCAGGATTGCTTTTGTGTGGGACTGTGGTTACATCCGAAATGTGGTGCTCAACTTTTTACCAGTTTGATTTGATTTCTGCTACAAATACTGTACTAGTATATTAATTATTTCATTAGCTCATTTCACAGCACATTTTTGACAAATAACCACCTTTTTAATTAATTGCTTGCTTCTTGAAATTTCCATCAATTGTTCTCTGTGAAATTTAATTTATTATAAATAAAAATATTAAGATTTACGAGATGCTTTGTCGATGCTTAGAACTTCAATGGGGCATGGCAAATTTTGTGTCTGCTCATAAAACGCTGACATTTTTTTGCACCGAGGACACTTGTGGCTCGCTCCTAAAAATGTACTGTTCCTGCTCCAAGGTATGCTCCAAAAAGTAAAAAGAATGAAGGTGGATAATTTGGGCTTACAGGGCTGCATTACTTGATAGTAAAGGTGTGTGAATGTTAAATGCAGGCGTAATATTTTTGTTGGAAGCTTGTTCGAATGTTTCCGAATATTCTGTAAAAGAGATGGACATTTGAACAAGTTTCGTATTGATGGTTGCTTTGCACTTTTGTTTTCAAAGCAAAACATTGTTAATATGTAACAGCCTTAATATAGTAACACAGGGGATGACGCAGAGATGAGTCGTATTCTTGCGCTCATCTTATGTCTTTCTATTTCTCTGTCTTCGTTTTTCGCGCTGTTTACCTCTTACAATGAGTCGTACTCATCACACTAGCTTTGTGGCAACAGCGTTGCACTGCTGAGCATAAAGGCGTGTGTTCGACTTGTGGCTAGGGTGGCTGCATTTTGATGGCATGCAAGCAAGGCTCTTCTATTTGTACATTTTGGTTTATGTTAAGAGGGCCCTGGGTGGTCAAAGTTTGTGATGACCTTTCTCTGCAGCATGCCTTGTGGTCATCATTAAGGCACATGAAATCCCAGGACCTAACTTATAATTAGCTGATGTGGCAAAAGATGGGAGGTCCGCTAAGACTAGGAAGTTTAGTTAGACATTGATGAGTGACGCTGGCATTTCTTCAGTGAACGTAAGGTGCTAGGATTGTGCGGATGAACTTGAAGTTGGTGACGAGAGTAGAGTGAGCACATGTTTCTGAACAACAAGGTGTGCTTTTCTTGGCAGATGGCAGTGGGCCGCTTCGCACCCCAATTCTCTGGCTTCCAGCAGCAAGACTGCCAGGAGCTCATGGCCTTTCTCCTGGATGGCCTACACGAGGACCTCAACAGGGTCATAAACAAACCCTACATTGAGCTCAAGGACAGTGACGGGCGGCCCGATGAGGTGGGCGATGGCAGTTTGCTGAGGCACTGCAACGCTTATTGAATGTTATCCTTGTGCCTACCTGCCAACTCTACTGGTTTGCCTGGGAGACTCCCGGATGTTTTCAGACTTTGCGGGCACGGCCATAAATTTCCCGAAAAGCAGTGTTAGTGTCACTTTGAGTGTCAATGTGACCAGGACATTACTGAGCACATCGGCTATGAAATTTTCTGATAACATGCAGAACGTTCTAGTGACCTTGCCGCTGTACGCTTGTGTTATGTAAAAAAGCACATTAAAATTTTAAAGGGTTAGCAGGTAGCTCGGGACGCGGCAGTTTGTCCCTTAATTAATTGCGCATGAGTGTACGCACTGCATATTTAAGAGTACCAGTATGATTGCGGATGTCTACAAACTTTACTGGCAGTCATGCGTCTATAACATCGCTGCAGCCCTGAGCAACAGAAAATTTATGCGTACACCAGCTCTCTTCCGTTGTCCCCCCCCCCCCCCCCCCCCGCCTCTCGTTTTACCAATCTCCCGTATATCGAGGTCGCCAAGTGGGCGCATACTACGCTTGTGCATCTTTGAACACTTTGGCACGCAATATTCTGAAAACCCTTGCAGCATTTGTGTTGGTTGAGTGTAGCTGAAGTGGCATGTACTTCGTAAGGCATAGTCTACACAATTGCTTGAAGAAAGTAATATAATGAAGTGTAAAATCTTGAACACACAAAAAGGCAATGAGCTATCAAGGCTGTTGCTTATTTTAAGCTGGAGTGTTCTAGGAGCAAGGGATGCAGTTCATAGTAATGCAGATAAGCAGGAGAGCATTTGTGATGCACCTTACCTGGTAAGCCATCTAGTAAATCCTGCAAGGGTTGCGCAAAATGTGAGCAATGTTTGTTTCAAAAATTACGAAATGAGAAACAATCAATTCAGAATCAGAGGTAAAGTTAGGAATGATTTGCTGTTTCTTTTATAGAAAAAGTTGGGTGTAGTGATATATGCGATGCTTGGTTGTGACGAGTTGTGCACTGTCTTCTGCTCTTGTCACCTCAGGTGGTGGCGCAAGAGGCCTGGCACAACTATCTGCTGCGTAACAATTCCATCATCGTCGACATCTTCCACGGTTTGCTCAAGTCGACGCTTGTGTGCCCGGACTGCCACAAGCTCTCCGTGACCTTTGACCCCTTCTGCTACCTGTCTTTGCCCCTGCCTTACAAGAAGGAAAAGCCCCTCGAGGTGATTGTCGTCCGGGCGGACCCCCACGAAAAGCCAATCAAAGTGAGTGTTTTGTTTCCCGGTTATTGTTAATGGCATAGAGGACAAGCTCCACAGTGTTTCTGTCTCGTTTCACGCATAGGAGGTGCCTGTCTGGATCTGCCAGCTGTCAATTCTCTGGGATTGCATCAGTCTTATTATGGTTGCATATACCAATGGGCCAAGTCACGCCTGTAATTTAAGCGACTTGCTGACATAGCAAGCTCTAGGTATAGAGTACATCACTGTTGAACTATTTCGCGTAGACTGGGGAAACGGTTTTTACTGACGTTGACACGTACATCTCTAATGAACATCTCTGAAATAATTGAGGTACACTACCCAATGCAATATAGTGAAGTCCGTATCGGTATAGGAGCACCCCTCAAGCTTACCACATGGAAGTGGCCATGGATTCCCTTCTGTGCAATGAAATGAGGGCACATAAAACTTCCCGGGCAGGTCTCATCCCAAGGCATTAACCTCACAGCTGGTGTGTCTTGCAGTAGGCTTGCGCCACATAGACGCTTTCAAGCACTCGTATTGCTTCAGGTAAATCGCCCATTTGGTTTGTTGCACCCTGTGTCTCTGTAGTCGGCAGGCTTCCTCCCGATTTCTGTCGGTCATTTGCATTCTGCACATACAATGTTGCTCTGTGGTTCTACCAGTTTGTTTCGTAGGCCATTGACCTGTGCTCATCTGCTAATAAGATAACGTTAGGCTGTAAAATACAGTTCCAAACACTTAACTTTACCATCTCTGGGTGTCAATAAAGTGATAGAAATGATTTAGACCACTTACAATGTAATTGTCTATAGAACGAAACCGGTTACAATGTAGTCTTTTTGGCTCCCTTTTACCCTTTCTTAGAACCCCATGTGCATGCACACTGCTTATTGTGCAATTCCCCAAGATGAAAGACTGGTTTTAATGTGTTTGCCAGAAAGTCTTTGTGACAAACGCGGTAGCGAGTGTGCGTCTGGGAAGCGAGCGACGAGGTCGTTACAGTGGAGGAGGGGACGCGGAGTGAACGAACGAAGGGTTGAGGCAAGAAAAAAAAAAAAAGACCACAGGATGCTGTGCGGCTTGCTGAGTAAGGTAGGAGAGCCATAGCCTCCGCGACGTATTTGCGCTAGTGTCGACGCAGCTACAGTGTTGTAGCGTCGCTAGCGTGGCTCCGGCTCCGCGTGGCCCAACATGGCATGTTCGATCACGCTCTTTCTACTGCGCCAGTTTTCTGTCCGAAAAAGCGTCGTTATTAAGCTTGCTACAGATATCACATTTGCTACCTCGCCCATAAATTTAAAACCTTTTGTGGCTTTATGACAAGCGCTTTCGTCTTTGCTGCCAGCCAGTGTGCCGTCTTACGTAAGCTTGGCGGGTTTTCGTAGTCATTGATCTCCCAGCCGCGAATGCGAACTTCATATCACGCATGCTGTTCCTGGTTCAGAGCTTGAGCGCTATCTTTTATACGCTGGACTTTCAGGTCTTGGACAAACTTCCCGCGACAACATACTGAACGGCAGGCTAGGCCTAAACGGTATTGGTTGCGTTTCGGTAGCGGTCGCCTGCTAAGTTGCGGTTTGTTACGGAGTCAACAAAACCCTTTGCGGTCGCTGCACTTGACGACAAGAAATACATATCGTTAACGAACACGTGAATGGCACTTGTAGTGCTTGAATGGTGGTTTGCGATTCGATTGCAATGTCTCGAAATCGGGTGCACGGCCATAAAATCGAAGACGTGACATCTTTCAGCGCGGGAAATTTTGGACATGATTCGACATAGTCTCTGTGTAATGCGCATGATCGAGGCGATCTGAGAAGTTGGGGAATTTCCGCAATGATGCTTTCTTTTGCTAGACCCCCCCCCCCCCCCTTTTCAATCTTATTTTGTTAGGGCAACCCCTGTCTTTGGACGTTGAATTTTTCTTAATATTGGGAAAAGTAAACGGTTGTAAGCACAATTTTCTCAGGCGCGCGAGGCTGCATGCTCAAAACATTTTTTTTTTTTGCAAGTGCGGCCCTTGAAAAATGTTGGTTTGCTTATAGTGTAGATATTTGCGACTACTGTGATTTATGTTGTAAGCCAGTGGTTCTCAAATGGGGATCCGCGAAGCTATTTTTATGATCCGCAAAACCCTCACCCGCATTTTTTTCATGCCACGGATTGATGACCTGTCCAAAATAAAGTAATGTGGCACGTTTGTTTGATGTTTTTGGTTGCAATAAAAGGCACTTGTTTGAGGCTCCAGTTATGTTAATTTACCTACGTTCTTCCCCTCGCTCCCCTCGGCTGCAAGGGGTCCCCTATCATTTCCACAAGGGCTCCCTGACACATCCATGGCTGAGAACCACTGTTGTAAGCAGTCTGTACCGTAATAAGGTCTTCGAAGATTTTGCTCGTTATGGTGACCCCGCTCGTAACTGCTGCGGACGATCACCGCGGTTTCACGCTTAGCGAGCCACAGGGCCGCTACTCCGTTCACTCGCGTGTAGCGCACCGCTCCGCGCGCGCTCAACTGATAAGGCGTTTAGCGCGGCGCGGCAAATAGACAGTGTTCTAATGTAAAAGTACACAACACTTTATTGCCTCTGGCGGCACCCCGAACAACAGTACAACGTCCGCTCCCGGGACGCGGGTAGCAAAGGCACCCGCACGCGGACGTTCACAATATGGGGAAAACCGCGAGCACGTCGCAGCTGGCAATGGCGAGCTTTGACACGCCGGTCGGGAAAAGGTCCCTCGCGGCTATGCTGCGCACTCTCACGATGGCCAATGGGCCTGGTCGCGAGTGTTAGGGCAAACCTCGTACGCGTAGGCCTACAGCAAGTGCGGCTCGTTGTGGTACGACCACTTCAAGCACTAGGCACCGCTCTGGGCTTAGCGTACGCTCCGAAGCTAGCACTCAAGTAAACACGCCTGCCGAGGTGCCCAAGGCAGCCCAGGCAGGCTACCGTCCGTGATTCCCAAAGGGGACGCGGACGAAGGAAAACACGTGCTTACCCGGCGCCGTCCACGGAGAAGAGACCACTCCCTCGGCGCGCGCAGTGGCACGCGCCGTGCCGGCACGTGGCGCCATCTATCGCCACGTGGTGTTAACAGAGCAGGAAAGTGAAAGGGTGTGGCCGTGTGGCGGAATGCCCGCGAAATGGTCGCAGGCGCGCCTCAGATCCCCACATCGTGAAAAGGTATTTTGTGTACGGATTTTGACACTGATGACCGGGATGTAGTAAGCAAAAATGCTACCATGAAAACTTGAACGGTTTTGTCATGAGGGATTTCACTGCAGTTCGGTTCTTTTCTGCGCAGATCATAGCTTTTCTCCCTAATTTAGTTTTGGTCTTCTCGCAGGTGAAGGTGACTGTGTCAAAGATGAGCACCATCCAGGATGTGTGCAACTCCATATCCCGGTTGATGGACATCCCCACCGACAGGGTAAGTAATGAGAACCTCACTTAAATGAAACTGCTTCTAATAGTAGTTGCATTCTTGGATTCGGCACCCTTGCTCCACTCTCAATAAATGGAGTTCCTGTTTAACGAAACACATTTTCCTGGTCCCTTTAGGTTTTGTTTACCTAAAATCTACCGTACTTTACATTACATGCAGAGCTATGGTGGTGGTTCAGTAACAGCGTTGAAATTTTACTGCTGGACGCCTCGTCAGCCACTCAGTTAACTGCAATAGCCATATTCTAATGGCTGTGGATCGCAAGTCAATTTGGGTACTGTGTTGTTAGCTGCACATTAAAAATTGTCAGCTTGTTAAAAACAGCCCCTCAGTTTTTCTAGTGCTCATAACCCATTTTGAATTAGGCATTTTGAAACCTCACATAATTTAACTCTTGTACCGAGATCTTCCCTCCCTCATTGCCCCGCCGAGGTGGTCTAGTGGCTAAGGTACTCGGCTGCTGACCCGCCGGTCGCGATATCGAATTCCGGCTGCTGCGGCTGCATTTTCGATGGAGGCAGAAATGCTGAGGCCGGCGGGCTCAAATTTGGGTGCACGTTAAAGAACCCCAGTTTGTCGAAATTTCCAGTGTCCTCCACTACAGAATCTCTCATAATCATATGGTGGTTTTGAGACGTTAAACCCCACATATCAATTAATCGATATCTTCCCTCACCCCCCCTCACCCTATAACTTTCTGTACCCTGGAAGTGGCTTTGAATGCCTCTGCAATTGCTGCACCTTTCACAAAGTAATGATGCCATTTGATTTCATCGTTCATTGTTATGGGATGACATCATCCCATGATTTTTTGTTTTGCGACACTTATAGCGATGCTGTCAATCACTTTTATGTTTAATAAGACATCCAAGGCTTTTGCCTGAATGAATGCATCAAGCATGAAGCTTTTGGGGTAGTCCTAATGTGGGCGCATGATTGAAGAAATACGGTGCATCAGCATCTCGTCAACAATAGCGCTGTTCGTTGATAAAACAGTGGCTCAGCGAGAGTTCTGTAGTGTGTCCACAAATAGTGGAACGCCCTCTACCTTACCGCACGAAAGTGTCATCCGTTCACTTCCGTGATGTTCAAGGAGGGCACATCAAACGTTTGAGGCCAGCCTCATCCCAGGGCACTGCTTGTATTTACTTTGCAGTGTCTTGCAGACGCTGTGGCCTACAACTTCTGTCCCCAACTGTACTGCAGGATTTTTCGAGAAATAACTGTTTGTTAAATAAAAAGAAACCTGTATGGCACAATGCTCTTCAAGTTTCATGTTGCTTAAATGTACAATTTTTTATCTAGCCTACCCATTGGCAGTGTTTCAAGTGCCTTTTTTTACCTTAACATGTTTTTTCTTTTGAAAAACTGATTGCTGTCAAGAGATACTATAGTTGTCCATCACAGCGGTGACGTTCTGTTTTCTATTAACAGGGTTGCAAGGTTGACCTCTCCAGTCACATTTTACTGTGTGTATTGTATGTTAAGTGTAATTCAGTGTGTATTGTATGTTAAGTATAAATTAGAGTGAATCTGTTGAAGCGCTGTGGAATGGTGGATCTTGATACCTTTAGTTTTCTTTAGGGTGATTCCTCTATCTCAAGATTACTTATTGCTCAGCTTATGACATAAGCAGCATTCTAAATGAGGTGCCTTTTATTGTATGAATTTTTCATATGCCGGTGTTGCTGTGGTAGCCTAGCTGGCAACGTGTTATGCTTCTGAGCTCAAAGACGTGAGCTCGATTCCCGTTCATCGCTGCAGTGTATTGAAGGAGGCTGAATGAAGAAATAGGTGTGCACTACAGAACCCCCTAGGGGGTCAAAACTTGATTCTCAGTCCCCCCTTCCCCACAACACAGCCCATTTCAGAATCATGTGACTGATTTGAACTTGTAATGAAATTTTATATTATTTCTGCATGCACTTTGTTGCTGCTCGAATCAAATGTGACCGTACGAACATCTCATGGGTGCAGAAGGTGTTGCTGCTTTCTGATGTGTACGTATCAACAGATGAAACATTTTGGTGGAATGTACAAACACGACATTCCCGTGCACCCTAGTCTGATGTAGCAGATGATCCACTTATCTCATTGGGTAGGCCGTTCAGTTTTTCTAAGGGCAATGGTGAAGTAAACTAAGATTGTGTAGATTTTGCTATTCAGTACTGAACAACTTGTGGCCTGGAGCAGTATAGCCTCTGCTTCTTTCATGCCGTAAAACCTCATTTGACTAACACGCATTCTTTTCTGTGCCGCAGCTGGTGGTAACCGAGGTCCACAACCACCGCTTCCTCCGGGTGCTCACACACGCCGACCAGGTGGACACACTTGAACGGAGCGACGCCTGCGACGTCTTCGTGTGAGTCTCCACTCTTCTCCTCTCAACAAGGTCATTGTAGAGTTCAGTGTGTACATTGATCGCACAGTATTAGGATCCTTTTCTCTTTTTCTTGTGGTTCTTTCGGGCAGGTACGAGATGCCACCTTCGTCGGACAACTCCACGTTGTTCCTGCCCGTCTACATGCGGGAAAAAACGTAAGCAGTGCCTCTTAAAGGGTTTTGTTACTTTGTCTTATCTCCTTGATGTTCAGATGCATTTTTTTATTGTAATGGGGAGCATTATTTAGTAATAAGCAACTGTTTCCTATATAAACCAAAGATGGCTCTGAAAGTGCGTATTAGAAAAAAAAGGTTGCAATTTACAAAATGAGAAAACTTGGGGTAAGCAACTTCATAGAAGCGACCCAACACGGACAAATTTAATGTGGGTTGTGTTATGAAGCTAATCCACTCAAATCTCACTTTCTCGGACCCTGCTGAAGCAGTTGTAGGATTGTAGACAATTTTCGGAATTTTCAAGAACTTGGGTCATAGTGCAGGTCACGCGGGCAACGTTTACGTTCTAGGCAGTAGCTGCTATTCTGCAGGTGTTATAAAAGATATGTTAGAGGTAGGATAGATGTGAATTTATAAAAGGATGCGCTCCTCTAACATGGGGCTCCATTTCTGCACTGCACCATTTTATGCTGGTAGGCATTAGATGCCCAATAGATCAGTGTTGGGTCTTGTTGTCAACATGAAAAACAAAGCTATGTTTCAGCTCTGTCTCTTGCAATGCAAAGTTTATGAAAAAGTGCGTAATTTCGAATGTGGGCTTTGTGCCATTCTTATAAGCAAGTGTGTTGTTTCTCGTTTGTTTTTATTTCCCATGTGCATATTAAATACTAGGCTTGTGCGAAGAGTGAACTTCAGGTTGAAGCAAATTGTGATTTTGGTCAAATAATTTAGAATCAAATTCGAATAGCATATATCGCATAGTATTCAAAAAAAGGAGCATATTTGTCACAACCCAACTAACTGGCTCAATATTTTTTAAGATTTAGAAACAAGGCCTGTGCAAATGCCATTTTTTTGTTCCTCAAAGGAAGTGGAAACAACTTTGAATAGTATAGGGATTTGGCTGTCAGTAACATGCAAGTCATAACCTGTAAAATATGTTGTTTTAAAATTTACCATACGATGAGCACATAAGCCGGTAAAAAAAGCTTTTGAACTTGAAAAAGTTATGAATCGTTGTGAGGGTAATACTTTCAGTTAACCTTCAAGTAGGTCTTCACAGCAGTATGGATTTTTTCGGATTTTTTTAACATGTGTTTGCATGACTTAGCACCCCTTCACTGCATTGAAGCCATTTTTACAAAAAGTTGTTTTCATGGTTTTTCAATTCATTGTTGCAGTACAACCATTTTTGCAGGGGAGTATGTGCGGACTAACATACTTTCATACTTGTATTTCGCCATTGCCCAAGATTGCTTTTTCCATTGATGGCATAATATCTCGCATAGAACATCCAAGATTGACATCATCAGCTGATTTGGCAGAATTGTTTCCAAATTCTTACTAATTATCAAGAACACCTCGGTTGCTTTCTTGTGTTCTTGTTTCCCCAGTCCCTTTCTACAGCTCGCCGACCTGATGACTGGAAAGTGGGAAAAACTGTTCCCATCCGTAAACCTGGCAGTAAGCAGTCATCATTGAATCATCGTCCAATATCATTAATAAGTACACATGTAAAATCATCGAACATGTCATTTATTCACAAATCATGACTTCGCAGCATGGTTTTCGAAAGGTCTCTCCTGTGAAACTCAGCTAGCTAACTTCTTTCCGATTTACACTTAGGCTGTAACCAACAAACTGATGCAATCTTTTCAGATTTCATGAAAGCATTTGATAGTGTCTCATAACCTCCTTCTTTTTAAACTTTCAAGCTTAAACATTAACCCTAAAAGGACTGCAGCTTTTCTGAGAGAGTGCTCACAGTCAGTTTTTGTTAATGAGTGTGTTTCTAATCCTTTTCCAGTAGCGTTCTGCATTCCCCAAGGTTCGGTTTTAGGTCCTCTACTGCTCATACATTTACGGCTTACCTTTACACATTTCATGTCACATTGGCATGTTTGCCGATGATTGCGTCATTTATCGTACTGATCCATCTGAGCAGCAGAGCACTTCAACATGATCATAACTCTCTACAAGCATAGTGTAACCAGTGGCTCATGACACTTAATCCAACTAAATGCAAATCATTGTTTTTCTCACGTCGTCAAAGCCCTTTTTCCTTACACATTTGGTGACATAGACTTAGTCGAATCCTATAAGTACATGGGTGTAACATTGTTTTATCAGGTAACGTGGGGTCTGCATGTCGCCAACATAATAGCGGGAGCTAACAAATTACTAGAACTTCTAAAAAGTCATTTACGTCATGCTCTCGAACTCCTAAAACTTTTAGCATACAAATCCATAACAAGACCAAAGCTTGAGTGTGCCGCTGCCATTTGGAGCCCGCCTCGGGCTTACCTAACAAATTCTCTTGAGACACTGGAGAACCGCGCCGTTTGTTTTACTCATTCATCGAAGTCCTACCATGTCAGTGTGTCATTATCGAAAAAATGATCATCTTTATCGATTCTTGCACTTTGTCGTCACATTGCCACTTTATAGATCTCTCCCACAGGTTCTGTTACAGCTCAAGTGATCATCTAGACTTTATCAGCGCTCCAGCTCGCATATCATGCCTTGCAAGTCACTCGTCCACGCAACCACACCAAAACATTTTCGGCCTCCTCCTTTTCCATGGTCATCATGTGAATGGAATTACCTTTCCCACAGTGTTGCTGCCATTACCTCTCCGACTTTATTTCCGCAAAGTGTAACATGTTACCTGTCTCGCAAATAACATACTTGGTTACCATTGTAGAGAATTATACTAATTGTATAATTTCTCAACACCCACCCCTTATGTTACACCCTCCAGAAATTTTCAACAATTTAAATCCAAATCAAAGAGAATTCAAATACAATAGTATCTGTTTGAATATTCAAAGAATTTGAAAATTTGCACAAGCGTAATAATAACGCATTTGTATGTAGTTCCGTTTCTTGATGCTGTGTCTAATGTGGAAGTTTATTTAAAGCATTTATGCCCGACTGTAATGCAGCTTTGCTCAGTTACATTTGGCGACGTTCTTCCCTGATTTTCCCCGATGGTGTGCATTTTTCTTCGTTAACACAACTAAGTTTTGCGGTGCTTTCAGCCCACAGAGTGCCACAAACAGCCGGGCAGTGCCTACCTGCCACCTGTTCGGCTATCCTTTCTTCGTCTCCGTGCCTGCGAAAGACTGCACCTATGACATGCTGTACGAGCGCATACTCAACTGCCTCGTGTGAGTGTTGGCGACTTGCACGTTTTGCGCTGCTGCCTGTGTGAATTGATGCCACTTGCGTACGGTGAATCAGGCATGGGCTTTGCTATGGTTAATTTCTCGGCAACAGTAGGGATTGCGTTCATATTATTGTTCGTATTTTAATGTGTCAGATTATATAGTGTTATTGAGCTGTCATTATTCGAAATGTATTTTTTCTTGCCTCTCTTTCTTATGCATATACGTAACGTATCGTGTAACATAATGTTCGCTATGTTCCTTCATACCGTATTTACTCACATAATCTTCGCACTTTTTTTGCCAAAAAACCGATAAAAAGTTGGGGGGTGCGAGAATTACGCGGGGAAAACTTTCTACGAAAACATACAGAGCGAAAAAGAAAATGAAGTGGCCGCAAATCGGGATTCTTACAACAGCAACTAACAGCAAGCTTTAAGAAGTACTAATTAAAACTTACCTCAACAATAAAAGCAGAGGTTCAAGACAAGACAAGATTTATTTGAGACAAAAAGTGGAAGCATATAGTCGAGAATTGGAATACCATACGCAAAGTTTGCGGGCGTAGTGGTAGCGTTCGTCGCTCAACAGGGGCCCTCAAAAGGTAAGTGTGGCACGTCAGTATTGGCCTGATGAACAGAATCGTCCGCAGTTTCCTTCTGAAAATAAAGTTTATCATCAATCCCAATTTTAGGCACACGGCAGGCCCAACGCGTCTTGGTGGCTTTCAGTTGCCGTCACCAGTAGCAGTCACAAAACTCGTAGACTCCGAAGGGCCTACCGGCGGCCCTGTTGTCGTTGTTTAGTGCATGATGTATCACTTGCAACTTGAAGCAGTCGTGTGGCTTCAGTATCGCCCCCATAACGTGCCAAGATTACCGACACAACATACAAAACACGCTGCAACGCGCACTGGTCACTTCGGCTTAGCTTGGATTGAATCTCTGTGCAATAGTTCGCTTGATGCATAAGAGATTGCACCAGATGGCATGCGCTATCATCATCAGTGGCTGGAAAGAGCAGACGACATTATTGCAGCAGTTTGGAGGTGTGATAATTACTCGAGGAAAAAAAAAAGAAATCGGATTTTTGTTGGGCAATGTGGGAGGTGCGAGAATTGTGCGAGGATTACGCGAGTAAATACGCTATGTTACTGTTAACATTTTATTCTCGCTTTTTTATATATTTATACCCATCTTTATTGTTTTGAATGTACTGTACATTTTTTAAACACTTTCTTGCATTACTACCCGCACGCAATTATTCTAGGGGCCTGTAAGGTACCTATAAATAAATGAATAGTCAAACACTTGCCACATACTATGGTTTGTAAAATCGACTACTGCCGGCCATGTGCAACCAGGATATTTCCCATTGGTGGCTGCGTGAAACAGTGCGCGTACTAAATCTTGCTGAGACTAGAAAGTGGTCCCTTGAAAGTGGCGGTTGATTATGGAGCAAAAGTAAAAAGTGGTAGGTCCAATTGTTTGTGAATATGCAACTTTTCTCGGCAGCTTAATTCGGTTAGCATGATACAGAAATAAAATGTGCCAGTTTGCATAATTTAATTCGCTTGCAGGATTCCAACTTACAGTGGAATTTTGATTACATGTCCTTCGGTTACGCAATGACCTGCTATTTACGATGGATCAGTTTGGTCCTGGCAAAGTTTCCACAGAGAAAATGTGTGAAAAAGCTTCATTATATGACACAGTTTTAGGCCGACCCCGTATGTCGCAACGACTTTTTGATTCCATCCAAAATAAAAAACCACTTGTACTCGTATCGAACGTTGACCAAATAGTCATGAGTGCAAAATATTGTCGCGACGTCAAGAGAGAGGTCGTACTCGAAGACGCTGAGAAAACAGCAGCGGGTCGGTCTTTTTGTTAACCGCGCGAGAGAGAGTTCCTCATCTTTCTCGTTGTTGCGTTCTGCATAAAAGCGTGCAGATGCGCGTATGCGCTGTCGCCTTCGTCTTTTTCGCGGGACGCACGTGACAATATGAACTTGAGCTCCCCTTCATTGATGATTAGAAAAGTAAAGATTGAGACAGGATGTTTTAGAATGGAAAATTTATTCTCCTACCAGTTCATGCACTTCTGCATAAGCCTTGATTGCTTGCGTATGCAAGGCCGTTACCTAGAAAAGCTACGCCCCGAGTAGCTTCAGCTGGCGGAAGAGCTCATTTCTGAGATACTGATACTTTCATGTTGTTGGTCTATGAAAACTTTTCCTGGTCGACGTGCAGTTGCTTTCTTGCCTTGGTTTGAGGCATTCGCATTCACAAGCTTGAGCGAAAGGGTACGATACAGCTATTTTGACAATGCAAAATAACTTTCATTTGAAGTCAACATTCATTATAACATCACTAGTTGCGCTTCATAAAGCAATAGATTATAATAGCTCAGTCAAGCATGAAGGCATTCAGTGCAGCCTCATGAATGTTGTGGTTCGTTTCCGTTCTGTGATGGCATTGACACTGTGTTTAGACCTTCTGATGGGAGGTTGTTGAAAACTCAATTTTGGTTTAGTTTTAACATTCAGGCATTTTTTCGACTCGATTTATTGAGGCAAAGATGCGCGCTGGATTCGATTTTTTAAAGTTGAGAATAGAGATTTACTTGTGCCTGCCTATACTAAGTAATGTTGCCATTGACAAGAATAATTTAATTTACCTTTATGCACAAGGTCATTTAGTGGGCTTATTCAGGCAGTCTGTACCTGTTTTTTGTGCAAGGTTGACTACCACTGCCTGTATACATAGTTTTTCGATTATACGACGGTTTTTTGTGGTGCTCTGAAAGTCGTATAATCGGGGTTCTACTGTAGCATTCTGGGTGCTTGAGTTCATCCGCATTGGCATACAGAAGCAAATTGGAGAGGTCATAGATAATGAGAGCTGGTTCAGTCTTGTGACCTCTCGCCAGTGCGAGAAACGGCGTCTTGCTCAAATGATTAAGTTATCAGGAATGTTTTTGGTGCAATGTGTCTAGAGTGTATTCACACTAGGCTTATGCCACTTCCCTACAACGACAAACCATTTGTCACCAGAACCTTTGCTGGGGAGGCCCTCTAGCTTACCGCATGGAAGTGGCTATGCTTTCCCTTCCGTGCAATAAAACGAGGGCACATAAAACTTCTCTGGCAAGCCTCATCCCAAGGCATTTACCTCACAGCTGGTGTGTCTTGCAGTAGTCTTGTGCCACAGTCTCCAAGTACTATTGTTATCCTTACCACTTGGACTAAATTTACGCTTTGAAGCAGATGCCCGTAGAGCAGTTCAGGTTTTTGAGCCAGCTGTAGCTGGTTGGGAAGTGCCCATGTTCTGAATATTTGCAGTTTCTAGTATCAGCATTTCTGATGCTCGGCCAGTGGTCTGCTCTAAAGCGAGTCTTTTCTTGATGGAAGGGTGAGATGTTCATTACTAGAGCATGATAGGCCTCTTTGTGTGTGTGTGTGTGTGTGTGTGTGTGTGTGTGTGTGTGTGTGTGTGTGTGTGCGTGTGTGTGTGTGAGTGAGTGAGTGAGAGAGAGGGAAAGAGAGAGAAGACTGGCTTTCAGTAGACCTCACTTTCATTGATAAAGCATTAGAAATGTCATTGTAAGCGAATGCCCATGTTTGTAACATTGATACGTAGGCAGAGTAAGCAAAAACAAAGAGAAGGGTACTGAAGTGTCAACCAATAACATCGTAGTGTGAATGGTTAACACCGTAGTGGATGGATATGTAGTATCTGTTAAAATTATATTTCACCAATTTACACATTCTCCTACAAAAAACATTGTGAAAGGTCATAAATGGTCAACTTCTGCACCCACAGTTTTCTCAAATTGTTAGAGAAAGGGCACTGGTGTCTGTGGCAGCTGATAGCACGGCTGCTCAGCAAGCCTGGGACTGATAAGTTTATGTACTTGCCTCAACATAGTCTTTCTGGGCCTTAGGGCCCCGTAAACTGGCTCATTTTTCAAAACTACATGTTATAAATGTAGTTTGTCTTGGAAAAAGAAAGCCGCATGCTTTCTGCCTTGTTGTTTTTGCGTGAGTGTTATTTTCCTGCCGCTAGTTCACTCCAGCCCTGCTTGAATTTTCTCCTCGACACCTTTTCCTGACCTGTTTAGATGAGCCTGTGACTACAGTGTAGTGCTGCCACTCGGGAGTTTGAGTCTTCAATCTCTGCAGCATTGTACAGTTCGAGAATTGTGCCTGGGGGATGTGTATTAAATAAGCTCATGACCTTTGAAATTACACTTAAACCTCGACATAGCCAGGGGCAAGACAGCTGTGCATCATTTTTTATACATTTTTGTTTTCTTGCGCTAAGCTGTTCCAGAAGCATAAAAACCATGAAAACTGAGCCGGACTGCCCCGAAACAGCCTCAAAAGCAGGAATTTTGATGCAAACTTCAGCTTCAGTGGAGGAAGAAAGGCTGAGTTGACATGGTTTTTCCAAGCAGTGCCAGGAACAGCTAGAAAATAAGACGTGTCCAAGCATGCTTTTACTTTGCACCTTTCTGGTGACGGAGGCTCTCATGGTGCCACCATAATCTCCTCACTTGCGCTGCGCGGTGCGAGCTCTTTACACGAGTCGCGAAGTGACGCAGGCCCCAATTGCTGTTCTATCTATTATAGGGAGTTTTACATCAATGATGATGGCCTCAATATTAAAGGAAATAGAATAGGCCAACGCGGACAGCATTAATAATGCGTGGTTGCTCACGTTGAGAGGCGTTATTAGTATCATACGCTTATCACTTGGTGCCGTACACACACGCTTTCATGGGTGTCCGGAGGGCTGTGCGAGAAGGGTGGCTGCCCCCAACCCACCCCCATGGAATTCCAGATAATGCTTTTCTATGCCGTAGCAATAGGTTATAGTACACTCAGGCCACAGCCTTCAGGATTTCTAGCCAACTTTGCATGTTACGCACCATTGACTAATATTGCCAGTCATGCCACAGCATTTAAAGAAAGGATGCTGGTGCTGAATGCTCCCCCCACTCTCCCCCCCCCCCCCCCCTCTCTTGCAGACTCATCCCCCTGAAATAAGTTCTGTGGACGCCCTTGCACGTTTTGCGAGATAGTCAGTGCGGCGAGGTTTTTCGTCTTCCACGCCGCACTCTTGAAAGCGCTGCTCAGCAGATAGAAATCAGATGTACAAGAAGTCAAACCAGTAATATGCTAAATCATGTCACTGTTCTTAAGCCACTGTTATGTCCACTGTTATGTAACTACGATTTTTATGCATTATAAGCCAATTAAACCATGCACTTGTGCCCCATGCTGCTAAAAATTTTTTTTGAGCTGCTAAGACAAAATAATAAAGAGATACTGAACAAAAATTGGAAAAACTGACGAAACTTCGAAATTCTGCTCGGAAGATTGCACTCGGAAACAGAGTTTATTTCCTATATTTTTAAACAGGTGGTTGTATTTTTGATGGATTGTGAGCGCGCGACAGCTGCTCGCAAGCATGAGCAGTGATGTCAAACTCGTCGAGGCGTATGAAGGATGCACGTGTTCTTGTCCTCTTTTTTCTTCCCTTTAACTATCCTTTCACTCCGCTCTTTCCATTCAATGAAAACGCCGGCACTTAGCCCCAACTGGAAGCATTGTTCACTGCTGTTGCTGTTCATACCGTTTCTGAGAATCGAAGTGGAAGATGAGCGAGTCGAGAGACGCAGGCGATGGCTGTCATTGTTGGCTTGCTAGATTTTGGTGAGTTTGAAGGCGCCCAATGCCACATCCCGAAGTTCACGGTACTGCCGCTAGACGCAACGGTTTGTGAGAAACGCATTAAATTTATTATTTTCCTGTAGTTTCTGCTTGGAATGAAGGTTGTCTTTATCGATTTCATAATCCAATCTATTGATTTGGCTGAAAATACTGGCGGCAAAAATTCTGTTCAGTATCCCTTCAAATGCAGCTAGCCGCTCTAAAGCAAGGTTTGTCTGCTCCAAAAACTGCTCCCAATTCAGTTTCGGCCATCTTATCCCTGCATAACGAACCCAGATATAATTAAATATTGTTTATAACAAAATAAATTAAGAACAATCTTGCGATAGTGTTTAGAATGTATCTTTATAACAAATTTTCAGATATAACAAACTTATTTTGCTGTAAGGTGCAACAATTTGGAGTTCTTCATTACATCCTTTAGTAAACCAACACTAGGCAGTTTTTGGGTAGTTGAATTAGTAATTTTTTGCTCTCCACAGGAGGTACGTGACCCCTCCTAAGCCAGGAGACGACTGGTGCGGCAGCGAGAGCATGGAGGAACAGAACGGAGGTGGGTGTCTCACGATTTTCGGCTGCCGCTGACGAACAAAAAAAATATTAATAATGAGCACTCTGCTTTTCTCAGTAACGGCTGTGTGGCGGTTATTGACAGTGTTGCATGCTTTCTGCCAGTGTACTGACTTACTAGATGCAGTGTCGCTGGTGTTGTCGAATTCCGAGAATTATATTCAAGTCGTGGCACACAACTGAATATGGTACAGTTGCAGAGTGGTCATTTGATACTGATAACATCCTCGCCGACAACAGGGTTCTGCTGCATAGTTCAGGGACGTCCCTCAAGCTTACCACACGGAAGTGGCCATGCTTTCCCTTCTGTGCAATAAAAATGAGGGCACATAAAACCTCCCGGGCAGGTCTCATCCCAAGGCATTAACCTCACAGCTGGTGTGTCTTGCAGTAGGCTTGCACCACAGAGATGCACTGAAGCATACGTATAATTTCTCTAGGTAAATCTCCCATCGGTTAATTGCTTCTCGTTTCTCTCTAGTTGGTGGGCTTCCTCCTGATTTTTTTCAGTCACTTTCGTTCTGCCTGTACAACATTGCTCGGTCGTTGACCAGTTGTTTTTGTTTACTATTGACCTGTGCTCATCTGCAAATAAGATGATGTAAGGCTGTGAATTAAAGTTCCAAACACTTCACTTTAACATCTATTGGGCGTTGCAACGAATTGATAGAAGTGATGTGCCAAACGCATGGAGGGAGAAAAAAAAAGGAATGATGTCGATGCTAGGTAAACTCCAAGTCGTCACTGCAGCCAGTCTCTCTTCGTACTGTGCGACTTCGAGCAGTGTTGTTTTTTTATATTTTGTGGGTGCCTGATGTTGTGTAGGCAGTGCGCAAACATTTAGCTTAACGTACAAGTCCTCCGCTGGACACCTAGTTTTGTGTATTGTATTTCAGAGCCTTCTTCCAAACGACGTCAAAAAATTGAGACTCCACCGAAGAAGAGGGCGGTCCCCAGTAAGCCACTGTGTGATGAAACTTTATTAGATGATGTAGCCAATGGTACACTCGGTCGGTCGCCACCGCACTTCAACTCTGACTGTGAGATTGCAAAGCAGCTTCTTGCCCGAGCATTTGTTGACCGGAAGAGGAATTTCAGTGGCGTATATTTTGTTGCAAACAAACAAAAACACTCGGATGCTGAGGAAACCATCGTGCACACTGCTCTGGCCTTTGTTGCACCATCAAAGCAAGCAGTAAGAGCCACGAATGAGAACTTTGACAGATCTCGGTTGCACCCTAAGATTGGATGTGAGAGACTACACTCGCAGACAACTTTTCCTGGCAATAAAGCAAAAGCTGTTTGGGTTAGCTTCTGTGTGCGCAGTCCTAGGTCCGGTAGTCCAGTTAGGCGCTCGTTTCGTACAACTGTGGAGAGAGACCGCTGCGCGGCAGAAGCGTTTGCTAGCATTTGATTTGTCTGCTTAGACGACCATTGGTGGATAAAATTTGTCACCATTTATCGGGTGAGTGGGCAGAAAAACCAGAGACAACGCTTACCTGAAGACGTAAATCCAATTTGACGTTGGAGCTATGAGGTACGAGTGAAAGGTGACTCACACTTGCAAAAATGCAAAACGACAATCTCCAAGCTAGAACAAATATAATTATTCCACTGGTGTGTGCTGCCTCAAAGAGCTTCCTGTACAAAGTGAGAGTTTCAAAATGTATTATCGGTATTTTCGTGGCAGTGGCTCGATGGAATTTTCTGAAACATCACATACTAAGTCAATAACACCCACAGATTAAAATGTACATCATTTTTATCGATTGGAAGCTACGTAGGACCCAGTCAACGCCTTCAAAATTTCTTACGTTACAGTGTTTTGGGCAAGAATTTTAAGGTAGCGTCGCTACCTGCATTTTTTTATTGCGTGTTTTCCCGCTTACCAAGTGTGTTGTCATGGTAACAATAGTGTTTTCGGGATTGTGAAATTGTACATTACTAATAGGCGAAAAATTGTTTTACTCTTTAGCGTCCCTTTAAATACTGGTAGCATTGGTTTTATGAGACTCTTTAGCCTTTGCTTCATTGCCAAAAAAAAGTTGTTCGCAAATATAGAGTGCACCGAGATCCAGAGCTGTGCCCTGAAATGAGCCCGCCGGACAAGTTTCGATTGTCCGGTTTTGACCAGCCGAATGTACCATTTGTAAGTGCCATATTATTTTGCAGGCTTGTGCAAATATTCGAACGATTATTGCCGTATTTGAACTCGCTTCGACTCTGAATTTAATGTATCGAAAATTTCGAAGTGTTCGAAATAAACGAAACACATAAATACTGATCCGCATGTAACATTTCTGTAATCGTGGTTTCACTGCAGTGGCGTTTTGCGAATACATATATTCAGGAAAAATTCACACTGCAGCAAAGTCTTATTTCAAGGTTATATGAACGTCTTACCCTCACATTGCCTCTTCATTTTTTTCAATTCAAAAGCTTGTTATACCAGCTTTCATGCTTAAAGTATAGTAAATTTTAAAACGCAACAGATTTTATAGGTTTAACACTTGCATGCTACCGAAAGTCAAATCCCGCTATTATTGAAAGTTGCTTCCGCCTCTTTTGTAGCAAAAATAATGGCATTTGCACATGTATTGTCTCGGTTTTAATAAAGAAAATAGTGTGCAGGTCAAATCCCGCTATTATTGAAAGTTGCTTCCGCCTCTTTTGTAGCAAAAATAATGGCATTTGCACATGTATTGTCTCGGTTTTAATAAAGAAAATAGTGTGCAGGTTAGTTGGTTCATGACAAATGCTAGTTTTTCGTTAAAATAAGTTGTATGTACTATTCCAATTTGATTTGAAGTTATTCTAACCAATTCACTATTTGCTTCGAACCTAAAATTCGCCATTCACACAGGCTTAGTTTTTTTTCAACGCATCCGTATGGATTGAAATGTACTGCACAAGACTTGCTTATGAACCAGTGAGGCACTTGTGCTAATGCCATACATATACACCATCGTTTTTTATTATCACCAACTTTTGTTATCTATTCACAGCACACACACCTTTCACGGCATGGTCATGATTTTATTACTTGTATGTTTTTACCCGCCTTACCGCGAGGAATTTTATGGCCCTTATACAGCCGCTAATCACAATCATAGTCCACATTCCTTGTCGCATGAACTGGCGCTCTTTGGCCATCAAATGGCCCTTGCGCCAAAAAACACCATATATCATCATCTGCACAAGACTTGCATCACCAGTGTAGCAGCTACCTTGTTAAGATGATTGTAAGTCAACCTACTTTATTTAAATATCCAAAGCTGGACGGTACATTTGCAATCTAACCCAAAAACTTTTACACCTTGTAATGGCTAAACAAAACGAGAAATTGGGGACGGTGCAGCTTAGTCCCAACATTAATTTGCTTTTTGACTGTACCATTTTCTCATTTGCAAGATCATTCGCTCATTAGAACGGGTGAATGAAGCTATTAAAGCATGCAATAAATCTCTGTAGCTCTGCTCATATTTGAAGGATTCCAAAGATGTTTGCGACGATCAATTTGTAACCCCCTTAGTGATGAAGACATGTGATGGCTTCTTAAAGATGTGTTCCTGGGCCCTTTACAGTAAGATGGATTTTTTGAAAACTTCTTTTTCGATGTGGATTGAAATTCGCTGTAAGGGTTACATTTTCATGCCGACTTCTAATCTATAATTAGATCTTTGAAATGGTTAAAAAGATGCAGACCTGAAAAAAAATTTAACGGGCACTTCTTGCAGAGCTTTTCGGCCATTTCTTCGTCCTAAACCAAAAAAGTAAGTGCACATGTAAATGCCACAGACTTGCTGTGAGGAGCGATGCTAATTGTATTCATTTTACAGCGTATTCTGTAGGTAATTAAATTGTTATTTACCGTGAGTTTTGCTCTTCTTAATATCCCCGATTCTCATTTGCAAATATGCTTGAGTAATTAGAAGTTGCACCACCTTCTTGATAATTTTAATGTGAATAAAATTACTAAACATAGAACTAAGAAAACCTCATTTGAAGTTCTGGATAACTGTAATATTTTTCACACGATGCAACTACTAACTTGTTAATGATGCAAATTGTTTTCTAGCTTTCTTCTTCTCTGGAATAGCTGTACGAAATACGTGAACATGTTTTCTCGGTATATGGGCAAACGCTTATAAAGCCATATACTGCACCAAGTTCCAGTGCCCTGCAAGCCAAATTACAAATTGCATCTGGCATATTCATTAGGCCAAAAATTTATTGCTCCTGTACCAAGATTTGGCTCTATAGCAGGCAAAGGCAAAGCAGGGTCTCATGTTTTCTTGTGTCATTTTGAAAGTATGGCTATGGTAGCACTGCTGTTAAAGTTCTCCCCTTTTTACCCCCCCCCCCCCTTTCTTAGCTTTTTTGTTGTGATGCCGTATTTTGTCTTCAAGGCTATGGTGTGCGAAGCAATTTGTCATGCTGTAGTCCATCTTCACGGCAATTTGAATTTTAGCACCAACGACAAACTTAAAGATAGGTTTCATGCTTGTTTTAGAGCAAGTTTTCTCCATTGACAAAGTGAGGGCAAGTGTGACGTGTTCCAGTAAGGAAGTCTGAGTGGATTCAGAGCATCGGTTGAGTGGGACGGGAAGTTTGCTGTGCAAAAATCAGCAGAATGGTTCAGAACTTTTCCTTTTTATTTATGTTTAATGGGTTAACATGCCCACATGTGCTGCAGTTGTCGTGATTGTTTGTGTTAATGGCAGATCGCATGAACAAGAGAACACTGAAAGCAAATGACCACATGCAAAGTATCTTGGGGAACTTTGCACCAGAGGACAGCGTTTATGTTTCTGCTTTGATTTTAGGGGTGGGGGTTGTGTTTTAGTCACTGATTGCGACATGAATGTTCGCTGATACGCATTCATTTGCTACATTGCTGGAGGGATATTTCGAAGGGGAGAGCAAGGAATCTCAGGCCTGGAATGTTTTTTCTTACAAGTGATTCTTCTGTGATTTATTATTTTTTAAGACCCATGTCTCTTTACATAGTTGGCACAGACTCGTACCCCTACCCTAAAAACTCGAATGTGTTTCTCCTTCATGTTAACGACTTTCTGTTTCAATGTAAAGCTTTTACTATGAATTGCGTCTAAAGGAGACCGTATTTCTTGAATCTACAGTGAGTCACCTGTTTCCCTACTTGACCAAACAGTTGTTCTTTCTCAGCCACTTAAGGGCTTATTTTCTTTTGATCAATAGGGCCGCACTGGCTTAATATTTTATAACATTAGAAGATTCTGTAAGATGTGTTTATCTGCAAGAAATACTCCAGAAAAGTTGTGCAGCAAGTGTTGCGGTTTATTATTTTATATGTCTATGTAATTAATTAGAAAACATGCTTTGAAAACCCCTGCTTTTGTCAAGAGGCACTCTGAAAATGGTAAAATGTACTACGAGGAAAGTTTGCTGTAAGCCAGGAAGTTGAACAGATTGCGTTGGATGAGCTGAGTTTGTAGGTGGTTAAATCCAAGGCTTAGTTTTTTGTAAGTCAAAAAGTTTAACGGATTGCATGCTATCAGCCGAGGTCGTTAGAGGAAACCTAGCGAGTTCAGTACAGCCCATTACAACAAATTTAATTTGATTTTCTGTCGCAATACATAAGTTTCTAGAAACATATAGCCAGTCGACAGATTCTTGTCTAGTGATGTGTTATCTTGATTTGAAGCATTGTTGCATGGCTCCTGCAGAGCCAGCTTTAAGGAACCCCTAAGCCACCCAGAGGAGAAAATTTGGTTGTGGCGTTGCAATTGTGAACAAGTCTACAACAAACAATTAGTCGTGAGAAGATGCCCAAAGTTCCTGGCGTGGCCGTGTTTAGCATTTTTGCCATTGTTGTTTTAGACGCCATTCTAAACTCAATGCGGGCATTTGCCTTGAGAAATTATCGCAGGTGGTTGAGCCCTTTAGTGGCCTTTCTCTTTGCACCTCATGTTTCTTTTTACGTTTCCTTTTTCTTTTGCACATGTACGGCACCCCGCTGGGGTTTCAAATGCAGAGCTTCACAACGGCCAGGACGAGCTGTTTGCAGACACGGATGAAGAGATGCCCCCTGAGACATCGCCCGAGCCACCACCCAAGGAGAGCCAGAGCAAGCGGCGGCGCCTATTCACGCTACACTGTATCAATGAGAACAGCTCGCTCAACCTCGCCTCCCTGGTGGACAATGGCCAGCCTTTGAAGCTGGCGCCTCGCACATACTTGGGGGCTGACTGGCTGCCCAGAGTTCGTGCACAGTACTTTGATGAGGCAAAAGCGGACGTGAGTGCTTCCATCTCAAGCGGGCAAATTCTTTACTTTTGCTAGTAAAGATGGTAGACGACGATTGTATAGGCGATTATGCTAAAGACATAAACACGGGTGGAACAGCTGCGCCTTTGTGCGCCAAGCTTGCTTACTTGTGCGATCCTGGTCCGAACCATCTCTGCTGCGCCAAACTCTCCTACCAGCGCCGCACTGCGCCGCAGCATCAGAATTGAGCCGCGAAGTGCAAAAGTCGTCTGGAAACATGGCTGACACATTGTCTTTTTGGTTTTATTGAAACGGTTATAGTTTTGGTTTCGTAAATGCTGTGATTGCTGTAGGAGCAGTCGCGAACGTTGATCCTAAGGGCGTGGTCGCAATCGATATATGCATGATCACTGCAGGCATCAGCGCAAATAGCTTGTGAATCCTTCAATGTGCTGCGCTCTCAACTTGAAGAGACTGTGACAAAAGCATCTCTCCCCGGCACAGCTATATCCTTATACACCAGCGTTTTGTAGAGTTACGCAATATCGGACCTAAAATAGTTGACTGCTGGCCTTACAATTTGCTGCTATCGCATTCATTGCTTCACAACTCCGGTGAAACTTTTTTTTATGACACGATAATAGTGTTCAAAAAAGAAATAAAGCGTAGCAGTAACGCTGCTCAAAAGAAGGTTGGAGGTGTCCGGTTCTTGGAGCAGCCTAGCAAAGACAGGTGCACATGACTGCTCATTGAGTGTGTGTGCGTATTCTTGTTCATTTGGCTGCTGTGCTTTGCGCTTATCAACTCGGCGCTTAATGCTCCCGTGTTGAAGTTTAAAAAGAAATCACCGCCCACCCAAGCACTCCATTCAAATGGTTGACCAGCGAAATCTGGAACGTGTTGCCCCAGTGTTTAGCAGTGGGTTTAACCCGATGTGGCACTGAAGCCTTTCACAATTATAGGCTGCATGTTCTTGCTTCCTAATGAGGTTAGGCACACGTTTGGCTTAGGTTTATCACAGTGTTTATATTCGACATGCCGCACATTGTGCTTCGCATGATCACGGTCATGAAGGAGCGTAAAGAGGGGTTAAATGTGTTTCACTCTGCGTCGGTCACGGAGGTTGTTCTCAAACCACAGGTAGTTACAGATGTTACAGCTGAAGTTAAAGTCATGCTGGAGAAACTCCCGCGGGCGTTGACGCTGCAACGCTGCTTGTTCAGTGCAGCACCAAGCGTTGGACGTCGGGAGCCTACTCGGCGACATGGTCTGCCGGATCCGCCCGCCATTACCGCTTGCATTTTTGTTTGCGGTTTAGAAGATGTACCATGGCTGCTGGATTATTGGTAGGGAGTTGCTGCCAGCCTTGGCATCCTTGGCCTATTTCTGTGCCCTGACTGCACCATCGGCCCTGTGAATGCGAGCTCTCTCATGTTTGCACTATCGGCGCTCTTCTAGAGTTGTCCATGGCTTACCTATGTGTAAGCTCTCAGGAGAAACCAATGCGCACATGCTCGGCGTCGCGACTGCGACGGGATGGAAATTCTCACTCACAACACAGACGACGGCGCACATGCTGGGAACAACGTAACTGATAGCACAGCCAATGGAGATCGCTCGTGACACCGATTCCAAAAGGTTTTCATTTCTCCTAGCCGTATACAGCTTTCGCTGTAAGAACAAAAATTCATGGGCAACTGTACATAACTAAAATAGTAGCAAATTGTAATGTTAAACGAAGTGAGGCTGGGAGATAACTCTTTTGGATCCAATCTCACGTAACTGTACAAAACGCTGGTGTACAGCAACTTCAAGGAGAGCAACACTTTTCCCGAAGTCTCTTCGCGGTTTGAGTGCAGCGCGTAAAAGTGTATGCGAGTCTCCCGCTGATGGCTGTCGAGCTAGCGTACGCGCCAGCAGTCGCACCCAGGCGCTTAGAAGCAGAGTTAAGGGGGTGGACTGGTCGTAGACATTTTTTATTTCTTCGGTGATGTTGATCAAACTGCACAGGGTTATGCAATTTTTCTGCTGATTTCAAGTATTTAATTAGTTTTCCTGTAACTTACCTTGTTCCTGAGATAACCTAAGTTCACCCCCTATTGTTTAAGGCCACCATAGAAAAAAAGAGCTTAATTAAAATTGATATTTAAGATATGCCAACATAGACTAATGACTATAGAGTGGAAGTATGGAAGAGTTTTTTGTTTTTAGACCTTCATTGGTTATTTTACAGCAAATTGAACTATCCATTTTTAAAAGCAGTTTGAATTGTGTTACAATTTTGATTAGTAAATAATTAAAAAGGCATGTGCTCTAAATTCTGCTCCCATACTTGTATTCTACACGCATACAGGTTTCCACTGCAAAGAGAAATATTGTTGTACCTGCCTTAGCTGCAGAGATATCGAAGCCTCAAAATTTAATAGTCGCAAATTTACTTTTTTAAGAAAAATGAAAAAAAAAAAAACTGAAAACACACAGTTTCTTGAAAAAGCAACAATCATGGTGCGCATGTTTTGCAATCCCCATAAAGGTGTTGTTAAGGAACCCCAGGTGGTCGAAATTTCCGGAGCCCTCCACTATGGCGTGTCTCATAATTATATGGTGGTTTTGGGACGTTAAATCCCACATATCAATCAATCATAATTTGGTAGTAGAGCTTTAGACACAGGTGCTGACAAATTATAAAGAAGCCTCAAAGTCAGTTCCCCCTTTTTTTGCAGGTTCTGCATGTTAACGGCACCAACAAACTGGACAGTTAGAATGACATTACAAAAAAATTACTACTTCCTGGTGCGTGAAAATTTGCATAGAGATAGAAAAATTTTTGCAGAAACCAAATATGCCAATTTTAAAAATGATTTTTTTTTGTCACTTTTTGGTCCCAAAGACCAGGCTGCCCCTTTAATATAGTTGTTGCTCGAGCAGTGCCTGCCCCCTTCCTCTTTTTTTTTTTCCACCATCTTCTAAAACGGGTGGAGTGCTTCCTGTCTACTACGACTACGAGCCTCCCGGGCGGGGGTATCGGATGTTATCGCACGCGCCCTCCAAGCGGCGAAGATGGGCTGGACCGTTTGATCTCTGCTTCAACCACGTTCAACGTCCTTGCTCACGTGCTTTTACCCGCGAATAGAACATATGGTGTGCGGGGGTATATTAAACCCGTCGGGAGTGTCTGTATAATTTCTATCGCAATACTGAGGTTATAGTGGAGTGTCTGAAAAATGCAGCGTTGAACAGATGTTGGCTTCACAAGTATTTTGAACAGGCTAAATCTGTTCCGGATGTTCTTCGAAACTTGCTCAAAAAGGCTCGCCTGGCTGCTCAAAACTCGTTCCATAACATCTTGCTGGCTGCTTCAAGCCAGATACAAAACATTTTTGGCTACTGCTTCTAGCCTGCTACAAAAAGCACTTCTGGCTGCTCTCAGGACCGCTCCCAAATTCATGTACCATGTTCAACCCCTGTATAAGGACACCGCCATTTTGTGTCGTCGAATGGATGTTTTATTTTTGTATGTTGTGTGTGCATCAGTAAAGGTCAAATGCACCAACCAAACCATTTCCATGTGTATATGCCACCATAGCACTGTTCGTTTAGTTCGAGATACAAGATGGCTTGGTTAACAACCCAATATGACAGCACTGAAACCCATCTATTTATAAAAAGTCTACGACACGTAGTAGTATACTTAAGGCAAAGTGCCAAAAAGTAAATATATATACGTTCGCCATCAACCGAATGCTAAGCATGATATTTACTACCATGAATTCTAGCAGGGAATTGTATATGGCAATATTTGAACTTGCTTTGCACCCAAAATTAAATTCTCTGGGATCTAATTTCTACATTGAGCAGCAACAGGTCAACGTTGGGCTCGAGGACTATTGGCTGCTCGGTCAGGTCGAGCTGCGATTTAAGATTTTTCCTGATATCTTGTATGTTGCCGTCGAGACTTGTGGCACTCGTCAGAAGATGACTGGTCAAATTGCCATTGCTTGTCTTTGTATGCCACTTTGTCCCGCCGTAGCTTTCACTAATAACCTGAACATACGATGGCTAGCCCAATGTACCAATGCTCATGTGTTTAGCTACTCTTTTGGAACTCCCCAAGCAGTTGATCAGACGTATCACAGTTGAACGAGAGCATCTAGTAAACAGAGCTAATATGCGATGGGAACAAACAGATTACTGAATGACTCTGCAAATTATGACTGTATAGGCATTAACATCGGCTCTGTATTTCTCTGTTTTGCTTGTGTGCGAGGTACTCTAACCATGGGCGTGCATGGATAGTGTACAAACACTTGCCGGAAGGAATGCCCCTGAGCAAGCAGTCTCTGCACACTGTAATGCAGGGACTACATATAAGTTGAGAGTACGGGAGGGCACAAGTTGTAATCCCAGCCATGGTAGCCTTATCTGATGGAGTCTGAATGTAGACATCCGTGCACTTTTAAGACCATGTTAAAAAGCCCATGTCAAAATTTAGCCAGTTTTCCTTTATGGTGTACCTCATAAGCGAGCTTTGGAACCTCTGAATCCAGTATAAATTTTTAATGTAAATTAGACAAACGAGCAGCCTGTGTTGGTGTATTTCTTAGCATTAACCTTGGTGTCCTTGGTTCAGCATACAAGTTAGGCTTTAGTTCTAATGATAAGAGCGTGTGCCATGCAGGACGTGCTGATCCACGAGTCTGTGCACCAGCGAGCGGTGAAACGACAGCTACAGCTGCGCGAGTGCCTGGAGCTGTTCACGACAACCGAGAAGCTGGGTGCTGAGGACCCCTGGTACTGCCCCACATGCCGCAGCCACAAGCAGGCCACCAAGAAGTTTGACCTGTGGAGCCTGCCCCGAGTGCTCATCATACACCTCAAGCGCTTCTCCTACAACAGGTTCTGGCGCGACAAGATCGACACCCACGTTGACTTCCCCGTCACGTGAGTCTGATGCCGCTTGCCTCTCAAGTGCTGCGATGTACTTGTATAGAAAAGCCGCAAAATCTGCTTCTGTGCAACTTTTATGCTGAGTGAAAATTAGTGTGCAATGGGCGTGGAGCCTGTTTATGCTACGTTTGTGTGCATCGTCTGTATTGTGTACAGCCTGTTGCCACACGTCTTTGGTTTATGGAGACTTCTAAGTAATGTGGCTGGGTTAGTATGTAGCCCTCAATCCACTTTTGCGTGGTTTAGGTTTCTTGCTGAATGGCATTGTCGTGATCTGCTCCAATAATGCAGCGCAGGCCTTCCATGATGCCTAACCAGGCAGCCTGGCTGAATAAACAAAACACTAGAGTGCGTGTAAATGGGACTTGAGATGGGTTTAAGCATGAATTTGTCGCTATAGGGCATTTCTGCTGAGCAGCAGGTCATAGGATAGGTTCTGGGCTAGAGGGGCTGCACTTTCATGAGGGCATAATGCAAAAGCTGTTGCACACTTTGGCTTAGGCTGTGGGGTGTTTTGTATGCCATGAACCACCAAGTGAATCCAACACATCCTTGGATGGCCTCTTAGAGGGAGCCTTCATAGGCACGGATTTGTTTTGCGAGCTTTGCTTCATATGCTGCTCAAAACTATATCCAAGCTTTCATCAAAGCTAACTTTTCGAGGTACCCCAGACTGTTTCTTCCCTCCCCACTGGGAAAACCCACTTGGGAAGATCAAAGACGGTCTTTTTCACCTGTGTAATTTAAGTGTGGCCCACAGGTATCAGCAACAAGTGAAAGCATATTTTCAACCGCAGATGCCATTGCAAGTTCAAGAATAGAGAACATTTTTGTGCAGCACGAGGTGCAGTTAGTTTTCTTTTATGAGAACTCTTTTTGGGGGAGGTATCTGCTTCTGTGTGTTCTGTATGTTTTCTAATGCCCCTTTCGGCGATAAAAACCTATCAAATGATTCTCTGGGAGGGCAATGTATATTGTTACGACCTCAGTAGGCGTCTGGGGGTTTATTGATACACGGTTCGAGGGACGAGCCCTATCGGCGCAGGCAGATGATGATGATCTTCTTCTTCCACACCCGAGGTCGTAACAATATCACAAGTGCACTAATAAGGATTATTTTTGCTAAGAGTGACAGCTGGTAACCACTCATTCTATTCACATTGAAATTATTTCACCCCAAAGACCGTTCACTTTAGATTCAACTCAAGCCAAAGTAGGGTATTGTTGCTGTTCACACACCCCTAGTTTCCCACCCAGACAAGTCTGTTATTTGGTGCTTATTTCAACAGAAAAAGCGAATTTTCGGGTCAGTAGTCTTATTTGTATGTGATCAGTGCCAACGCTGCGACATCAGTCTAAAGTCGTGCATTGAGGTGCATGGCCTGCACCCTTGCAGGTGACATGGCGGATCATTCTCACAGTTACAGACTGAGTAGCTCTATCCCGCCAATGCACCATCTCTCGATGTAATGCTTGTACATTTTTGTCACACTTTCTGCTAAATTGATGCCTACATTTTGTTGCAGTGATCTCTGCATGGATGACTACATCATCAACAGAAAGCACGAGCGAGCAGTCTATGACCTGATAGCTGTCGCTAACCACTACGGTGGCCTGGGAGCTGGTCACTGTGAGTATCGACATTGTAAACTTTGCACATGGACATTATAGACACTTTGCCTCTCATTGTTTCGTTACCATGGCACTTGAGAAATACCGTGTGAAGAAAATCAAGCCTCCCGTTGAGCACAAAAGAACATTATTTAAAACAGACCGCTGCCCAACACCGTGGTTTGCTGCTGCAGCGGGTGATTCTAAAGCCAGAACAGATTGTCTTATTCGACCTTTTTTCAACACTAGAAACCCTTGCATAGCTTGGACCCGCGTATAATTCAAATCCCATTTTAGCGATGGCAGAATGTTCAAAACAAGTGTGCACCTCAGTATAGTCCGTGGTAAACAGAACCTGAATACTTTAATTCATCGTCATCTGCCGCAATTTTGAAGCTTCCTTGCCAGAGATGTCCTCCCATAGTACATCACCTGCAGTGCAATCAAGGGCATCAGGCATTTTTTGAAGGCATGACGAAGAAGTGCCTCGGGAATGCAGACCCAAGACTCGGTGATTCTTGTGCGCAGCATTGCTGGTGAGGCCCATTTATGATGTCTGCCAGGCGTGTCTTTTGGCTCTGCAGACCTCATCCAGTGTAAATAAATGCAGGCACCTAATGCGGTCCTTAAATCGTGTATTTAGGCGCACATCGGGCGGCTGCAGGTGGGATTTCATCCCTTCTGAGACTACTGCGAGCTCGGGGCAGGAGTCTTGTATTAGTCACTTTATGGAGGCCACCAGGTGACACCAAAGCACAACGAGCACAGGTATTGATAGGAGCCCCAAAGGCTTCATCCAGACAAGGGCTAGTGGTTCACCCAACCACCCCTTCTCCAGGCGGCGGACGACTTCATTTTTCGGCAACATCTACTTTTTCGGCAAGATCTCTGGTGGCAGCTTCCGACTGTGTGCCGTGCAGGACAATATCACAATTGCCTACGTTTTCTCGTTTCCAATTGATCGCGCAGTAATTTGCCTGGAGCCTTTCTGATGCATTGTTAGAGCTGAGGGCATGTCGTGATACGCCAGCATTAGATCGACATTACCAATCTGGTCCAGCTGAAAGGCTTTTGCTATGAAATAACATCCTTCTGAAAGACCACAAGCACGTATTCGTAGCTTTCTGGTAGCTTCTGCGAAGTCGACTTATTGTTGTGGGGGAACCAACCCAATGCGTTGTTTGAAACAAGACACAGTGTTTGCTTTGCGTTGAAGTGTGCTTGCAATATCCTTTTGCCTTTGCTTATAGCTACTTGATGTTGACAGCGAGTTGTGCAACTTTTTGCTCCCAAATGAAGTCGGGGAAACTGTTCATTTTTCGGCTCCCGGGAACTTTCCAGGCCGGTGCGTAACTGCCGCCCCGTAGCACTATGTACAGATGCTTTGAGCAGCTAAACTCTCCTTCTTTTTATACTGTTTTGTGATTCTGATGTGGCGTAATACCGTAGCCGTCGTTCGTGACACGTAGCGCATGGTTGCTGCGGCAGCTGTTGCTTGTAGGACTAACGTAGAAGTGTGCAAAAGCCTGATAGGGACAATAGCACCACTCAATGCCCTAAACCGAAGCTGAATTTAAGGCTAAAATTCTTCGGATCCACACTTATGTATCACGGGGCGGAAGTTTTGTGTCACAACATATAGAAATGTTTTGGACTATATGCGCGAGCTTTTATAGAAACTTATCCAAGCGTAATTATTTAATGTCACTCCAGGTAGAATGCCAAGTGACTATGGTGACATTATTTCCCCTCCCCCCTTTTTTTTTTCTAAAAACATTTTTTGCAGACACTGCTTATGCCAAGAACAAGGAGACTCATAAGTGGTACCACTTTGACGATTCGAGCGTTTCCTCGGCCACGGAGGACAATGTTGTGGTGAGAGTTGACTTGATGGCTCAGCTGGTTGGTTATGTGTGTGTGTGTGTGCATGCGCGTTTGTGTGAAAGGGAGAGAAGGTTAGTGGGTGGAGGGAGCTGGAACAGAGAGGAAAGAGGGAACTGGAGCTAAAAGTTGATTTGGCATCCGTCAGCATCATGTGAAATCATAGATTTGGTTAATAATTTCTAATGCATTTTTTGCTGTAGTTATGACATGCACACTTTTTTTCTCATTAAGTGGGTAGAAAAAACATGTGCATTAGAATCTCTCGATAACCTCATTTGTGCTGTCTGCCACAGCCAACGGTCAGAGGGGTCAGATGCAGCTTCATTGCCCTCGAGAAATGGTTGTTTGTGGATTGCCGTACGTTCGTTGTGTGCTCGAAGTATGACTTGTGTGTTTTTTGTACGTTTCCAAAAAGTTTCCGAAAAAAGCACCTATGGTGATGTGCTTATATACACTCAAACCTCGATATTATAAACCTGGATATAACGAAATATTAGTTATAACAAAATAAATAAAAAAATGTTTTGCAATTGATATACAGTATAGACCGCTTATAACGTAAGTCGCAGGAGTCGCGAATATCTGCACTACAAGCGGTACCGCACTATAACCAAAACAACCTTTTTCAAGGGCTGCACTTACGCAAAACGTGTTGACCTTGCAGCTTTGCGTGTCCGAGAATCAAAACATGCGATGCATGCTTGCTAACATTTAAATTTCTAAATGTTAAAAGAATGTAATGTCCAAGGACACGCGTTTCCAATGAAATGAGCGCAAAAGGGGGAGAGCGAGTGTCTACCAAACGAAAGAACCATTGTGGAAATTTGCCGACTACGAGACCGCCTAGATTATGCACATTACGCTGAAGCTATGTCGAATCACGTCCAGAATTTGATGCTTTGAAAGACGCCAACCATTCGATTTCACGGGCGCGCACCTGATTTAAGACATCGCAATCGCATCGCGAACCACTGTTTGAGCGCTACATGTGCCACCCTCATTTTCATGAACGATGTGTACCTTTCCCGTCAAGTGTGGCCACGGCAAAGAGTTTTGTTGATTTAGTACCTAACTATATTCACGCAACCGCTACCGATCGAAGGGCAACCAATGCCGATTAGGCCTAGCTCGCCGTTTGGTATGCTGTCGCGGAAAGTTTGTCCAAAACATGAAGATTCGGCGTGAAAAAGATTGCACTAGCAGCGAACCAAGAACAGCGTGCGTGATATGAAGTTTGCGTTTGCGGCCGGGAGATCAGCAACGACAACTCTCCAAGCTTACAAACGACGGTGCGCTGGCAGCAAAAGAGAAAGCTCGCATCATAAAACCGTAATAGCTTTTCAATTTACTGACAAGAAAGCAAACACGATATTTGTTGCAAGCTCGATAACGACGACGTCTTTCCCGACAGGAAACTGTTAGGCGCATTGCGGATGCAATTGATAAATACGAGATCGCACATGTTACGTTGAGCGGCGCGCGGCCGATGTCACGCTAGCTACGCAGTACGCTGTAGCCGCGTCGGCGCCGGTGCGAAGGCCTAACGATCATCGAGGCAACCGTCCTCCTCCCTTACTCAGCGAGCCGCCCGCACAGTGTCCCGCGGTCTTATTTCGTTAATTTTTCTTCCCTACACCCTTCATTCGTTCACTCCATCTCCCCTCCTCCTCCGTAACGACCTCGTCGTTCGCTCCCCAGCGCGCCTCCTTTCAGAAGTGCACTCGCTACCGCGTTTGTCACAAACAATTTCCGGCAACCGCATTATAACCGGTCTTTCATCTTAAGGTACTGCACAATAAGCAGTATGCATATACATGGTGTTCTAGGTAAAAGGGAGTATAAATATACTGCATTGTAAGCGGTTCTACACTGTAAACGGTTTTGTTATAAGTGGTCCACACTGTAGTGTTAAGAATAAACCTTCATGACGAATTTTTGGATATAATTAACCTATTTTTGTGTAAAGTTGAACTTTGTTATAACGAGGTTTTAGTGTAATATGAAAATGCTTGAAAAGAGTTACCTTTTAGGGATGTGTAAATGTTTGAGTGCATCAAATATTCAATTGAATATTACAGTATTCGAATTTCCTTGGATGTGATGTTATACGAAATTTCGAAGCAGTTGTAATTGTATAATCCACTGCCATGAAGCCAGGTTTCAAGGTTGAATGTACATCTCAAACAGGCAGCAAGGGGCAGCTAGCTTGCCTTTTGCCGCTTGTTCAAATCTTTTCGGTTCAACGTAGAATAGCTAGCACAGCAGCGGAAGTGTTTTAAAACTTTCTGCTAGATAATAATTTCATTGCACTTGCCTCTATGTTTTCAACTTGTGCTCCCACTCTTTGCTGTGTCTTTTTCTCTGCTCAGTCAAAGGCCGCCTACGTGCTCTTCTACATGCGGCGAGACTCTGGAGATCGAACGTCACCCAGGAAACGCAGCCCAGCGGCAGCGGCGTCTACCAGGCAGAGCGGTTCTGCGGCGGCTGACGAAGAGCGGATGGACCTCAGCTAGGGCACCGCCAGGACGCGAGTGACAGCCATGCCTCGGAAGCGGCCCCGGCAGTGTTGACGCACGCGTCGTGTGAAAAGACCGTAAGGTGATGCGCCACGGACGAAACTGTTTCCGCTGCCTCCGCCACTGAGCACGGCGAGGCTCTGAGGGGGCTGGGGTCGACGAAACATAGAACCGAGGACAATGCGTGTGGGGCCCCGGACAAGCATGCGGATCCTGGGGGAGCGCATACTGCGGCTGTGCCTGCAAGCCGTCCCAACCGAGGAGAGAGGAGGTTTTGCCTTGACACGGCTAATGTCCACTACGGGGACCGGCTTAGCTTTCGTCGTATCCTAATTATTGCTGCAGCACTTCTCCCCTCCGAGCTGTTTGTCTAACTTTTTTTTTCTTCGATCGTTGCTTTGTAGCTCTTCTAATCGGAGCTCACTCGAGCTGAAAAGCAGTGTGCATGCCTCGCACCTTTCTTCTTCAGAAATCTTCCCAGTATGCCACCTCTGTGATGTGTTGTCGGGGCTGCCGCTGCAGAGCACAGGTTATTGTAAACTGTAGTTCTTAATAAGTTTCACATGCTAGGTTATTGATAGTAATTTTTTTAAGCGTCAGGGATACAGTAGAACCTCGTTGATACGTTCTCGAAAAAGAAGAAAAAAAACGCGAATGACAAACGTACGATCCGGTAAAACGTACTATCTAGGGCAACCGGGCATTTGAAGAAAGCGTGGAAGGGATGATTGAGTATAGTTCGAAATATATGCGGGGTATGAAAAGCGCAGCAAATAAAGCACTGTCGCCGCGCAGCGGCACTCGGCCTTTTGGCGCTTCACCGGTACGCGAGTGCAGTTTTTCCCATGCCTGAATATGCCACATATATAGTTTCTGCGATTTGGAGTGTAGGAGCAGGGAAATTGTATTAAGCAGAAACGTCAGTGAGGTTCTACTGTAATTATTTTTGCCACTTACATCAGCAGAAGTGCCACTGCTTCTGTGCGCTATGCGTTTCTGAAGTTATCGTCTCTTTTTTTTTTTTTTTTTCAGTTTCCATGAGAAAACTTGCAGGTAGTTGGTCAAATTCTCATGACAGGTTAGCGCTTCTATCTACAAAAGCTATTGAATTACGATGAAGGAAAAAAATAAGAAGCCTAGATTGGGATGACTCGTACAGAGCTATTTTTTGCACTAGTGGGACTTGCTCAGTGATCGGTGGCGGTCCGGTGATTTTAAAAATTGGCCAGCTGTGGCAGCAAGCAAGAGAGTGAGGTGCAGATGTGTAAGTGCGTGTGCGAAGTAATTATAAGTGGATTGTGCACATCTAGAACCTAGACGTTGCAAACTCCGCTTTATAGATTGGGAGCCTTCTAAAAATTTTGGTGCATTCTTGTGATAGGAATGTTGTCCCGCTAGCACAATGTGCGGGACACCGTTCGTGAGCTTTCCCTCTGTCGCGATATTATTTTGACAGAATGCACAGAATTATTTTGTTGTGGGTGTGGTGGCAGTGTGCGTGAGGCGACTGGTTTTTGTAAAGTGAGGTGATCTCGTGTGAGTTTTATATAAGCCAGCTACCGAAGGATGTCGTTTGCTTTCCAGATTCTCAAAGAAAAATGTGACGCTTCTAAGCCAAGCTGATCGACGTAGTCTCGAGTCTCAATCGGCATTCTGTGCCGTTACGCGTCTATAACGGTGTGTTTTCGTTGAAAATCTTTTTTACGGTTATTCTCGCTTCGATGAGCAATGTAATTTATTTTGTTACGGTGATTTTGATCAAGTGCTGAACAATGTGTGATGGCTTCCAGGCTTTTGTGTCCTCTTTTGTACATGTTTTCTTGTTTAGTTTTGTAAATTTGAATACCCCCTTCCTCCCCCTTTTTTCCCCCTTCTCATTCCCAAAGACAGAGGCTGCAAGTGACAGCATGTTACCAGAGTTTCTGGAAGTTCTCGCCGTGAATTTCGACAGCGGAGCTAAATATTCGAATTCTAGAATGTGATGCTGTCATTTTTACATGGAAAAATAAAGAACCTTGCGAACATGAGTGTTGGCTGTCCTTTCTTTGTGCAGTGCTTAGATTCGATTCAGAAAAAGAAGTGTTAATCTGTAGCTAAGGCAATACAATTTTTGGTATGTGTAGGCTTTTATGCTGATTTCAAGTATCTAATTAGTATGACAAGTGACAATTACATCCAGCTGCCTTCACTTGACACAGCAACCCCATTTTTGCTTATTGGTTACATTGGGTTGTGCTTTATGGTGTGGTTTGGTTGGCTTACCCCTGTATTCAAAAATGCTCCTCGACTTAAACTTGACTTAAAACAGTCTTCAATGCAGCGCGTTTGAAACGCGTCTGTGCATTTGTGCTACCTTGGCACCGCCCAAAGACTGTGTATTCGAAACGCGTTTGTGCTGCATGGAAGTCGCTGGCAAGTCGAGTTCACGGGGGTTAGTCCTTGCGATGTCAACCGTGTGGGCCATTGGACACTGCTGCACAACTTATCAAAGTGCAAGAAAACTTCACGGCGCCGCAATCGGAACGGTACGATTCCACAAACCTCTGTCGTTTATGGCTCGGCAAACATCACTGTGCCACCGTGTTCTGTTGACGACAGACACAGTCACACTTGTCATTGGCTGGCACAAAGTGATGTCAGTTGTACAGTTGAAGAGAACATGAGATGGGGAATTAAAATTATGCATTTATAGCTATTAAATGAGCTCTGACAATGACAAGTCGAGGTATAGTACCGAATGGATGGCCAGGATCTTCAATACACACTTAGCTGAAAATTTGTGGAAAGTGTTTCATAACCCCTTGAAGTCTGCAGTTACATCACCTGAAATGTTACCTCTATGCATGCTTTTAGGTTTGTCGCGAATTCGTGACAACAGGCACTACACCTAATATGTGGCTCAATATGGGGATTCATACAAGGCAACACCAATGCATCAATAAAGCCAATCTGTTCAGACCATCAAAACTTGGCATCTCTGGCAAAAATCAGTTTCACAATAAATGCATGAATTCAGCTAACAATCTACAGCTAGAAGTCCTCTACTCCGAAATTGGTATGGCTGACTTCTATGAAGTCGGCGGCATTTTTCAATGGAGGCGAAAATGCTCCAGATCCATGTAGTTAGATTTAGGTGCGCGTTGAACCCTAAATGATAGTCTACTGTAATAGTTTACTCTTCAATGATGGTGCCATACAAGTTTCGACCATTTGGGGTTCTTTATTGCGCTCTTAAATTGAACTACATGGATCTCGAGTATTTTTGCCTCCATTGAAAAATGCTGAAATTGGTGTAGCTGACTTCATAGAAGTCAGCTACACCAATAACTAGGTTGAGGACTTCTAGCTGTAGATTGTTAGCTGAATTCATGCAATTACTATGAAATAGTTATGCCAGAGATGCCAAGTTTTGTCTTCTGAACAGATCGACTTTATTGATGCACTTGTATTGCCTTGTATGAATCCCCGTACTGAGCCGCATATTAGGTGTGCCGGTTGTCACAAATTCACGACAAACCTAAAATTTTGTATGCATCGAGGTTACCTTTTAGATTGTGTAACTGCAGACTTCAAGGGGTCAAAGAGCTCGTTTTGCAGGAATTCCGCCATCGGCAGCGGTGTTGTTGGTTGTGTGTAAAAAATTTTGTGCGTGACTGAAAAATCGAGAAAGATGCAAATGTCCTAGTGAAGATTGAACCAGGGTATTTTGCACGGCAAGCAGGTGTTTTATTGCACAGCCACTCTTATGCTTGGAAATACAGTAAAACTAACTTCCTCTGCTTACAAATGCAGTGAAAGTCACTTTCATGGTTTACAAACACCTCTCCTCTATGCCTGTGTCAAAATACATGTAATATTGCGTGGTAGAATCTTACTTCGCCATCTGGTGTCGAAACATGTGATTATCGCGACTTCATGGTTCAAAGCCGGCCACCCACTACAAAAGGCACAGACTTTACTGCTCGTATTCCCTTCAGACCACGTAGCAGTTGCAGAGCAAGTTCGAAAACATGTTGCATTCATTTTTTGGTCGCCATTTAAAGCACGAGCAAAATGCAATGGGGTCGCAATCTTGCAGCCGGTGCCATACCGTCAATGACTGGTTGTTTTGCTCGCCACGAGATGAGGCGAAAATAGGCTGTGGTTGCTCTCGCTCCAACTTGAACGCGTTGCCAGCAGCCGCCGGAGCGTGCAGGCCACCCGCTCCTATGTTCTGTCTGATAAATATTGACAGTGTACATATATGATGTATCTTCACCTCCATTATTTTTTTTAAGATTAAAACTATTTTACAGGCTTGCAGATTCTTAAGTTCAGAAAACTTTAAAACTTAACGTTTTGTACCACTACATGCATGCATAATACATGCACTTTGCTGCTATTCAAAAATTCCTCTGCATCACTCTGTACCAAAAAAAAAAGTTCACACACGCCCACTTCCTATTCTGAAAAATATTGTGCAAATCACTTCGAACCTCTCATTTACTAAATGTGCCCATACCTAGGTATTCAAAAAGTGCAAATTTTGTGGTGCCTAAATAAGATGGCGTCAGCACACTCGGCTGCCCGGTTACGTTGCACCCAAAACTGCTTTAGTGCTTCCTGGCCAGTGCTGGTAGTATTTTGGTGTATGCGGTATAATAGCTGAGGTTTTGGTGCAAAAACCTAGTGAATAAAGTTGATTGCAGCTCTACAACATGAACACTACAATAATGATAAGTAGAGGTTGTCTTCTTATTCTTGTCTTCGTGTTATGCAGTTGCAATCACATTCCTTGAAACTGAGCATGCCAAAACAGATAAAAAGATGACCATTTGGACTGGTTTAACATCGCCTTTAAAGCCCTAAACAAATGCATTCTATGTGAAATACGTGACATAATGGTTGGGCATTTCTTTTTGAGCAAAAGCACTTTTATTAGCCTATTTATCGAGATTTTGTTCCGTGTTAGCACCATCACTCTCAATGTGAGCTACACCACGCGAGCGTGTGGCCGAACGCACTGCAAGGTTGTTCTGTACCACTGTTGTGGCACATTGTCAAACATTTAGGGGAGAGTTTGGTTGTTCCTGCGTGTGCAGAACGCCACCACCTGCTTGCTTTTATTCTCTAGGCTATCAATTCTGAAGCTGATATCACAAAATAGCAAAATGGGGGTGAGCATGAAAGCTTGCTTGCTTGCTTTCAACCCTTGGAGGTTACCACGAATGAAGCTGATATAACCGCTCAATAAAACGATGGCGGGAGTGGAAGTATGCCGTGGCACTGTGCTCACGCAGGAACAGCCAGACCCTCTCCTAATAACACGAAAATATGCCACGTTCTGCACCGCCTGCAAACTTGCAGTGCTCACGGCCACACACCGGCATGGTGTAGGTCACTCTAAGCACGATATTACAGGTTTGCTTTAGCCAGTCGGGCTCGGAGTTCTTGTCAGTTTAAGCATTGCGCTTGTCTGGCTTGTATGTTCGAGAATCGAGCCCAATTGTCTCTCAATTTTTTTACAGCTGTGAGCTGTTTAAGGACTAATAGGATGCTAGTACCAATGTACTATGAGAACACTGTATGAAATGTTGTTTTGGCCTGTTTACAAAACATACTTCAAATCTGCTTTTTTTCAGTAATTGTTTATTGTAACGTATTTAACACATGTACATCTGTAGCATTAGAGCTTTTTGTATTGTATACAGACATTTCACCGAGATTAAACATGACTCAAGAACTGCCTTTAGTGGTTGCAGAAATGAAAAATATCTGTCTAAAGCTTGGGCATAAAATCTACTAATTATTTTGTATAACTATCAATAAAAACTCATAAATATTGCTAAAGTAATGTATAAATAAGGCATACAATGACCTGACTAGCAAGTATAAAAGGCTTTGGGCTGCCAAGCGATTTCACTAAAATGAAAATAAACTGGGTATCGCTAGTTTCCAGGAAGTGGGCAGGAACCAGACGGTTTCTGGTTTCAGCTCCAATGTTTTTCCTTTATAACGGAGCATTCGCATTGACGGCCACAGCGTGCTAAAAATTACGAAGTTGAAGTTCCCGAAACTATGTGGTGGTACAATTGTAGGGGGCACTGCAGTAGAGAGCCCAAAGCTAATGTAAAGGGGCCTCGTGACACCTTTTGAACACGGTCGAAAAACGCTGCCAACCTGTAGTAGAGGCTCTTTTGTGCACGTGAGCCAAGTGATGTTGTACTGCATGCAGCAGAGATTTCGCTCAGAAGTCGCTTTCTCTCTCATTGGGGAAATTACTGCACAGCTGGGAACAAGCTAGCACAAAGGGTATTGGCTGGTCTCGCGAATAGTTCGAGATCAACCAATACTTTCTGGCGAAAAAAAAAGTTTCAAAATGCTCGACAGATATGGGCAGTGCTTCTCATGCAGCCTAAGTACGTCGAACCTAAGTGCAATGGGCTGTAATATTTGTAAGCTAATAATATTCCTCTCCAAAAGAGCAGATCTTGCATTGTGACCCCTGTGTGCGGCTAGATGCCCAAAGCACAGCATAGGCGTATGTCAATGACCTAACTAAAGCTTTGTGCTGGCTTGAACCTCTTTAATAATGTTGTTGACGACATCTCGAGTGCTCGCTTGGCCTCCCAGATCCGGGGTGTGGACCTGTTGCAAGAAGAAAAAGGTGAAAACTGGTGTCGAACGGCATCAAAGCACCATGGTAACATCAAAACTGTTTTGCCTCATGTATTTGTGTATGTTTCTCGCATGAAACTACGATATCCAGCACTGCTAGTAGCATTTCAAAATGTCTACTGTTGGATCAACTTCGACAGTGCCTGGGTCATTGACACGAAAGGTAGCCACACATCCAAACAACACCTGGAAATGTTAACTGCTCAATCGGACCCTGCTGAGTGTACACTCATACCTCATTATAACAAAGTTGCATCTTACAGGAAAATAAGTTCGTTATATACGAAAATTCATTGTGAATATTTATTTTTAACACTATATCTATTGCAAAACTATTTTTCATTTACTTTGTTATAACGATATTTTGTTGTATCCGGTTTCGTTACATTGAGGCTTGAGTGTATGTGTACATAGTCTGCAGAACGAGTGGAGAAAACAACACCGCAACAAGAATGGCGGTAAAAACAATAGTGGAGAGGGGGACATTGAAGAAAAGTCGCTGGCTTCAGAACCGGCCGGAAAGTCATTCGCTGAAGAAAGGACCGTATGGCTCCTAAAGCATTGGCCAGTTTTTAATTTTAATATTAAGAAATCTGCACTAAAAGTGGCTGAAAAATTAGTTTTATTCGTAAAATTCATTACCTTCCAAAGCAGGTATAGGTGACAAATATATTTTCTTCCACCGACAAATTATAGGAGCTTTAGAAAAAAATGGACCATTTCTTAATTATAAAACTTTGCGCCATATGTCCTAGCTGACATGCTATGATGTAGGAGCTTGCTCATTCATCCGTGCACATTTTTTTTTATTATTATACAGTTGACCACTATCAGACTGGCTTTTAAAGAAGTACCAGCACGAAAATCTGCATATCCTGTTTTTTTGTCTAGCAACAGTGACTAACGACCCACATATCATGGCTTGAGCAGTAAACTATTAGTTATTCGAAAATGTTCTATTCCCACTTTGAATTTCAGAGAGCAGCGAGAAAGACAAAATCAGGGAGGTTTTAATTCGAAACATAGGTGACTACGTCTTCACACATAAGTCGCTCGCGCACTGTGCGTGTTGACATGTGCAGGAGCATGTGTTGACAATTGAGCAGGAACACGGCAGCCAGCACACTGATATAATGGTTGTTGGAAGTTTACATTAAATCAAATTTCGTTGATGTTACGAGGTGCTCTCATTTGGATGGAACAAATGCCAAAATTGGTCTTGAACATGCTTCAGGGCACACCTGCCGTTGATGTTTTGCAGACAATGTGTATGTGTACACACAAGTCTTGTCTCAAAAGTTATCTCACCTTCAAAATTTTTGTGCCACTGTTCCTTAAACGTGGGCACACAGCATTAAAATGAAGGTTACAAGCACAAAAACAAAACGAGAATATGTGAAATATGAAAAAAGAAGGCATATCGCCAGTACACAATAAATCAAGTCGTAGCTACCTTAACAAAAGAATAAACGTGAGATATCGAACGGGTGGGTGAATTTCTTAAGCAGAAACTACGGTGACTCGTTAAATTGAACCTGAAAAGGACCAAGAAAATTTGTTCCACCTAACAGGAGTCCTTTTTACCACGTGATGAACAGGGTGGCACAATTCAAGCACTAGTAGTATGAAACCAATTTATATCGGAGTCGGTTGTTCCTTTTAAGTACCAGTTCCTTTTTAAGAGACTTGCATTTAGTGAGAGTATAGCGTATTATGCTAGTTGAATATTGTAAAGAGAAAATTTCTGTGACATCAAACATGTACTGATATTGATAAAGGTGAGATGGACAGGTAGAAATTAGAAAACAACAAAACCCAAGGCTAGTACGCTCACCCAATGCAAAAAGTGGATTTTTGACTTTCCTTATCCAAAACAACATTAATAAGAATCAACCGACAATAATGCCAAGAAAAATCTCTGCATAATTGTCTGTTTTCAATAATATTGTGTCTAACGAAGAAAAATGAGCTCGTAAAATTTCCTTTTTTTTTTCTCATTTCTGAAACGGGTGTGGCATGAACATGTGATATGTTTACATTGCGAGCCTGTCCAATAAAATTTTCAAGGCACTGTCTGGGCCAGCACATAGTGCACACTACTTACAGTTTTCACAAATGTCACCAATAATGCACCAACTTTTCAAATTCTCGACATACCTTGTCAACATTCAAGGTCTTGTCAATTGCATTTCTTATCACAGTGGCATGGTCCTTCAATCTAAAAAAAAAAAGCTAATGTTACTGACCAAAAAAGAAACTCCATCAAGGATACTTAAGACGAGCATATATGCAACTCTTTTCAATCTAGAACATTTCAGTGAGCAGACATTCTTGAGGTTTAATGATAACTCTTGCGTGAATCTGTGGAAACTACCAAAGAGGTGGCCTTGAAGTGAGGAACATCTTGAAGATCGTAAGCATCTTGCATGCTGTGCCATCACTACAGAACATGGAAATCATACAGAATGCTCACCCCAGATGATCGAGCAGGTCAACACCCGCATTCATCATGGCCAAGGGGTTGGCGATGTTTTTTCCAGCGATGGACTTTCCGGTGTTGCGTGTTCCCTGTATGAGATGGGAGCAAGGCTTTCAGGAATTTTTCAACTCGCTACATTCAAGACACACTCAGACATCTGATGGTACAGAACCATGTATCGTTTAAGACTGATCATGGCTTTGGGTTTTATTGCTAATAATTATTTTATGCACAGACAGAATTCTTATGGGGAAGGGCAAATTAAAACACACTGTGTTCCTTAAGCATTATACTTGATAGTTTCATTGCTTTATTTATTGGCACTGAGTCTGAAGGCTTAACGATGCCTTGTGCTGCCCAGCCAGCAGAGCTAGTAGATGTGCTAATGCGGGCTGTACATTTCAGCTTTACAGGTTCGTTTAGCACTTTGTGCGCAACACTACAGGTCAGACGACAACTCCCATAATCTGAAAAGGGCGTGCTCTTACAGTTTCAAACACAGCGTAGTCATGGCCATAGTTCCTCCCAGACGTTATGCCCGGTCCACCGACGAGGCCACAGGCTATGTTGGTTAGGATGTTGCCATACAGGTTGGGCAATAGAAGTACGTCAAACTGCGACGGGTTTGACACAAGCTACAAAGAAAAAGACGTTAGCATGAGAAGTTGTAGAACATAGAGCATTCAAGGCTTCTATGCAGATGCATGCAATATGACTACAGCCATTCTAGTACCATTTTAGTATACTTGGCTCCTAGAACTAATAATATCAATAGCCTCTTCATTCAATTCGATTAAAATAGCTCGTGGCAAAATCTGCAATGCTGAATGTAGCAGGAAAGGAAAAAAAATACAGGGGATATGCGTGTTTATTGAATGTGAATGCCTCAAAGGTCCAGGTTGTAAACCTGGGTGTCTTTGAGCAGCAACCTTGAAAGTGCTAAGTCTGTTCTCAATAGGGGATGAAACCCCTGTTGTTTTTGAAGCAGCTAGCCTACCATCTAGGTTTACCTGGAAGTTAGCTTGACCAAGCACAATGCCAAGTTAACAGCAATTAGCAACTAAGCATGAACAAGTTATTTTCCTTTTTCCCAGTTTGTGTATTAATGTCGCTTTTAAATAATTTGACCTTACAGCTGTCGCCTGCTCGCCTAATTGTTAGAAAAATAACTTACCACTTACCAAGCTTACTTGAATTATTAAACACCCCTGACATCAAAATTTTGTATGTGACCTTTATACTGCAATATCCATCCTTGGAGTATATAATAACGACAAAATTGAATACTAGGTGCTCTAATGTATTACGTAAGTAACGCTAGCCTCATTAATTGTGATAAATATTAGTGTCAATTCAAAATGCTGGCCTAGCGCCCCACAGCCAGCAAGAGCCTGAGACCACGTTCGCTCCAAGCTTTGGTGACGCCGAATGCGCAGTTTTCAAATCGGGGAACCAACGTGTGGTTTTCCTCGCTTCTAAAACCACTTCTATCATGCGTTGTCTAGGTCATTGCCAATCCAGAAAGTCCGCGGCGGCTTTTTTCCGTCTGTTTACACCAACGTCCCACTTACTCCTACCCCGCCTTTCATTTCTTTTTTTTCTTTCCTACTTTTTTTTTCTTTTTCTCTCCTCGTTGCTCAGTTCCTATGCATTCTTGATTTCCCTTCTCCTTAGTCAAAATGCCGCCAAAGCCTTAATGCAATTCAGCTGAGCGGGCTACTTACTTCAAACATCTTTTTTGCCAATGACTTGTCCTATTAAACATGTGCTCTTCAGACTCCATCCGGTATCGCTTACCGTCGACATTTTGATATTTGAAAGTATGCTGCCCGCTTCTCCCCCTATTTGCAAGTGCTTCCTTGTTGTACAGTCGCCGACCGATTTTCCGGACTCCAAAAATTCGGACTTGTTGGATATTCCGGACTTCATAAATGCACCGTCAGGGATTCCATAGAGCTAATGCATTGTTTCGACCGATTTTTCGGGCGAATTTGCCCCTGAAAGTTCGATTTTTCGGACTAAATTGCTCGTTTTGTGCCACGCTCCAAGCTATTGTGAACGCCGCCATGTTGGATTTTCTGTCGGCTTGGCTAAGCTTGGTCTTCAGATGCCTTTCCTGCCTCCGAGATTGGAATGCGCACGCCATGTTTTAAGTTTCGGAGGCCGTGTTTGCTTTTTAAAAGACGCGGTGATGGACGCCGTTTTTTCGTCTTCGGTCAGCACTATCGTCATCACATCGCACGGGGAGGAGCACGTGTTGTGTCGCGTAGCGTCGAGACGTTGTGTGCTTCGCAGCGGCTATCTGCGGCATCGAATTTTGTGTTCTCGGTGCCATGGCTCCGCTATCTGTGCCATCGCGGGAGCCAGGTGGTGTGAAGAAGCGTGGGAAGTATACGACCCTGACGATAGAGACGGTCGACGTTGTCGGATGACAACGACGACCGCCCGCAGCCGTCGGAGATCGCCAACGCGGTGACAATTTTGTCGAGCGTTTACGGCGACGATGTCACCTTGGCGCAAATACGGGCAAACCAAATTGCCTCCAAGCGTAGTTTGAGGCAAGGCAGCATCAAGGACTTTTTTAAACCTGCCTGATGCAATAAACTTCAGATTTTTGGCGAAAACGAATTTTTCGGACTGTTCGATTTTTCGTACTTTTTTTCGGTCCCCGCCAGGTCCGAAAAATCGGTCGGCGACTGTACTTCCCATTCATAGTTGTTTGGGAATACGCGTACACCGCTATTGTCGGCAACCTTTTGCGGGGGTGGAACGCGGTGCCCATTTGCCGGTTTCAGAGTATTTCATGCTCTTTCCTTCGTTTGTCTCTGTAGTGGCCACCGCTTTGTATACACAGCGCTCCTACTTTGCGTTCCTCCTCCCTCCTTTTTGTGCTTCCCCTTCCCTTAACCTTTGAAAAGAGAACACTTTGTAATATTGCAACCTAACTTGATATGAAGCAAAGGCTGCGCTCTTCTGCTTTACGGAATTTTTTTCTTTTTGGACAGTGATTACAAACAGGGACACACGCCGCAACCAGGAGATGATGTCACTACTAACCCCCTTAAAACTAACACGCCAAGGATGACAAGGTGCCTTTGACAAATATAGGTCCTCCTATCGAAACGTCGACCAGCCGGTCTGAGGCACTTTCACTGTTCAACCTGATTATGCCCCTTAACATACTATGTTGTGTAAATCTGACACATTCTCAAGCGTTTGAGCTTAATTCGTGCCTGAGAAGAACATAATAAAGTCATTCTGACTCTTCTAGGGTTATAATGTGTCTATGAGATCTTTGACATCTTTAAAATCAGAGCTTCTGACCTGACCCACTGAAGAACACTGAATATTTCATACATTCAATCTCGCGTCTGTAATCTGATTCTATAAATTATGCATCCACAACCATCTTTCAGTAGTCTTCGCTTGCTCTGGGATATGATGACTATGTTTGGTTGCAAAAACTTGTCACACTGATCGTTCATCGTCGAACAGCTCATGGTATTAATGCAACTTTAAAAAGTGCCCACTTTTTGTTCCCTGTTCAGCAAGTAATGCCACATGCAGCCTAGTAGTCCTTGCTAAAAGCCTTGGCAATGAAATTTAAGCTGACCTGCATGCTGCAGTTGTCAATGATCATGTTGTCAAACTCAATCTCTGGATAATCCTTTGAAATCTCTGTGCAGCACTTGAGAAACAGCCCGTCGGACAGTTTCCTGCAAAAAGTGAGTGAGTAATCAGTCACACGGCTGGCAACAGATGCACGGCTGATGGAAGCGCATTTTTTGAAACTGCAGCTCTTCGCAATGGTTCTAACCCATACTGTGCTCTTGCAACGTCGAAGCAACAACGCCTTTGTTAATGCTGCACATCTGATGCATACAAAGAAGACAGCACTTCTACTTGCGCTCAAAGGAATGCTAAAGGAAAATGACGAACCAGAAGAATGAATTGGTCTAGATTGATACATTGTACTGCGAGAACTCCAACCTTGTTAATGTCACCACCAGTACGTTTATTACTGGAGCAGAAAACATAGGTCAAAGTTTCAATTTTGAGTTTTGCAGAGAAATATCTACACACGATGTAACGAATTTCAACGTGTATTTTTCATATTTTGGCAATATTTGCTCAATAAAACTTCCTGAACCTCCATGACTCATCTCGAAGAACAATGTGTCTCATTTTACCGATTAGGAACTGCATAGGACCTAGCAGTTGCCGTCAAAATCTTATGTAGTCACAACGGTTGGTGTGCGAAATTTTGGGGTGGCGTCACCACTAGCATATTCTTTTTGCACGTTTTCTCGCTTATCAAGGGCCTTCTTACAGCAATTGGAATTTTAGAAGAGTAATTTATCGATGCTTGTAAGAAAGTGCTTTTTCCTCTTTAGTGTCCCTTCAAGCAATTTTATTAATATATAAAATATTTTACGAGACGCCAATGTTGGGTTACAGAAGCAGTTTCTGAGTAATTTGCGCCATACGGCATATTTCTTTGCAGTTACACTCTCCTTGTGCAGTATGTTATCATGGTTCAGCAGCATTTGGGAAAAAACTGGCACCATATTCATGCCAGGAAAAAAAAACACCGATACGCAAAACAGCTCACATGATGTTGGCCTTGTGCACAGCTGTAATCTTCTTTCTCCCATTTTGCCGTGCAAACTCGAAGCCATAGCGCGCAATCTCCTCCGATTTTTCTCTTGTTATCAGCTTCATGCTCTCCACTACGCCTGGAACACTCTAAAACATGAGAAGATGGCAGAAAGAAAAGAGGGCAAGCAGACGTCATTGATGTGTCACATGGAAACGTGTACATACGACGCACAAAATGGGATTTCAATTTATATGTTGCAACACTGTCCTACTATTGCACCTTTTATATCACTTTGTTACTTTAGCCTTAATCATTCAAAAACAGGCTTTGAGGTCAGGCTTTTATTTGATCAACATGAGTGTAGGATGGAGCTCCTTTTTGGATGTAGGGGACACCATATTTCATTGGCATTGCTTGGGGCAAAGGACTCCCCCAATCACAACTCTTCTTTGTTATCAGTAATTGCACACACGCACATTTGTGTCTCCCTCACTCTCTTTTCAACGACCCCCGGCTGCCCAAAATCCTGGCTATGCCCCTGCCTTATGAATATTCTTTGGTGACACTTGCAATGAGGCATTGCTCAAGAGATGCCTTTAATTATGGTGTCTTCGAGCATACTGCCAGAGTATGTAGAAACAAAATTCATGCACAGCAATCACTTTCAACATGTTCACTGCGTCATGGGTCACCGGTGGGTCATGGCCTGTGTTCCACCTATGTGTCTGCGAAGTTACATGTATTTATCTGCTTGCGACTGCAATAACTCTATGACACTTGAACGCAGAGGTATGGTTCTTGTTGCATGAGGATACACACCCCGAAAAGAATGCTTCTTATGGTAACCTCTACAACCAACCAGTGACCAATGATACACTCAATAAAAATGTGTGTGCGCGTGACCCGCCAGTCACACGTGCACGAGAGCTCGCCATACTGTGCTGCCATTTGAAGCTCGAAATTGCAACTCATACATATCGTCTTTTGCACTGAACCTGAAAGATATGATTGCTTTTAAGGAGCCCAGTGGCGGCACATTCTTTCATTGTATTGCTGGCTAACCTTTTCCACAGTTTTTGAAATACGTGTCGTTGGGCTAAGTGTATGAGTTTTCCCTGCTGCTTCAAATAAGCGTGCTAAACGCCCGCTGCAAACGTGGCAGTGCCATCTTGTTGGAGCAAAAGATAGACGCATAGTCCCGTGTTCCACCAGTGGGTCACGATGCACCTGGGGGATATACCCATTAGTCTTCAGGTGGGTCACCCCGCACCTAAAACCAAACAAAGTAATGAAGCATGCTGCAGTGAACAAGTAAAAAGAACTGAAAAGAGTTGTGATGATAGATGAAGAAGTTTTATTGCATTCTGGTGCTGCTTTCCTTATTGTGCAGTTTTAAGAGCAAGAATAAATACATATACAGAAGCTGAATACTATGCTATAGATACATATGCTGCGTGTAAAGAGCTCAGCTATATTTCATCATTGCAAACAGGGTAGCTTCTCATGTGACCTCTGACGCTGCTACAATGATGATGACAGTATTATTCCAATGCATTCACGTTCAAAACAAGTTAGGTGAACGGATAAGAGTGTGAGCTTTTTTTTTTTTGTCCCTTCCTTTTTACACTCCATTTAAAGAGTCAACAATACACTAAAGAATAATCACTGGTATAGACATTGCAGAGAACTAACCTCATGCTCGGCACAACTGTATTCTCCCTCGGTGTTTTGGCGTATCAGCACAATGTCAATGTTGTCGTGACGAGTCGGAACACCAGGCTGGCTCTTGCAGTGAACAATGTTGACAAAAAGCTTCAGCCGTAGGCGCAACTCCACGTTGCGGGACTTGTAATTTGGCGAGTTGTGTCTCGTTTCAATGTTGCCTGCCAGGACAAATGACATGCTCAGATTGCACAGTTCTCTCCCTTACCCACCCTTCCCAAAAAAACACAGTCACAGTGACAGACATGGAAGACGAGAAGAATACAACTAAGCATGAAAAGCTACCAGTTAGAGGGACCTTGAAATGACTCTGGTGATTTTTTACAAACCTGATGAGCCAATAGCATGCGTCCTTTAGTTCATTAACAGACCAATTTATGGGTATTGAGAGTAAATAAATAAAGTGTGTAATGTGCATCGTTACAAATTGGACTGTGCCACCACACTGAGTATCCAGCCACCGCTGTTTCAAGGTGCGCAATACTTCGTAGTCTCACTTGTGAAATTGATTTTATTGGCTTCTTAGAGAAAAACCTGAAAAGAAAACAATTAAGCCCAAAATTTTCATACGCCTCATGCATTTAACACAGTTCATTTCTCTTTGACTGCCTTAATGGCATACATGCTTGTGGTGAGGAGAAAGAGCATAACAATGTTATTACATGTCATGTTATAAAATAAGGTAGGTGTGTTGCATTGAGGCAAAAGAAACATTAAAAACCTTTCAGGGCAACGCCATTTCTTTTTATGGCTATGATGGCTTCGTCAACATTCTCCAGATCGTCCTGGGTGGAGTCAAGATGAACCTCTTCGAAATCCACAGGCACACCGCCATACCTGATAGCAAACGAGCATGAACGTATTACTGCTGTGTAAGCATAAACCAGCAAGTTGTTTCTTCAAAGCAGTTGATGAGAAAACCACACAGGTCTTGTGTTTATACCCACAGTGCTCGCAGACCGAAATGCAAGATCAAAATATCTGGTACGTTGATTGGTATACATGGCCAACAGTTCTAGATATTCGTGTCGCGTTGCTACAATTATGGCCACTATAAAGGCAAGGCTGGCCCTGATGCAAGTGTTTCGAGACGATGTGAAGTTAATGCCGAAACGATATAAAGTTAAAACAGTGGAAATAAAAAAATAAGCATAACTTAGCCCTTAATTGTCACATTTCAATCTGTGAGCAATGTATGCACATATCTGGTCTGTGTACGCATGGACTCGAGCTTTAGCATACCTTTACCACACTTTCACTTCACACTTGTCTTGTAAGTCCAGCGCTAAAGTACTCCATGACAAGATCTTTTCAAAGTTTTAGGAACGTTGCCTAACATGCGGTAAAGCTTGTGATTGGCCCTAGTACTTGTCTTCCTCACTGTTTTTAGCGGGCGCATGGCTAGCCATCACACGCAGAATTGATGGCCCCGTGTTGATAAATTATTGCGAGGTCGTGCTGTATCTGTGCCAACATTCACCTTAAAGTGATAGACGCTAATGAGCCACGTGAACAAAGCTTAAAGAAAATATTGCCCTATTTTGCCAGGATGCCATATGTGTTTCATTGTTTATTGTTGGCACTTCAATGAGCATTTCATTCCAACCTATTTTTGGGATGTTTGGTGGGTTAACATGCTATGTGCTTGAATGAATGCTAGCATTTCAAAGTACTTCAATGAAGTGATAGTTGATTTTTATTTGATTAACAGGCACACCAATAATTATAACACAATCTCGGGTGTCGACAGCGGTCATGAATGAATGTTCCTCCAAGAAATAATTGACGTTCTTGTCTCGGTAGCAACATTTCTAAGAATTCGTATTTTATGAGACACCTTGCACATCCAACGAAGCCCTGAAACGTAGCTGCAATACATGTGCTGGAAGCTATATGTACCTGAAAACTTCACGAACATGCTTCATCAGCTCAGGACCGATACCGTCACCGGGCAGCACTGTAACCATGAAGCGACCTCCATATTTTGCCTTAGCTGTTGCATGAGCGGGCTGTGCCTGTCCTGAAAAGTACTGAACATAAATATGAGACATTATTTTCAATGTCCTCAAAAATGCATCTATCCTAGCACTATGAAAAATGCAAGGAGACCACCTTTACTATTGATTTAGCAATGTATCTGCTGCAGGTAGGAAATTCGGTAGCTTTAGTTACAGTGACACCAAACTGAATGGGTTCTCATTCACCATATCGTATTTTTTCACTAACTCGTGTTTGTTAGATGTGTGTCCCACATTACATTTTAAACCGCGGTCCTAGACATCTCGTTTTCGAGTTTCTTGTTATCGCGACTGACTCATTTCAGCAATCTATGAGGGAAGCATTCAATCGCACTTGAGAAATTCGATCCTGATCGAGACAGGATCGCGATCCGATGTGCCCGTGTGACCCAAGTACTTGATTCGTTTCGTGAGCGTAAAGCAGCTTTTATTTAATGCCAGATTCCCATAGAGTGACGGAACTCGGCAGCGAGAATAACATCTCTATTCTGTGAGGAAAACACTCAATCGCGGTTGAGAAATTCGATCCCGATCGAAACTTGATTGCGTTAAAATGTGCCCGTGTGACACCGTACTTGACTCGTTCCATGAGCGTAAAGTAGCTTTTAGTTCACTACCAGGTTTCCGTAGCGTGGCGAAATTCGGCAGCGAAAATGCTATACCACGCAAAGCTTCGGCCACGGAAGCACTCGATGTACGTCACTTATCTTCTCAAAAGGCACACTTACGAATTTGATAACTCAAGCTTTATTTGCGCTAATCATGCGCACAATTGCAAGCGCGCCAAGACCGAGCATTGGCGATCGGTCAAGCAGTTTGCTCCCGAGATTAGGAAGCCATGCGTTGATAAGTGGTTGCGCAGCAACAGCACCTCCGCACATTGCACTAGAGCTGATAAGACACGAGGCGCTCGTTTATTTGAAGACTGTGTCGCCGGGTTTTGCGGCTGACCTTAGGATCGTCCTGAGCTGCACATGCGTACTTTGCACGTCCGGAGGTACGACCCGCACGGATTACCTTTCGCGCAGCGCTTGTAGATCCTGTGGGAAGCACTATGCGAGGCACCAACTGGGACACATTGGCCAGCAGACGCACTGAATTTGCCATTATTGCGTGTTCCTGCGGTGCACAGACCCCGACCCGGATGGAAACCCAAACTAGCTGCGAGGTAGCGGACGGCTGGATTATCGTAAGTACATCGGCTGATGATGATACCAGTTGGTGGCAGTGCTGTGCGCAACGCCACCGTGTCAGACTTTTCCGTGCAGTAAATTCACCAATATGTCGCTTGTTTGCTGGGCTGTGTAGTTACACCAGAATGGCAGCTTGAACAAAGTTATATTCTGTCAAAGTTCTTAAAAAAAAAAACGCACCTTCTACAGGCTTTGACCAAAGATATGTTTTCCAATTGTCATACAGTTACGGTGGCTATAGAGTAATGCAGTCACATTGATTCGCCGTTTCACATCCGATATTTTGCACATAATTTCTTGAACTGCATAAATACTTGTACTGTGTACAGTATTTACAGGCAACACCATCAGTTATAACTGTGTTCTTTTTCTTTTTTTTTTCTTAACACTCGTGTGGATCGCGCAACTTCTTTATATATGTATATTTTGCCTTGCCTTGTACAGGTGCATGAAATTTGGCTGATATCAGAAAACCTACAAAATCTGTTTTGTGTTTGCTTAATCGCAGTCGCACTACGTTCTATCTGTAGTTCCATCGAAAGGTTTGTGTGCCGCTTCAGCGAGTACGCCAGCACCACTTCTTCGACCCAACTATCCTATCGCTTGGCAGAACGTGCCGCCCCTACCAGCAGGAACAGTATGCGAAAACGCAGTGGATGACACCACTACTCTATTCATTATCAAAAATGCTCTACTTCAAAAAGCCTTTGCCTCAACGGCAACCTACATACTTGCACCACTGTGAAGCGACCGTGGAGCCGTGTCAATTAGCAACCACTATCTCTGTGTCGTTTCTGGGCCACTAATTATTTGATAGCGCTTGTTGACAAGTTTGTTTAGCATGTAGATGTCTGTGGCGCAACATTTCACGCTTCCGCAGGTCGTGGGATTGAATCCCGGCCAGAGAACAGCCATCTTTAGCTGCCGCGCTTTTTACTTAAATCGGTCGTAAGTGCACCTTCATGGAGTCATTTATGAAATTAAGCCAAAGCTTTCGCTCACGTACGCTTGTGGAGTAAAAAGAATAACTCCAATCCTGGCTGCGGAGGCTGCATTTTCGATGGAGACAAAACTGCTGTAGGACCGTGAGCACAGATTTGGGTGCACGTTAAATTACCCCAAATTATCGCAATTTTCGAAGCCCTCCACTACGGCGTCTCTCATATTCATAGGGTGGTTTTGGGACGTTAAACTGATATATCTATCAATCAACATTTCACGCTTGATTGCGACTGATGCATCGTGCAGACGCGTGTTTTCACCGCACATTACATATAACTCAGGTGAAGCACCCTTTCAGAAAGCTTTTTTTGTCACAATGGTGCTTTAACACATCACCCGGATACTAACATTACGACATTAATAAAACTCGTCCAAATTTTGTTGTCGGCAACAAATAACGCTGCAGCACTAGCGGGCTGTTTAGGATGTCTAATTAGCTCTGCCAATTTTTGTACAGAAAAGCGGAAGCTCCATCAGTTAAATTAGTTTATCAGCGTTGAGAACCAATAGGTAATTTTATTCTACATAAACGAAGAAATTATTTATAGAAGATACTGAAACAGGTTTGCTTGAGGTATACCTTTAGTGTGCAGCGTAGACTGCTCGAGTAAAAGGAAGAAGTGGAGTAAAAGAGCAGTTTGGGACTCGGGAGAGGGGGGGCCATCAATATTGAGATATTCCTCCTTGGTTTCCTGTTGTTGTTGTTTTTTCTATACACATTAGTCCATACGTTTCGAATACAATGATTTGTCTGTATAAGTTATGCTTAACCGTTTTTGTCTTGAGTACGAGTGATCTAGGTGCAGCGCGTGCATTCACGTGACCATATTTTTCCGTCAGGGATCAACCAAGCCGTACGTGTCATGTAGTGTGTATATATAACGTAAAGTGTTGTCAAATAGCGGTGCGCCTGCTGTGTTCTCCACTATTTTTTCACGCTCAGAGCACCACCGTTCAGTACCAGGGTCGTCCATGAGGTGGTTCTGGCGTGCCTGCCACTGACACCAACGTAAGGGAAAACTATAGTGAATTTGAATATTCTAGTTCACTATAGTGAAAACGTAACTCTACTGCGCATTTTACCGCTGAACAAATACATAAAACGTTGCCCATGCAGTAATGTTTTTTAAAGCACTCTTTAATATATTATACTTGTGAACTGCACGAATTTGAATCCAGACCCTCGCACTATACAACGTTATTTTCTCAGAAGCACAACGCAAACATGTAAAAGAAAAGGATTAACAAGAGGGTAAATGTATAGTTTCTTTTTTCACCAATACGTTTACTTTATTCTTATTGCGTTAGAACTGAAATGGCAGAAAACCCGGGAAAACACCATCGGGAACCACGTCTTGCTTTTGCCTCATTAAGGACACAGTTTTTATTACTTTCGCTATTTGAAAAAAAAAAATGCGAATCTTAATTACGAAAGTCAATCTGCTCAACTTGACTCAACTTGTGTCTGCCTTGACATCTAAGCTCAAACAACAGAATTGGCAGCAATTTAATTGTTACTATAATAAAATAAAAATGAAAAGTGCTGAAGTGCGTTAATTTCTAATTTGCGTAATATTTTCTTATCAAGAATGTTCTAGCATCTAATGGAGCACTGTCGAACAGTTTTTTTTTTCTGTAGACATTACAATTATTGTACACCCAAGATTGTCCTTACAGAACACTTAATTTCAACGCATGTACAGTTTCTCCCTGCATCATCGCTATTTGACTTTATTTTTTTATAATTCTTTAAAGAGCGATTGGGTGAATTAAAAAGTACCTCTTCGGCATGTTACTTATTGCACATTACTTTCAGAGAAACAAGAAAAAGTTCCGGAAACTTCTGTGTAAAAAAAAAAGTAGTAGTCATCGCCTAATTTTAGTTTTAATTGAAGGTTCCTGTGAGTTTTACTTCAAATGCGAAGTCTTTTATTTTGCAAAGAAGCGTGTAGGTTGCATCTGTAGCTTCGCGCCACAATTGTATAGCTGACCAACGAAGGGTCTTTTTTCTTCCCTAACACTTCCTCCAACCTTGCAAGCTTCCGCATTGTTCTGAAGCAGCCGTCACGTGAAGATGCCGCCTACATCATCCGACGTCGCAGACGCTCGATTGACCTTGCACGCGCTTGGAGTTATGCGCGAGAAGATCGGTGAGTGGGATCTTTAGCCCGAATCCAATGGCACGTGCCGCTGTCCTGTCCTGGCACGTTTCACGAGGTCCTCTTGCGTCTTCGAATCCGAGATAGAGAGAGCCGCCTCCCATCCTTTAATGGTGTGTTGTGTCCTGGACTGCATATGTGGTTTCTGCAGACATTTCCATACCATGTGGTACAGGGTGGCTGTTTTATTGGTGCAGAACATGCACCGTGTTGCGTGTGTGTCGGTATCTATCTTAGACAGCATGTATGAATTGCAGTAGGACAGAGTCAGCAGGCGACGCCGCGCTATACGTGCGATTAGGTTTGGCCCTGGGGGCGGAAGTTTCCGCCTTTCGCGTCTTTGGTGTTGCAGAATTTCTGTATATGCGAGAAGCGAGTCCATACGCAGAGCCGAGGCTGTGAAGCGTGGTGCAAATCCCCCCCCCCCCCCCCCCCACATGTGGCGTCAACCCCTTGCAGGGAATGAATTTGACCCAAACGCCACCCTCGGTTTATGTTAGCTATCGGTCAGTAGCAGCGGTCTTCTGCAATACGAAAGAAACTCTGAATATGACACTCCCCGAATAGATATAACGGGCCTCTATATTCTGAATGTGTTTGAGAAAGTGGCTGCTTCGTGCTCCGCTTGTGAAGTAACTAGCAAGTCAGCGATTTACATACGCCGGCTAAATTCTCTGTCTTTCAATTAGGAGGTCTCTCTCTTTCTCCTTTGCCGCGACCAATGGTGATATTTGACTGAGCTGATCACAGCAGCGTATATCTTTCCGCTGCATGTATTAAAGACGATAGTCTTTCTTGGGGACCGATGCAAAAATTTTCATCTGTCTGTCCGTTTGTCTGTTTGCCCACCCTTAACGATACCGGGTACTCTAAACGGCACCAGCCGATACCTCAAACGGCCGACCCAATCCGCAGCGCTCACCAATGTTGCTCAAGATTCAGCGCTCATACTTGGGTGATAGTCAATTGAAAAGCAATGATTGCGCATATCCGAGGCACCATAACAACACGCATACATTCTAAATGTGCGTCTTTTTTTTTTTTATTCACCAAGAAGGAAACGTTATTCAAGCTTGACATCGCATAAAGCATGCGCCGGGCATTGTGAGGAAACTAAGCTGTGCCAGGATAGCAGGCACTGCCACGAACATCTCAGATAGGATGATTTCAGACCATCTCTATAGATTCACGCTCGACAGAAGAGGGCCATTTTACACATTACCTTTTTTTTGTGTGTTCAGTGCTCTCCATATTCCCCATTCCCATATTCCCAATGAAGGGTAGCGAACCGATCACGCTCGTCTGGTTAACCTCCCTGCCTTTCCTCTTCTTGCTTTCGCTCTTCTACACTCAAGAAAACAAATCATGTATAAATGCCTTATAGGAAATGACTGGGGCGAGGAGGGGAATGAACGTGTATGATATGTGAAAAATATATGACTACAGCAGACAGGGCGTAGGCTGAGTTTCTCACTATCAGTGTACGATTTGCATAGGACACGTGACCCTAGGTGCGTTCGCAGCACACACACAGAAACAAAGGAAATAAAAAAGGAATATCGAGGGAAACGTGACCACAGTGGTTCGCGACAGAGATGGCCTTCGAAGCGTAATATTTTGTTGAGTGTATTTTCAATGGTTTTCCAAAATTCATCTTTCCTTACTTATGCATTTATTATGTATGTGCGTACATGTCTACGCTCTCTAAGAGTGATGGGAGAGCCCGAATTATGATACTGTCTGGGGGTATACCAGATATATAAAAAAAAATTAATGACAGGCCGACCAGCTAGGCTGCAGAGAAATCTGAACTGCGGAAATTAAAAGCAACCT